CCCCCCCCCCCCCCCCCCCCCCGGCTGTGCCTTTCTGCCCACCTTGCTGTCGTGTGCCCGTCTGAGGGTCCTCTCCATCTTCTTGAGCTCAGTGACGGCCTCCTCAAACGTCGCAACCGCCAGCTTCTTCTCTCCAGGCGGCACCTCACCATCAGCCGTCTCGACGTCAGGGCTCCCACGCCGCTCGGCCTCGGGTATCTCGCCGCCTGCACGTCTTGCGCACTCGATGAGTCGCTGGTATGGGACGGGGGGAGTGTGTCTGAGTGTTTCCACGTCCCAGATGAACTCCTTCTCCACCTTCTTGACGAACTTGGACAGAGCCGACTCGGTGATGACTGCCTTGTCAATCGTCGACATGCCCGCAGCCTGACAAACAGACAGACAGACAGACAGACAGGGACACACACACATTCTCTGCTTGTGTGTTTGTGTCCCTGTGTGTATTGGAGTCAGTCAGTCATTCGTTCACCTGCAGCCGGTGTATGTCGCTGTTGACCTTCTTGTCGAGCTCGACGGCCACCGGCAAAACCACCGCCTCCAGCCACCGCTGCACCATCCTGTGCACCCAGCAGGTGCCGGGAACTTTGGGCAGGCCCTCGTCGTCGAATGCCTCCCATGGTGGACACATCAGCCGCGGGTAGGTGAACGTTGCATCCATCGTCCACCCGAAGTGGTCCCTCATGGCCTCCATGAAGGCGCTCACAAAGAGCATCTCAGGGGCGGGCACGGCCTTGACGCCGCAGTCCAGCATGACTGGCACACAGACGGGGCAGTTCGGGATGCTGAGCACCACCCTCTTAATGACGAGGCCCCGTGATGTGTAGTCCTTGACGGCGGTGTCGATGAAGCTCCATATCGGCTCATCGCCGACCTGGACGCCAGTCAAGTCGAAGGGCAGCCACCTGATCGACGTCACGGTGTGTGGAGGGTCGGTGCTGAACATGGCGTCGAGCGAGAGGGCGCGGAATGCCGTCTGGTCATCCAGTGGGGCGCTCTCTTTGACCGTCAAAACCACACTTAGATGGCTGTCGGCAGCGGCGCCTGGCTTGCTGTGTTCTTCGATGGCCGATGTGATCTCACGCTCCTCCCGCGCCCTCTGCAGGGCGACGAACGTCTCGAAATCGATCCAGCCGATGTGCAGAAGCGCCACAGTGCGCGGAAAGACCTTGATCAGCAGCTCCCGAAACACTAAGCACTGCTCTTTGTGCCGGTCACGCCAGTCGGTGGCAGCACAAGCTAAGGAACACACACCACAGTCAACACAACACATGCTCTCCTCTCTCCTTTCCCCTGATGGTGTGTGCGTGGTTACTCTGGGAGCAGTAGGAGACCTCATGGCAGAGGCGACAGCGGTGCTTCTTGGCGAACCCATCAGCGCACAGCTGCATCGGAAGCACCTCGACTGAGGCACCTGCAGTGCAGGACAACACAACACACAAACAGCACCATCATGGCACCATTTATCTGCCACCTAGCACACGTGGCTGTCCCCATCCATCCATCCATCCATCCATTGCCTTCACATACCAATGGGTGTCGCTGCCCATCCCGCTGCCCATGCGCCAACTCCTCGGTCGTGTGTGGGGTGCCCAGCTCATCCGACACATCCAATGCCGTCGTGCTGCTCTCACTTGACGGTGCTGAGGGGGAGGACGCCTGCAGCTGGTTGGCAGCAGCAACGTGACCCTGGGGGCCGTGCAGACCGAGAGCTTCCGTAGTAATCATCATGTAGCGGGGCCGACCGTCCTCCATGTGGGCGTACCCCCGGATGGGCGCCGCGTCTGTGCCGCCAAACGACACCTCAATAGGCTGCAGGCTGCTGGCATCGACCCCTACCCTTGCTCCTTCGATGCGGGATCTGATCTCAGCTGGAATGGATTCGGCGAGAGAGTGGGCTTCAGAGCTGCCACGTCCATCGGGCTGGTCCGTCGGGCACGTCCATCGACACTGCAGCCCCGCCGCCACGTCCGTCATGTCAACGGCACCTCCACAACCGGGGGTGGGCTTGGGAGGATTCTCCTCGAACTCTTTGATGCGGGCGATGACGCGGGACATAGATTTGTCCGCCATCTTCCAATGGTGGCATTCAAGGTTTCCCCGCAGCGGCGAGCTTAGCCACGTCGACGATGGGTTCCAGGGTTTCAAACTCTAAGCAGGTCACAGAAGCACACTTTAAGATGAGAGCACCCTTCAGATGAGTGCTCTGGTGAAGATGAGTGCGCTCGTGGCGCTCCTCATGGGCAGCGCACTTTCACATGAGGTGAGGATGGTATGCTGGGGGAAGGGAGGCAGCCACAGCCAGATCTGTGGGTGGCCTCGCGCCGAGGGTGTTTGCTTCATGTGTGCCTGCCTGTGTGTGGCGTCATCAACATCAGGTGCCGCTTCTCGACGCCCTTGAGGCAGCCGAGGCCTTCCTGGGACCTGCCATTGCCGGTATGATGCTCCCTGAGCGGCTCATCTGGCTGTGTGTGTGGTCACTTTGTGTTGCTGTGCTGTTCCTTGCTCCACAGGTCAACGATCTTTCTCCTCCTCCCCCATGGCTTTGCCTCGGTCCTCCTCCCCCGTCTTTCGGCCTCGCAGTGGCCTGTCCTCCCTCCAGATGGCCAACAGAGAGAGCAGACACAAGGAATTCACGAGGGTGAGTCAGCAACACCTACGCAGGCAGCCAAGTAGATGGGGCAATCATGGGCAACGAATGGTCTGGCGTGTGTTGTGTTGATCAGGGGAAGAAGTTTCGAACGATCGGGACGTCGTCGATAGCGCGCCACTATGCGCTGCAGGGGAGGGGCGGCGGCATGCCGCGCGTCCACCCCATCACCGGCAAACCCCTCAAGCCACTCGTGCTGCCTGTCGCAAGGTCAGGCAGCGAGCCAGGCCAACGACTGACTGACTGATCAATGTCAAGTGCCTCTCTCTCCGTGGTGCAGGTGTATGTTGTTGGGCAAGATGGCCAACACGCGGCGAATGAAGCGCAGCTTCTCAATGAAGGCCACGCACAAACCACAAAAAGTCAGAATCGAATCAGACAGCAAGGGAAGAGAGCCGTGCCACATGGTGTGAATGCCTGGGCTCTCCTGTGTTGTGTGGTGTTGAGTGTGGTGCAGGTGAATCTTCAGTGGAAGCGGATGTGGTGGGAGGAGGGCAACAGGTTCGTCCGCCTGAGGGTGTCCGTCAAGGGACTCAGAACCATCCGCAAATACGGACTCGACAAGGTGGGTGCGTTTGCGTGCAGGCAGACAGCAGACAGACAGTCAGAGTTCACCATCCCGTATTCGTCCCACGAATGCTTTTCGTCACCCCCTGGCTGTCTCTTTCGTGCCTGCAGGCTGCCCGCAAGTTCGGTCTTGATCTCAGTCAGCGGAAGCTCTGGGCAGGCACCGCACCTCTGCAGAGGTCAGTCTGTCAGAATGGCAGCCAAACGAACCATGGCCAAAGAATCAGCCCAAGTGTGTGTTGTGGTGTTTCTTTCTCTGTAGGGGCGGCCGGCGACGGCGGTCGGGAGAGGAGGGCGAGGAGGAGGAGGTGGAGGAAGAGCCTGTGGAAGCGCCAGAGCAGGCCGTCCTGGCATGACTTGGCTGAGAGTGAAAGACTGGTGTGTCTTTGAAATGTAGCTTGGCTTGGCTTGCTTGGTAGAGGAGAGGGATGTGCACCTGACTGTGTTTGCACTGACTTGGGGGGGCACACATAGCCGTCGCAATGCGATGACGCCGACCGAGAGAAACCGGCCACACGCACCTCCGCGAATCGTTCTTACGTATCCCTTCGGGGGGCCGGGGGGCAAGGTCCCTGTGAGGTTAACGAACGAACGAACGAACGCACCTGCGAGCTTAGCCTATCCCCCCTTTTTCCTTTTCTCCTTTCCCCTTCCACCTTGGCCTTGCGAAGGAGCCTCAGCTCTCTCCATCAATCGGTTTGGTAATGAAGATCTTCCCGCTACTTGTCGTCATCTCCTCTGCGGCTCATCTCGCCCTCAGCGAGCGTCAAGTGGTGTCCATCAACGACAGAACCTTCTCCATCTACTGGCCGACGCCAAACAATGCCACTCATGCCGGCGACGGGAGCTGCACCATCCTGCTCGGGCTTCACGGTCTCGGCGACAATGCCGACAGCTTCTGTGCGTGGACAGCGTTCAAGGAGTACGCTGAGAGGGACGGGGTGGTGCTGGTGTGCCCGCAGGGGCTGCCTGGGTGGCTCGGAGAGGTCAGTCAGCGAGGGCATCAAGCTTACCAGGGGGTCTGGTCTTAAGAAGCTGAGTGCACTCCCTCACTCATCTGTGGTGTGCGTGTTTGGTTTGTGCGTTCCATTTGTGCAGGCGGCGTGGAATGCGGGCAGCTGCTGCACGTTCAGTGGTGTGGATGACGTGAGCTTTATCGATAGTGTCGTGTCGAGCGTCAGGGGATATCTCCAGCAGAGGAACCAGCAGTGTGTCAGCCAGTCGATCCTCCTCGCCGGCTTCTCAAATGGCGCCATGATGGCAGGTACGGTGCGCATCACCCACACGGTGCTTTCATTCACTCATTCATTCGCTGTGTGCCTCGTTTGGTCAGAGGCGTATGCGTGTGAGAGGCCGACCGACGTCAAGGGCGTTGTGTCTGTGGCTGGTGTGGTGGCCTTGCTGCCCATTGGAGGTGGATTGGACTCGTGCGACAGGGACTTCGCCGCCCGGGCAGGCCGCAGTGTGGCCGTCCTGGGGGTACACGGCACTAAGGACTGGCGGGTGCCCATGAACGGGTGGGGGAGCTGGCACTCATACAATGCACAACCAGCCAGCCACAGCACTCACCAGATCTCTCTCTGTATTCCCTTGGCAGTGACCCCATTGTGGGCTTTCCCCCCGTCCGTGAGGACCTGCAGCGATGGGCCCAGCGAGGCAAGTGTCTCACCACCGGCCCCTCAGACCCGTCGCAATTCCGCCGGGGCCGTTTCAGCAATGAGATCATTTGCGCCACCGAGCTGGGCGAGTCGAGCGTCGAGCTGGTCGTGCGTGAGGACGGCACACACGCATGGTTCGAGGAGACAGAGTTCGACACGAGCGAGTACGCGTGGAGCTTCATGATGCGGGCGGCCAATGTCACTGAGCAGCCAGGGGTGCGGGGCCGGCCATTGCTGGACGGGCAGTTGCGAAGTCAGAGGGTGCGTGCGTCTGAGAAGGCGTCTGAGGGGATGAGGCGGTTCAGAGAGGCACACGTACAGCCTGAACCTTTTCTCTTCGTGTGATCGATGGGATGCGTTGGTAGCCAGCCATGAGTGCGGCTCCACCTTGATCAATTTTGAGCTGGCTCTCGAGGGGTCTGTCCGCCCTACCGACGCACAGACCCCTCGAGAACTCTCTCAATTATCGGTCAAGGTGGAGCACGCCGCAATTCTCGCTTCTCGATTGGTATCTATCAGTGCGATGCCCTTGGATGCAGTCTGTATGTACGTCATAGGAGAGAAAGAGTAAAAGCATTGGATTGGGTGGGTGTGGTTGTGTTGTTTTATTCATCTCTGTGCTTTTTCTTGATCGGTCGGTTGGTTGGATCGAATCGGTGGGTCACAGGTACCTCCGTACACACCCATATGATATGCCCTCACTGTCTGTCTGTCTGTTGTGTATTAGCCATACCCAGGCCATTTGTTCCTTCGTGTACACATACTTACTACACACACTGCGTTGCTGCCCAGCCACTTGCATTACATGTGCGTGTCGTGTGTGTTGTGTGTGTTGTGAGCGTGTGTGTGTGCGTTCGTGTGTGTGTGTGATCCTTACGTACGTGCGACTGCGCCCGTCTGTGGGTGTCGTGTCCATGCGATGCGTCTGTGTGTGTGCCGTGCGGACTGGCATGTGTGTGCTCTGTGTTCGATGCCTGCCGTCGAGTGGTGCATGTGCGTGTGTTGTGTGCAAGCATGTGATGTGTGGGTGGACGGACCCTCGCAAGAGCGAGCGGACTCAAACCGATCGTCCGAAAAACAGTCCATCGGTCTGCTGCACCTAATCGAATTACATAATGATGATGCACCCACCCACGCCGTGCCCATGATTAATCCAATTGGTGGGCAGAGGAGACGTGACATGAAGACGTCAGTCACGGCCCATCACAAAAGACAGACCACACATCAGATCCATATGCCTCTTATGCCTTCTTGTCCTGGTTAGCTGCCCCCTCCCCCTCTGGCCTGCTGCTGCTAGCGGCCCTCCATCTCATCTCGCGACCGCTTCGTTCCGCGGCACAACTAAGGAACGAGACAGACAGACAGACCGCACGCTCAATGAACAGATGAGCTGGTGGTGTGGCCATGCCTACCTGTTCGTTGAGCATGGCGTTCTCCTGACGGAGACGCTCATTCTCGGCCTCCAAACACTGCCGGTCGGCCGACTCCTGTGCAGCAGAGATGGATGGACACAAACAGCAGATGTCCATGGTGAGTGAAAGGGTCGGCCAGCTGACCTTGACCAGGGCTTTGTGCAGCTTTGCAAAGGTCTCTTCATCTTGCGGATTGATGGCTTCCTTGAGGGCCTTCTCAAATGTCTTCTGCACTGCTGGGGGCAGGGTGAGCAGTATGGGGAGGACAGCAGCCGCTTCCGCAGGATTTTGCCGAATGACTTCGGTCGTCAGCCCGAACACATGCGGCGGACTGCCGATCGCCGATGCCCAGAACAGCACCAGGGGAAGGCGATGGTGGCACACTCCAGACAGCGAGGTCAGCATCTGGACGGCGACCTCACGATGAATCGACCTGCAGAAACACATGCGTGGACATGCAACAAAGCAGTAAGTGTGCCGCCCATATGTGTGTGTTTGTGTACACACATTGCTTGCTTCCTTACTTGGCCATGTGTGTGACGCCATCCCACTGCCCCTCCTTTGCGCACAGTCGTAGGTAGTGCAGGGCGAGGACGCGCATCGGAAACAGACGGATGAAGACCTTCATGTTGATGTCCTTGAGCCGCGCCTCTCCCGCTCCCTGCTGTGCCAACGACTCAGCCGAGATGTTTTGCAGACTCCCCCGCGACTCCCACGGTCTCTGAAACAGCTGAAACTGGAAGGGGAGAGTTAAGGGGACGACTTCCATCACACCGCCGCCATTGCATTTGTTGAATGACATTGGGCCGCCGCCCATCACTGTGGGCATCTCATGCAGCCGGATGGCCTTCCGGCCGGCGTTATCGCCGCTCTGCGCTGCTCGCGCCGCTGCCGCCGTGCCATTGGGGATCTCCAGGGAGGCGTCAGGAGCGAAGCACGTCACATGCGACTCTGCCACATTGCCCTCATTGATCCTCCCAAAGGTGAAGCACCACGAGGCCACGTCAGCATACACGGCCAGACGGACGTGAACTGGCCTCACAGCATCTCTTCCATGTGACTGGTTGTTGTATGCGTTGCCTTCCTTGGCAAAGGGAAGCTGCTTGGCCAGTGCGTTGATCTCCCGGAATCGCCTGTCCTTGAAGGTAAACGAGGCCTCAAAACCCCTTCTCTTCAAAATTCTTCTTTCACGGACACTGCTCTTTCCCATCTCACACCCGCTTCTTTTCGCTTCCTCGTGCTTCGCTGAAGTTTTGGTGTGCATGGTGTTTATGTGTTTTGGGGTCTCTGCGGTTTAATGACTAGGTGTGTTTGGACAATGTGTGACGTTCCCTGTGAATGAACACGTATTGACAATCACACACACACAGACACACACATGGACACATGAAATGAGTCCATCAATCGGTCTGCAGAGACCCCACCCATCTCTTCATGACATGGGTGGGTTGGCCATCGGCCAGCTTGTCAACCTGCTATCTGTCTGTGCTGTCCATCAGCTGCAAAGGTCGGCATCTTCCCGTCACGAATGGGCCAGTAGATCTGCAACACTCAGCAACAGCGCCCGCAACACTCAGTGTGTCTCTGAGGGGCTTCCTGGCGTCACGGCCAGGGCCTGCCAAGGCACACGAGTCAGTGGATGAGCTGCGGCAGGACAAGGCCGACCTGGCGGTGCAGATCAGCCAGCTGCAGGTGGGAGAGAGGGAGAGGGATGAGATGAGCATGATGAGCAAGAACCTTGCGTCGCCGTCGCGGATGGCGTTGGCAGGCAGGCCTGGGGAGGTGACGGTTGCGAGGGGGGTGTAGGGATGGGGCAGCCCCACCACAGTCATGGGGTACGCGCCCCTGCCAATGGATCCCTGCTGATTGTTGGCGAAGGGTCGTGCGGTCAGGGGCAATGTGAGAGTAAAGACGTCGGCCTCGAACGAAGCCGCTGCACACAGGCACAACAAGAAGGGCATGCACCATCTACCCGAAAGCCTCTTCAAACTCAATGTCATTCTCCTTACCGTGTGCTGCAGCGAGTGACGAGCTCCCTGTGGCATCCGTGAGGAACTTGGCGATCTCTTGGCGGCCCATATCGACGCAGCCCTTGGACAGTCCATCTCCCACGCTGGCTACCAGGCTGACGGCCGCCTTGATGGCGTCATCCGTGTCGTCTTCTCCACCCTCACACGAGCGCCACTGCGCCCGGATCACGTCAGGGTTGTTGCGCAGAGCCGGCAGGAGCCCCGTGAGAATGTCCTTGTGTTGGTGGATGAAGCGGGCGATGAAGGCATACTTGCCGAAGCTCTGCAGCAGGCTGTCGGCCAGCTGACGGTCACGGAGCCATCCGTCCACCACCACCTGTAAGCCGCAACAGACAGACCAATGGCGCAGCGCATCAACCGGCATGACCCATACATTTGCGCTCTCTGACTGACCCGTCTGTGTATGCGCCACAGCAGACTTTGGTGGCTACGGGGTGTGAAGATTTGGTCGGTGTCGAAGTGGAGGTAGTCGAGCGCAATCATTGCATCCAGCAGGTTGTCTTTGGTAAGCAACTTGACGATGTCCAGCTCTCGCTGCAGCACCACCAGTCCAGCGGTCCGAGTGACCTTTTCGATGCACACCTGCCGCTGTTGGCCCTCTTGAAACTCGCCATCAAGAACCTGTTAATTGACACACACACACACACACACACATAGATAACACACGTGCATATGAGGCGGGCTCGTGGTGAGTGTGACCTTCTGGAAAAACTTGTACTGCCGTGCGTCACTCTCCTTGACGAGCAGAGGGGCATCTGCCTCCCCATCACCGGCAAACCGCACACTGATGCACGGCTCGAGGCCCGCCATCCCAGAAAACCCTGACACAGACGTTTCCGAGCGCCAAACGCCCCTCGAATAATAATCAGTGATACTACTAAATCATCCGGTATGAACAGTCTTAAAAGGCGGGGCGGCCTCGGTCCAGGAAGGTGAAGGGACCGTCGCGTGCGAGCGACCCCAACAGACCCGTCTTCTCAAGCGCACACAGTACACGAGGGAGGAGTGAGAAAAGAGCAGCTGTCGGATGACCCTCTCCGCCGCCGCCGTCGTCTTGCTCGTCTCGTCGGCCCGCGCCGCAGCCCAGCCCAGCCCCAGCAGCACTGACGCGTCGCTTGAGCTCGACTGCGACGAGCAGGCAGACGTTTGTGACCTCATACGACAAATATACGACAAAACCGTCGTCCTGGAGAACGAGCTGCTCGACTTCTGGCTTCGCTACGGGCCGGACGAGGAGAAGGGCGGCTTCTATGGCGAGATAGACGAGAATGGTGTGGGCAATGAGGAGAGTCCCAAGTTTTTGCAGCAGCAGACGCGTCATCTGTGGAGGTACGTAGGCGTGCAGACCTCCCCTCTCCATAAGCATCTCTCCTTTGCTTGCAGCCTCTCGGCCACGTACACTATGAGGGCGGAGAGGCGCGAGGAGGTGGCGAATGTGACCTTGCAGCTGATGCAGTTCATCTACGACAGCTTCTGGGACGACGATGCCAACTTCTTCAGCTACAAGGTGCACCTGTTCGCTGGTTTGGCGAACACACACTTCTCTGCTGTGTGTCAACGCGTCTGCAGGTGTCCGCAGATGGGGAAAGGGTCCTCGACGCATCCGAGAAGGTCTACAGTAACGCCTTCGCGATTTATGGCTTCTCAGCCTTCGCCATGGCGTTCGCAAACCGATTCCCTGACCACGCAAAGGATGCCAGGAAACGCTCCATGCAGGTGTACCGCACCCTGCGGAGCCGATTTGTCGACGAGGCGAATGGCGGCTATATCGACACGCTGAGTCCTGGCTACAAGGGGCATAACACATTGCTCCACCTTTTGGAGGCGTTCACGAGCTTGTATCTCCTGACCGGAGACGAAGACGTTCTGGATTCGCTGGATGAGCTCTTCGCCATCCACTTGGACCATGTCATTGTGGGCGACTACTGTGGGCGCCCACACATGCACACACACACACACACACACGACATCATCCCCAAGCTCCGAGTCGGATGTGATGTGATGTGATGTGACGTGTGTTGTCTTCGCAGGTCTCGACCTCATGAACATGGACTGGACTCCCGCTGACAACAGAGATGCCAGCTATGGGCATGGCATCGAGACCGTCTGGCTGCTTCTCGACAGCGCGCGGGCCGTCAACCGAACCTATAGCGGCCTCGTCGAAGCACTCACACAAGTCGGGGAGCACCACAGTCGCGAGGGCTACGATGCAGAGAGAGGCGGTTTCTACACGTCGTTTCAGATCGCCAGCCCCACGCAGAAAGACACCTCAAAGGTCTGGTGGGTGCAGGCCGAGGCTCTGCTGGGCATTTGGGCTATGTATGAGGAGACGGGAGACATCGAGTACCTCAGGCGGCTGCTCGGCATGGTCGAGTGGATTGAGACCTATCAAAGAGTGGACAAGCCGGGTCTGCACGAGTGGTGGGTAGCGACAGGCGAGACGGGCAGCCCCCCCGGTTTCAAGACTCTGTCGTTCGAGTGGAAAAGCAGCTACCACACGGTGAGGGCTCTGCTGTTCCTCAACGCCTGGATCAGCAAGTCGGGGGTGGTCGGGCCGACTACGACATGAATGAAATACGGAGTGCAAAGTGCCTGCGGATGCCCATGTGTCCATGGTGGGTCGATCGCCAACCGTCGAGGAATGGCAGGAAGAGGAATCGCTTTGAATTAGCGCCGGTCACTGCGCTGCTCTCGGTGCTCTTTGCCGCTGCCGCATCATGGTGATGTTTGTACAAGGACAACGAAAGAGTGAGTGCTTAAAGAAACAATGGGGACTCACCGAAGGGGTCAAGAGCAGTGCTCATTGATCCATCGATGTCTTATACCGGCCCGCCCACCGGCCGACGTGCCAGAGCACATGTGTTGGGTGTGTTGCATATTGTCTGGGGCCTTTTTGCGTTCTGCTACGTCCGTCTCTCTGCTCGCATACACCTACATGTGAATGTGAATGTGTGTGTGTGTGGTGTGTGTGTGTGTGTGTGTATGTGTGTGTGTTGGGTGGTTGGTGGACATTCGGGACGTGCTGAACGTGTGTATGACGAGTAATGCTGTACGCGCATCCATCCATGCAGTCAGTCATACGACTCCGAAACCGCTCGTATATACACAGACAGATAGACAGATAGACACCATGCCAATCAATGCAGAGAGGGAATACGCAAGACACGCAGGCAGGCAGAGAGTGCGAGAGCGAGACAGAGAGAGCCTATGCACAGCACACAAGGACGGACCTACACACCCACACACCCACATACAAATACATCACATGCACTGACAGACACCACAACCACACACAGCGTATCCGTCCCGGCCATGCATCTCTCTCTCTCTCTCTCAGCTACCGACATCCTCTCTATCCTCTCTGTGTTAGTGGTGCCCTGCGGTACGACACAATGTAAGTCAGCCAGCCACCAGCCAGCCATGCCCATCTATCCGTCTGACTGACTGACTGTGGGGGACCTGTGTCTTGATGAGCCCATCGGTGCGGTGTCGTCAGTGCCGGCAGAGTGGCCGCACTGACGACACCTCACGACTCGGGGCATCAAGACACAGGTCCCCGACAGTCATCAGTGGAAGGACTGACTGACATGAAAGAAAACTAGACACACTCTCTCTGTCGCAGGCAGCTATGATTCCTCCCTCCACCCAGTCGTCAGATAAGGCTGATAGGAAGAGTCAGCACGGTCAGGCGAGTGCGGGCCGGGCCGCGTGAGCCAAACACAGGCCATTGCCACACCACACGAGAATCGAGACGACTCGCCGCCCCACACGCGTCAACAGGTATAGACACACACACGTGGGGTGGGGTGGGGTGGGGTGGTTGACTCGACCAAAAGCAAAAGGAGAGGACGTGTCTTGTCGCGCAACGCACACACGAGGCGGACGGGTGTGGCATGCTACTGTGTGAGTGCCTTGCCGTGTCTGCCCATCTCCTCTCTGCTGCTCTTTGTCCTCTCTCTCCGACCCACCCCCACCTCACCGGTCCGGTCGGCCAATGCTCATGAGTGGGGGCAATGGGAGGGGAGGGGCGGAGTGGACAGACAGACAGACAGACAGACAGACAGACAGAAAGGGACGAGCGAGCCAGCCGAAGAGACACACTGGTGTGAACAAACACGCGGACATTAGGGAGAGGCAGACCATCCATCCATCCATCCGTCCATCACCGAGTACCACAGCAGACAGCACACCACACGAGAGGAAGTCCCCACCGGCCCCCCTCTATCTATCTGCCGCCCACACATCCGTCCAGAGAGAATATGTCGGGCGGATCGCTCCAATATCAGCACCGCACCACCGCCCTGCCTGACACACACCGAATGATAGAAGGCACACCATTAGGTACGTCGTGTGCGCATCTTCTGCTCGTCTCAGTCGTGTTTGATGCAGACATACCTCAGCTGTCTATTGGTCTAAGAGCTCGGCCGCGATGATGGCCCCCAGGACCGCATGCGCCAGCCGAGTGGTCTGCGGGAAGCGGTCCCTGAAGGCACCGCCCACACCAGCCACAGCCGACTCGGTGGTGTGGATGCGCACATACACTGCGAACGAATGACAGGAGAGGACGGCAGATTAGAGCTTGGATTAGAGTGAGTGGTGTGCTGGGCTGGGCTGACCATTGTCGGTGTAATTCTCGAGGGTGATCCACGCCACGAAGGGGTGGCCGGCGTCGGTCAGGATGAGACGACGAGCAAATTGGCCGAAGAGGTGGAAGCGGAATGATGGGGTGGTGGTGCATTTCCCCACTGCTGTGGGGGGGGACTGTGTCATGAGGGTGTGCAGCCGGTTGTTGTCGTCACGCCTGACCAGTAAAGACACACATAACACACACTCGTGCGTCGTGGCAGTGCCCTGACAGAGTGATGCCCCGCCTCACCTGTCGATGAAACGGCTAGTTCTGTTGGTCTGGTGAGTCTCCCTGAAGTGGTCGAGGACGATCTTCTTGACACACGACGACACAGACGAGTAGTCCCAAGGAAACACCGACCGGTCGAGCCAGCCCCCGGGCGACAAATAGTCGATGTTGCTGCGGACGGGCGGGTCGTGCGGCTGTCGGTGCTGCTGGTAGGGGTGGTTGGGAGGGAGGGGCGGGTCGACGTCCAGTCGGAAGCCGGGCTCGTCCTTGATGGCCCGCCACCATCGGCACGGCGGAAGATCTGCAGGCGGCTGTCACCGAAGCTGATGTGGCGGCCGACCACCATGAGCTGCGCCAACACACGAGCTACCAATCTATACGCCTACACCACAGACACACACATACAGACGAATGAATAAGGCCTCTCTGCTCTCCCCTGCCCCTCTGTGGGAGATGCCGTACCGTCTTGCTTTCGTGTAGGTCGTCGGCCGTGACGATGACCGGCAGCTCACAGCAGCCGCACTGCGCAGCCAGCTCAATCACCTCACCCACCTCCACCCATCTCCCCTCCTCCATCACGTACACAGCCGCCAGCAGGTGATACACGCTAAACTGGTCGTCATCGAACCGCAGTAGCTGCACTTGCCGCCCATGCACCATCCGGTGCAGCCCTGCCTGTTCGCTGAGGGAATGGCTGAGTCGCTGCCGCAGCTGAGGCCTCCCGCCCAGCTGCAGGTCTCCCTCAGACGCAGGATGTCATCGAGGCTGAGAAGGAAGAATGTGCGGCGGCCGACGAAGATGTACTCGAGGGGGTGCTGCTGCTGGTTGGGCTGCTGGTTGGGGGTCGTCAGACCTGCCGACAGTGAGCTGCCGCCCCCCTCATGCTGCTGCTGTGTTGCTGCCGCAGCACCACCCGCACCAATTGAGCCACCTGAAGGCACCATAACACAGCACAGGACGGTCATGACAATGTGCAGTCCACCAACAGCAGCCGATGCTTTCCGTACCTCCACTGTGTCCACCACCACCAGCAGCAGCAGCAGAAGGATGGCTGATGTCTACGCGTCTACGCTTCTCGGCGCCGAACGGACTCATGTACTGCGGGGGCATGCGTCCGAGTCGGAAGAGCCCACATTGCGTCTTCGTCTCGTGTGTTGTGTCGTTACGTACCATTGGTGGGGGCATCGAGGCCACATCGCCACGAGCTGTCGGAGAGCCAGCCACACCTGATCCACACACCAGATCACATGTGACATCGACATCAGCACTGGGTCTGTGTGCGTGGCGGCTCACCAGCAATGGGCACGGCGTGTGCCGGCTGTGCGGTGGGTAGCTGTTTGGTGAAGTCGCGGCCCTTGTTGCGGTTGTCCTTCATCCACAGCTCCGTCATGTCAGAGAGCTGAACCTGCAGCCAGCGGTAGAGAGAGCAGAAAAGGCACCAACATTGATTGCACCTACCCAGTGGATCTTGTGTGGTCGTTGCCTGCCTGTCATGTGTGGGTATCTACCTGCAGTGTGTTGCATCCGTCGTACATGTTGCGTCCGTTGACTTGTGTGAGGGCCTGCGCGGCGTCGGTGCAGCTCTGGAACTGAATCCACGCCTGCGCCATCCCTGGCACCCTCCCAAACAACACTATCTGCAACAAATGACACACCACAGACACATATGACGCAAGCTGCTTTGTTGTGGTGGTGTCTGTGTCCACTGACCTTGTCGACGAATCCGTATCTGGAGAAGATGCGCTCTAATGCGTCGATCTCGACGGCGTACTGCAAGTTGGTGACGGTGACGAGCAGGATGCGGCAATCGGCGCTGCGCTCCTGGTTGGTCTCCACAGACTCGGGCGTGCTGTAGCTGCCCTGGATGGTGCACCCACGGATCACCACACCGCCCTGACGCACCTGAGCCAGCGCAGCCGACGCAGCCGGCCCGTCCTGCTCACATGACACATGACAGACATCTTGTGTATGGTGGGTGGGTTCATGAAGAATGTTATTTCCACCCTTCTCCCTCCTCCGTCCACCCTCCTCCCATATACCGGGAACTCTACAAGCGCCTGTCCAGCACTCGGGACGTGGAACATCCTGAGTTCCTGCCCCATGGTGAATGGCGAGAAGGCCTCCTTGATCTCCAACTCGCTGACGTCCCGCGGCAAGTTGCGAATCAGCAGCACACGACCCGGCGGCGCGTTGAGACCCACACCCTGCCGCTTCTGAGCCGTCATGCTGTTGTCGTGGGCAGAGGCGGCTGCCCGCCCGAGGTAGCCACGGGGAGCTGGGAGTGTGGCGGTGAGTGTGGGTGTGTGGGCATGGTGGCAGCAGCAGCGGCCATGGCCGGGCTGGCCTGCGATGAGTCGATGGACATACTGCCGCCTGCAGAGAGCCCCTGACGTCCAGCAGAAACGGGCTGCGAATAGCTGCCAAAGGCCGAAGAGAGGCAATGGGATGGTTCACTCATCCGCTGCGGACGGGGGCGGACCGGATCTGCCTCCATGGCTCCAAGCCGGCCTCGGTGAGCGCTTTCCTCGCTCTTTCCCTCTCTCAGGGCGATCGAATCAAAGCTCGCGCAGGTTGCGAGGCCCCAACGCGATGAGTGAGGTGTTTGCATGGGCAGTCTTCGCATCGTTCATCCTCGTAAGCAAAGAAAAGGCCAAGATCCACTCATCCCATGCTCTCTGTCGCGTTTCAGGCGTTGCTGGTCATCAATTATCTGTTGACGAGATGGCTTGTGGACCCGGCGGAGAGCTACACGCTGGCCACATTCGCAGTGGTCTCATGCTTGACCATCAGCTTGCTGTGCGTCCTGCTCCTTCCAGTGGATGTCTTCACCGCATCAAAAGGGGTACTGTGGCAAACACAGCAGAATCGCTGTTGACGTGATGGCTGCATTGGTGTGCATGTCAATTGGTGCATGTGTGTGTGTTCATTGTAATGTTAGGACATTCGCACCGAGTGGACACAGGTGGTGGTTTCGCAGCAGCTGGTTCAGTCAACTTATCTCGGTAGGCACACCGGAAGGCTCACCGTCACTGTGACATACTTGCAGGTTTCTGTGTATGTGTGTGTGTGTGTTGTGTGTGTCAGCTCTGTTTGGTGCTCTCCTTGTGCTGTGTTACGTGGTGGTGCCGTTCGCTTTCTTCTATGGCGAGGAAAGGGGTGCCGACTTCGATGAAGACCAGGAGCCATGCGGCAAATCGGCTGGCGCACTCAGACACACAGTAGGCGGCAAAGAGAAAGGCCCTCTTTCTCTTTGCATGGCCCTCTCTCCGTGTGTGTTGGTGGCACGACACACAGGTGTTCTTCATGGTGTTTGTGGTATTGCTGCTGCTGACGGGTCTGTCCTTCAGAGCCGGGCAGAAGGCGAGGCTGCAGCATGGCAAGGAGATCCAGTTCTTCCACCATGTCCTCGACGTTGACCACGGTACGCACCGACAGAGAACGCAAAATGAGCGGCGAGGCGGACGTCATTCATGTGTGTGTCTGCCGCTGGCTGCAGCTGGCGATGCAGCGATATCCTTCTCCATCGCCTCGTTGACCTTCCTCGGCGTTATGGCATGGATCTTCTACTCGGTCAGCTCAGCTTTCCACCACACTTGTGACGCGCTTCGCAGCCACCCCCACGCTGCTGTCGGCTTATCTCTCTTTATCAGGCCTATGGTCTGGCGTCCTTTCCCTTTGAGCTGATCCGCAGTCGTCGGTCGTTTCACGAGCAGCGCGTGGAGATCGAGAACGACATGGCCACGCTGCGTGAGCGCCACAGGGCGATTCAGGCCAAGTACGGCAGTAGGGGGGACGGCGGCGGCGCCTCCCTGGACATGAGCAAGATGACCACAAGGGACAGGTGGAACCTCACAAAGCTGCAAAGGGAACAGAGGTAGGGGTGCGCTGAAGAGGGAGGGGTGAATGGCTCCCTGCATGCATTGCATCTGGTGGGTGATTGCTGGTGGGTGGGTTGGTGTTGTTATGGGTCTATCCATCCATCATCAATCCATCAGGTTGTTGACGCACTACAACTACCGGCTGCAGGAGATGGAGGAGGCGGCCCAGAGCTGGATCGCCAAGACCATGATCATACTCACACCATTCAGGGTGCTCATCGGGACGGCTTTGGTGGGTCTTTCCCTGCTGGTCTTCATCTCGCTGCTGCTCACCTCCATCGATAGGGTGAGGGAAAGACAGACGCCAACAGAGAGGAGGGGGACGGCGGAGGACTCACGTGTTGTGTCTCTCTTTGGTGGTTCGTGTGTGGCCGGACGCAGTTTCTCCACTCTGGTTGTGCCCTGTCGTGTGGTTTTCTGCTCGAGAGTCAGCGGGCCCTGTGGAACCCACTCGATTGGCTGCTCACCTGGCTCTCAAATGTAGGCACGCAGGCACACCCAACAGGCCGGCACACACGATGATCGATCCTCTGTGTGTGTGTTTGTGTCAGTATTTCCCCTTAGACTTCGTCGCGCTGGCCGTGTTGACGCTGTACATATTCTGCTGCTCGCTTTACGGCATCACGGCGCTTGGAATTCGTGTGGCCTTCATTCCAATCTTCCCCATCAAGCCAAGAAGATCACTGCCTCAGGTGAGCAGGCATACAGAAGACACAGGGAGGGGGAGGGGGAGAGTGCACTTATCTGTCGTCTCTCTCTCTCTCTCTCTCTCTTGTGTGTGGCTGTGCCCTCTGCAGGCGTTGCTGCTGATGTGTTTCGTCTTGGCCCACATCCTCCTGGTGCTGTGCATGACGCTTCTGACCATCGCCCACCAATACGCCACATTCGGCTCACAGACAATCAGGCGGGACGACGGGAGTCTGGAGGGCTGCTCGACGAGAAGCGATCCGAAACACTGCCACATATCGGTCATCGCCGCCTTCTTCAACCGCATTATCATCGGCAGCAGCGTCTTCTCTGTCGGTTACTTCTTCGCAAACTGGCTCTTCTGCGGTGCGGTGGGCAGGGCTTATGACGAAGCTGCGACGACATGACATCTCTCTCGTGCCAATCGGCCGTGTCGATCAGGTGTGTTCGTCCTCGTGTTCCTGCACGCATGGCTTTTGAGGCAGCCGAGATCACCGCTACTCGATGTGGGCACTCACTTGCACCCTCATGTTATGCCGAGTGCACGTGTGCCGTTGTCACTGTGATGCACCCATCAATCAGGGTCGGTTGGATGAGATGGATGACGAAGCGCTAGGGCTGCTGGACATGGGTACGGAACACAAGACGTGAATGAGGGCGGGAGAGAGGGAGGGACGGTGGGAGGGGCAGCCACAGATACATGGGTACGGGCGGTGGTGGGTTGGGATGGGGCTGTGTGCAGACGGGCTGGAATACGACAATGACAGCTGCCTCGCTGGCTGGCTGGCTGGCTGGCTGGCTGGTCACGTGTTGTATAGCATGACATTCATTGATTTTTCGTTTGTGTGATGTGTGTGATGGGGCTGCCGTGTCCAGCCAGCCGGTGATATGCCATTTGTACAGGTTTACTTGATGTGGTCCGTCCTCTATATGTATGAACATCCGCTTGTATACACCGTGGCAAACAATGGTCAATCAATCAAAACCGCCATCGATCGGAAGCTGTAGAGTGAGAAACATCACCGAGCTACGCAAAAACCGAAAACGTAGACACGTCGCCCTCACCCATCCCATCCCATCCTCCTCAGCTTAAAACCCATCAAAACATACACCCACGGAACAGACAGACAGACAGGCCGACAGAGAAAGGTAGGCAGCCAATCACCGACCGACAGCGGTCATTCATTCAGGCGTAGATACATGCGCAAAACTGCCCTGCCCCACCCATGGCTACTCACTTCTTGATGACCACTGGGGGTGCCGTCTTGGGTAGCGCATCGATGTAGCCCATGCCCGTCTTGGCCAGGCCGACGGTGGGAAGGGCCTTGCGGACGAAGCTCATGATAACGCCCTCTGCGAAGTAGCGGACGGACACCCAGAGGGATGTCCAGTCGTTGGTGATGAAGACGGTGGGCATGATGACGCCGTCATAGAAGGGCGGGATGAGGTTGCCGTAGCCGTACTCGATCATCCACCCGCCGCCCTTCTGCGCGTAGCCCTTCTGCGTCCCCGCCTTGAGCACCATGCTGAAGTGCGCATTGGGGTTCTCGTGCTGCTTCCAGTTGGGCGTGAACACACGGTTCGTCAGATTCCCCACCAGCCAGTTCAGCTGCTCGCCCTGAAGTGGGTTGGTGACACACACACGCACATCATCCCACCCGCCTCGGCTGGTGTTCGTCGTGTTGGGTTCGTCGTCATACCTCGATTTGGAAGTCATAGCAGTCGTAAGGGTATTTGCCCGAGTAGCCGGCGGACGGCGTGGGGTTGCCAAATATGAGGATGTACTCGTTGCCGTCGGCATAGAGCATCCGCATCTGGCCCAGCACCGCCGCATTGTGGTTGAGGTGCCAGGGCGAGTTGGCGAAGTAGGCCAGCGAGTACTCACTCGCCAGCAGCGCCTGGATCAGGTCGAAGTGGCCCTGCAGATCTAGTTGGTCGTCCTCGGTCCCCACGAGCTCATCAGCACCCGCCCGATACTCATTGGCGTAGGCCACGATGTCCTCTACACACGCCTGCCCGCCCTTGTTCTTGTGTGCGCCGTCCTCGAAGACGAATTTGGGTGCGGGCTGCCCTGCGCGGCCTGCGGCGTTGGCGCAGAAGGTCTGGCCATCGTTGACGCCGAAAAACCACAGGTAGCCGCAGATGCTCCACCACACGCCTAGCAGGGCTGTCAGCACGATGTTCATGTTGACCTACAAGCGCGGCGGGGGAAAGGGGAGGGAGGGCTGAAAATGCCAAGCTCGCAGTTGACCGTTGAAAACCGTTGTTGAACCTGATCCGCGATGAGTAGCAGAGCGAGCAGGAGACCTGTTCGACAGGCCATTGCACTCAACACGCACCTCGTGAGGTAAGAAATGAGTCAAGGTCGGCTGTCTGATGAACACTGACTGTCACGGTGTGCATGTGGTTTGTGTGCTCTGGCTGCTGCAGTGGCTTGCGGTCGCTGCAGGAGAGCCCAGTAGCGGGCGTGAGGCCTCGGCGTCCCCGGTCGGTGCCTCCGAGGCCAAGACCAAAGCCGGAAGAAGCCATCGGCCTTGACGGTCAGTGAGTGAGTGACTGACATGACAGAGAGGAGGGAAAGAGAGAAGAAACACACGGCATGCATTGAGTGCACTGGTGTGTGTGTTTCAGTTGACGCGGATGACTCTGACGAATGCGACATATACACACCAGTACGTGGGAGCGTTCTCCATTGTTCCATTCTAAGATTGATGCGCGGGAGGGAGGCTCTACTCATTGCCTTGCCTTGAATGCCTGTGTGTTTTCTGCAGGCTCGTGTCACAATCACACGGGCCATCCAGTCCGGCCGTCTCAGGTAGAGACAAACGAAGAGACAGCAACAGATTCATCATCTTGTGCGCTTCATGCAGGAATGCCCTCGATGTGTCCCGTGTGCCCGCCCTCAAGTGCACCACCTCCCTCCCCAGCCGCACCCGCGGACCGCCCGAGACGTCATTCTACAACCCCCACTCGCGCAACACCCTCATCCGTCGGTCTCAGCAGGGCAGCAAGGCCTCCCACAGGGGCCCCGCCGCCCAGCAGCGTCCCCCCTCCCCCTCCCGCCCCCCAACCGGCCGCCGGCCCGTGTCGCCGGGCAGCATCGGTGCGCCGCTGCAGACGCTGAGGCCGCAGAGGATTGAACTGCCGACGTATCTCAATATTCCCGCCAGACGGCCTGAAAGGGAAACTGTGAGTGAGACAGTGTTGTGTTGGAAGTGTGACAGTGGAGCGGTTGATTTGCTTGTTTTGTTGGTTCCTTCAGTGTCCGCCTGAGGAGCGGCTGTGGTCGATGAAGAAGCTGGGTGACCTGGAGCTGCTGGCATTCGCATGCCTTCGGGCCAATCGCATCAAGGTCGGTCTGTCTGTCTCTGAGACACAAACACACTGACGATGTGTCACGTGGAATATGTGTATACTGCAACGAACGCAGGAGGAGGGCCGGGCCTACTTCGCGGCAGCTGTCCTCAGGGACAACATGCAACAGTACAGAAAGGTACCGACCGGCCTACACAGCCTCGTGTCGTGTCTCACTCACACCCATCTATATGCAGGCGATAGCGCTCTACACAAGTTTCCTCCGCATCTGTCGTGAGTGTCGCGACACCCAGGGCTGCGGCCTCGCTTACCACTGCCTGGGCGTCGACCACCAACTGCTAGGTAAGTAACGCAGAGAGAGAATGAGCGCCTCGCGGTCATGTCTCTTCGTTCTTTGCTGATGTCACAACCAGCCGAGAAGCTGTTGGTGGGTGTGAGTCAGGATGAGGGTGGCGGCGTCGATCGCAGCGGGCGCGTGACGACGGCTCCTGGGCCGGGGGCGGGCTCCAATGCCTACAGAAATGCCCTCAAAAAGGCCATACTCTTCCATAACAAACACAGGTTGGTACACACACACAATCAATTCCCTTCACCGTACTTTCTTCCCTTCTGCCAGGGAGACGGCCGATTCTGTGGGCCGTTTCGTGGCACACCTGAACATGGGCATCGCATATCGGGACCTGGGTAGGTGGGGGCATCGCACGGATTCTGCCACACTCATCCATGTGATCTTCCTTCGCACGGCAGGCGACACGGCGTCTGCTCGCACCAACTTCCAGCATGCCCTCAAGTGAGCGAGGAGGCCAACATTGAACGGCCAGTCAACCCCATCTCTCTCGGATCTCTCTCTGTGTGTGTGTGCGTGTATGTGTGTTAGGTATGCGCACCACCTGAGCAGCATGGAGGGCCAGTGTGTCGCCATCGGCAACCTGGGACTCACTGAGCCTGCACCATGGGGGTGGGTGGAGGGCAGACACACAGCACACCCTCGTTCACTCACCCCTGCAAACACGTGTGTCTCTGTGCCTTGTGTAGGGCCGGCACTGCTGCCCAAATGCGGCCTGTCATCGGTGCGTAATCGGTTGAAGAGACGTATACGCACGTCGCTGTGTTGACTTTTGTGTGTGGTCGATGTGTACGCAGAGAAGTACCTCTCAATGGCGGCTCACCTCAAGCGAGAAGACGCAAGCTCAGGTCAGGACAAAACACTCCGCCACACACGGGCAGTGACAGCTGCAAGTGTCTGCCTGTCTGTCTGCCTGTCTGCCTGTGTATCCATTTCCCGTGTGTCTGTGTCCATCAGTGGCGTACCAGCGTTTGGGTCAGATGGCGGCATCTGAGGGCGATTACACGTCGTCGTGTGACTACTACGCCAAGGCACTCGATGCCGCACTACGCACAGGAGACAAGGTCAGGTCAAATGATTGGCCAAACAGATAGACAGGAATGGCTGCGTGGATGGTGTGTGGTGTGTACGGTACGGTGTATGCAGGAGGCGGAGCAGACCTCGCACATCCATTTGGGAGTTGCTGCAGGTTCGTGCGTGTCTGGGAAAGAAATTGCCATCCATCGCTTTCTACAATCGTTCGTGCCATGTGTTGTGTCCATCGACCAACGGATACATACATGGCTGTGTCGGTCTGTCTGTCTGTCTGTCTGTCTGTCTGTATGCAGCGCGGGCGAATCTGCAGGAGCACTTCACCAGGCTGCTGCAGCAGACCAGCACCAGCACAGCCATCCCCATCCCATCACACCAAGACAACGCATAAAGGAGAGACAGACAGACAGACAGCCGACAAATATCCCCTTCTCGCTATCGAGGCACGCCCTTGCATGCAGCGATACGTCCCACCCACCCTCTCACATGTACTTACTGTTTACCTGCATTCACACGAAAAAGTGTTGCGCCATTGCCCCTGGACCGGCTCATCATCTCTCTATCTTTCGCTGTGTGCTGTTTGCATCAATCGTACGCCATCATGACGATGCGCAAAACCTCACTGCAAAAAAGTGGCTAGCTACACGGAGAAAGCCCCGTACGGACGCTCTGGTGAACCGCCTTGCGCTCTATCATACAGACCCAGCACTCATTGAGAGCGATGCGCCTTCTGGCTGACACCACGACTGCACAAATCGATGGACACCTTACAGACAGACAGACAGCACAGAAAGAAAGTGAATGAAACAAACAAGCGATTTCGCCACGCACACTGCTACGGTCCTTGACCAGCCGACCGCCCCCTGATCATCATGCTCGTGAATGCTGGGCGTTCCGCAGCTGCCTGCGCCTGCAACAGCACAGCAGACACACACGAGTGAACCAACAATCTCCCTCATGCTTGTTGTGTGTGCTTACGAGAAGACTGGCCATGACGAAACCGAAGACAATGGTGCCGAGAGTGCCGAACAGTCGGTGCTGCGGGTTTGAGGCGTCCAGCGGTACTCGGTTGGCGAAGTAGAAGCGCTGGAAGGCCTCGGGGTCTTCTGGCGGCGCCGGAAGGCAGGCATTCATCCGCCGATAGATGTACCGGCGCACGACGGCGAAAGCCAGCTGCACGTGCCGCCGTGACATCATGCCATGATGCGGGGATGGATCAACGTGTGGTGAGAGGGGAGCCTCACAGAAAGGCGAGCTACTCTGGTTTTACGTATGCCCTATTCTGCCTAGCTCGCTTGAAGGGAGGCCTCCGAGAGAGGAACCTGAAAACTTGGTAGGGGGCGATGCCTGAGGGTCTGACGAAGGCGCAGAAGAAAAATCAGAAACGGAAACAGAAGCGTGATGAGCAACGGCCGCAGACCACGGCCATCGTTTGGCTGCGTGAGGATCTCAGGCTTCACGACAACCCTGCGCTCCACCAGGCGACTCAGTGTGGCGCCATAGTCATCCCGGGTGAGTGAAGTGAGGGAATGAGGGGCACACGAGAGAATGACAGTTGTTGCTTGTGGCTCTGGGGTGTGTGCAGTGTACATCAAGGACGAGAGTGACCCCTCGCCATGGCCACTCCGCGGTGCCGCGCTGTACTGGAAGTATTGGTCGCTCAAGTGCTTCGGTGAGCTAGAAAGACAGCCAAACAGTGGCGCATCAGAGTCACCGTTGCGTGCTGCGTGTTGGTCAGATAACTCACTGCGTGGGTGCGGTAGCCGCCTCACTCTCAGGCGGGGCGATGCGCTGGCCACTATCGCACAGCTGGCGGCCGACACGTGAGGCACATCGGTGCAGCATCCATTCCATCATCAGCTCTGTGTTGTGTGTTCAGTGGCGCCACTTCTGTGTACTGGAATCGTGCGTGTGAACCGTGGAACGTGGAGCGCGATGAGCACGTCAAGGAGAGCCTCCAGATGAACGGCATACAGGTCCATGACTTCAAGGTGACCGACCACACATTCTCACATACGGACACACGCCCTTGGTGTCTTCCCACGTTCATGCATCCCATCCCCTGTCTGTCGTGGATGTGTGTGTGGTGGTGTGTGTCAGGGTGTGGTGTTGTATGAGCCGTGGGAGGCCAACCCAGATGACAACGCGCACAGAGCCGGATTCGGCAGCGTGGGCTTCTTCAGAGCAGGTATTGGACGCGCCACACACACTCTCGATGCATCCATCCGTTTGCGTCTCTGTGCCACATTCATGTACGTCTTCGTGCCTCAGCGTGTGAGCGTCTGGGGGAGCCGTCGAAGCCCCTGCCAGCGGTGGAGAAGCTCAAGGCGCCCCTGCTGTGGCCGGCCTCCCTCACCGTAGACGACCTGGGCTACCAGAGGATGCCCGTGCGGAAGGGCGGGGAGGTAGTGGACTGGGCTGCCAGCATCCGGCAGAGATGGGAGTTTGGGGAAGCTGGTGAGGAGGGAAACAAACGACCCCTTGTGCGCACGTCTATCCATCCCTCCGTCTGTCTGTCTGTCTGGGTATCAGGTGCGTTGAGGGCTCTGGACGAGTTCATCACGTCGGATGCGTCTCAGAAGTTCGAGAGCCGGCAGAGGTTCCGGGCCGATCGCAAGTGACACGAATCACAATCGGGCGATCACAATGTTCGACCACAATCGGTCGCTTCTTTCTGTGGCAGGTGGACGGCCCAGATTTCACCCTACGTGCGGTTCGGCGAGCTCTCTTCCAGGCTCATCTACTGGGAGGCCAAGAGACGCATCGGACACAACTGCCAGGTGAGTCTGTGCGGTACGGACCCACCGGATGTCTTCGTTGGTCAATGGATGGATGTGTATCTGCTGCAGACGTTCATCCGGCGTTTGTTTTGGCGAGACCTGGCGTACTGGACTCTGTGGAAGTTCCCCTCGTGCCACACGGAGCCGCTGCGGCCCCAGTACGCCCACCAGCGGTGGGGCACCGACGCCGCCGCACTCAAGAAGTGGCAGCGCGGTCGCACGGGCTTCCCGCTGGTCGATGCCGCCATGCGCCAGCTGTGGGCCATCGGATGGATGCCCAACTACCTACGACACGTGAGATGACCATCCCCACAGACAGACAGACAGACAGACAGGAAGGAGCAGCCTATCCAGGGGTTCATCCATCTTGTCCTGGCTGCCTGATTTGGTTGTGTTGGGCAGGTTGTGGCTGGTTTCCTGGTCGAGTACATGAACATGCACTGGTTTGAGGGCTTCAAGTGGTTCGACTACACTCTGGTGGGAAGACAGCACGGCACAACGGCAGCCAACAGACACACGGGCGACCACCATTCACGTGTCTGTGTGCACCGGGGTGCAGGTTGACTCCGACGTGGCCATCAATGCCTACATGTGGCAAAACGGTGGCCACTCAGGGCTCGACCAGTAAGAGAGAGAAGGAATGTCTGTCTGCATGGGCCACACAGTGAATCGGCTCGGTTGGTCCAGGTGGAACTTCGTGATGCATCCGGTCTACGCGGCCAAGTCATGCGACCCTGAGGGCAACTATGTCCGCCAATGGTGAGCGAGCACCACGGCTGTGCGACATACATCTTCTTGATGCGTGCAAGAGTGCCGCTCATGTCTGTCAGGGTGCCTGAGCTTCGCCATTTGCCGGTCGAGTACGTCCACTGCCCATGGGAGGCGCCGGTGACGCTGCTTGCGTCCGCCAGGGTGCTGCTGGGCCGTGACTACTACCGCAGGACGATCGATGATCTGCTGGCGGCCAGGCGGAACTCACACAAGGCCGTCATCGAGGTGAGAAACATCCATGCATCATGAATGCATCTCATACGCTGGCATGCGTCCTTGCGTAATGCGTGGGTTTCGTGCGTACAGGTTCGGGAGGGTGTGGGGAAGCCGTATGTGCTGGCGTGCGGCAACGAGAAGATGCAGCTGCCCGACGGCCGGTGGGTCAGGCTCATCACACGCATCGACTACCGCATGATGGCCGCGAACCCTGTCACTGTCCAGACAGCCGCTGACGCATGGAACAAGTGAGTAAACGCACCCACATTACACCACCGACACAAGGGGAAATAGCAATTATTGTCTCGTTCTCCTTGCTGGTTGGTGTAGGTCCAAGCGTCGGCTGTTGGATCAGATGAGTTTGGCCCTTGCGGACGAGCAGCGCATCTACCACCAGAGCCACCCTGATGCCGACGAGGAAGAGAAGGCCGACCTCTAGCTCACATCATGTCTGCCACACATAGCGCAATGAGATCGATCGCAACTCCCAGAGAAGCGGACTGCGAAGCAGGGCCCCGCGATTGCGCATAAAAGTTTCCTTTTCATGCTGGGGGTGATAGCGCTCATGTGTACAGTACAGTGTGTGTATGTATACATGTGTGTCTGTCGATAGGGAAGGGGCGGGGCCGTTCTACCTAGCTGCCTGCAGTGCTGTCACTCCCGAAGGGAGCATCCGTGTCACTCGTGTATTCATTCATGTATTCGGACAAATGGGTGGGTCTGACGCCGTTGTACATGGCATTGTCTACAGACTCAACGGTCAGTGCAATCATCCTGCCTCGAGCTCCTTCGCCAGTTTGGCCATTGTCAGTTGTTGCATCTTGCGCTGAAACAACCTGGGCGCCACTCGATTCAGCAGCTGCTCGATGCTCTCGAACGCTTCACCTTTGCAGCTCTCGCTGCCGGCCGGCATACCATCGTCAGACAAGATCTGCAACACGATGAATGCCAATGTCATGAATCATCGCAGGAATGAGAAATCAAGATGTGTGATGAATCGCACCTGGAAGCACACTGGTGTGCGCTCGATGGTGAGCCTTCGCGCGTTGCCGTCCTCTTCTGCCAGCGTGATGATGAACGTTGCGGATGCATCTGTCATTGACTGGAGCTGGAAGCTTTCGAAGAAGTCTTGGTAGTGCTGCTGGATGTGGCCCACATCCTCACGGACGCTTATCGACATCGCCTCTATCCGGCGAGATTTTTGACCAGGCAGAGACAGAGCTCGCAGTTTGTTTTTTTTTGCCACATCCTCTTCCATCTCTTCTGTCCTCTCGTATGGCCCGCCACAGGCCCTCCCAAAACCCCCCTGCTCGTGCGGATGTCGGCCGCCACTCTGTTCTTTCTTCCGCTCTTCTGGCGATGGGCGAAGGAGTAGTGGGTTGATCTCTGGCACCCCACCCTCGCCATCGTGGGCCGGCTTCGCGAGCAGGAAGGGAAGATGTTGAATACGAGCACGCCAGCGATGACTTGGATGGGGGTGCGTGTTGGACGCCCTGCCTCAAGAAAACCTCTTTAAGTCGTCAGGTGAGTGTGTATGGCTGGTGACACACGTGGTGTGTGGTGTGTGCCCTGCGTGGTACTGCAAGTGAGGCCTGCGGCACACAGCGGCCGCCGTGTGCAACGGCGGCCGTTTGGTGTGTCTCTCGGCTGCGTCGATGGTCTGATGCATGGATGCATGGATGGATGACGGTGTGAAGTGATGCCGCCTTTGTGCTGGTGGGTCTTCCTTTGTCGCCTTTGTGTGCAGATGAAATGGTGATTTTTTCCCTGATGACCGTCTCCTTGCTCGGCAGGGAACCCAAAAGGTAACACATACTCACAAAAAGTGTGATCTGCACCGTCCATTGAGCGCAGACGCGAATTCTTTCATTCTTCCTTTTTCCCTTTCCGTTCCGTAGTCGCACAGAACCCATCAAGAAATACCTACCCAAGGGGAGTGAGCCAGCCAGTCGGTGCACACACTGAGGCAGATCGACACGAAAGAAACCTCTCTCTCTCTCTCTCTCTGTGTGTGTGTGTGTGTGTTGTTGGCTTCAGCTTGGGTGCAGTGTGGAGCTGACTGTGCCATCGCTATGAAGATGCTCGAAATTGCCTACGGTATATATGCTGGCGCACCTGTCGCTCACAGTCAGTCACATTGGTTGACGATCTCTCTGTGTTTGGTCTGGCCTCCGTGTCAGAAAACTCGCCCGACTTCACCCGTGTGGGGCAGGAGAGCAGCAGCGGCGCCTCGGCGACATCCGACATCAAGATGATAGTCCTGTAAGTAACCTTACGAACGAACAGAGAGGCCTGATGTCAGGTTGATCCGATCCATGTATGTGTTGTTGACTGGGCTGGTTGTGTCAGCTTTTCGGGGGACTCGGACTATCTGCCGCAAGCTCAAGCTGAGAGTGGCCATTGTCGGATACTCAAACTCCATCTCGTAAGCAGGCAACCCCACACACAGAGGCGAAGCACAGCTGAGCTGCCAATGGGTGTCTGTGTGTGTGTGTGTTGTGCAGCGGTGAGCTGAAGACCAAACCCAAGGAAGTGCGCATCATCGAATTGGACCGGCCGCCCCACTGCGACCAGTGGCCCACATACAAGACAGCAAGCCGACGCAACGGCGCACCCACAGCAGCAGCAGCAGCTGCTGCTGCAGCAGCCGCCCCCGCCTACCAGTCCCTCCCTCCCTCCCTCCCTCCCTCCCCCCCTGCATCAGCAGCAGCAGCAGCACAGACCCCTCCACGATACACAATCCAGCATAAGGACGGCATGATGCACCAGCATAAGGACGGCTACCTACACCACAGCCACACCCGGGGTGAGGGCCGGCGTGACCGATACAACATGCACCACAGGAAGGGCCATGACGAGACGGCCACAGGAGGGGCTATGTGGGTATGCGTCTGGATGCCCGGCTGCCTGCCTGCCGATTGCGACCAGAAGTTGTGTGGGCCTGTGGGTGTGTGCGTTTCTTTTCTTTTTGGCCATGGGGAACTCACCATTTCATCGACGAAGGATTTCCAAAAGAAGGGACAGATGGAGGATGGGGACTCACTGTTTTCCACACACATATATCATCGGTTTTCTCTTTCACCGTTTTATTTATCCATCTGGTCAGCAGTCAGTCAGTCAGTCAGTGATCTGGTCAACTCACCATCCATCCCATCTGCTGCTCGCAATGCAATGGGACAAGGGTACGCACTGCAATGCACTTGACCACAGAACAGACCACACATATATAACATGCATACCCACAATATGCACGATGTGTCTCTCGTCCAATGTGTTTGTTGTGTGTGCAGTCCGATGGATGTGATGATGATGGGAGTGGGGGGCAGTGACGGCAGGGAGGAGGGGGCCATCACGCCACCCGGCGGCCACGTCATCGTGAACGGTGAGCGGAACCGCGCTCACTCACTCACTCACTGGTTAAATCTGAGCTAGCGAAGCGCTGCGCTGTGTTTCCATTGTATGGTGTGGTTGGTTGATTGCGACTTGCTTTGCTTCTCGTTATATCTTTCCAGGTCGGGCTGTTTGTCTGTTGCGCCGCGACCCCGATGCTCCTCGGGGACGACTGCCCATCGGGGTGTCGCTGATGATGCGCCCGACCAAGACGCTGGCCGAGCGAGATGCCGAGTACGAGGAAGCCAAAGCCCGCATCGCCAAGAAAAACCGCTCTGACTCGGAGCAGCAGGACGACGGGTACATACCGCGCACATACATTACATACGCAGACAGCTTGACGCCTTGTCTGTCTGTCCGTCTGTCCGTTGGTGTCTGTTTGTCTGTTCGTTCGTTCGTTCGTTCGTTCGTTCAGGGCTGACCGTGACTGCGCGCGTAGGACGAGGGCAGCAGGACCATCTTGAAGAAAGTCGACAAACCCGACAAGTGAGTGCAGTGCAGTCCGACAACACACACATATACACGGCTTCCCCCCATGCATCCATCCGATGATGCATGCCGTGCCATGCTGGTATTCTTCCTTGCACCTTTCAGCAAGGGAGGGTCTACCTGTTCAGTGCCTCGCTGTCTGCATTCTATATCTTGATGTGTCTGTCTCTCTTCGGCTTGTCCGTCGTGTGTGCGTTGAGACATGGTGTTGAGACATGTGTGTGAGACGCGCAGCGGGTGACTATGAAGTGAAAGCCTTTACGGCTGCCGCACACAACACGAGAAGTGAGCGCACGAGAGAGACCACCGAGCCTGACCGCATCCATCCATCCATCCACCCACACATCGGCACACGTGATGGGCGTCTTTGTTGATGGGTGTCTAGAAGATAAATAGGCAGAAAGGCAGCACACGGGCAGCTTGGGCTTGGGTGGATGGGTTGCTCTTCTGGCCACGCGGGTGTACTACGTCGTTCACGGAAGACGTCGCTGATCGATCAACACAGCCACGCCCGCCCACACCACACACGTCGTTAATACGTCATCTCGGTCGTCCCATCCATGAATGATGAACCCATGAGCCATGAATGACATTTGACTTGCAGCTGCGTGTGTTAACATTTGCAGCCGTGGCTAAGTGCTGGCTTGATTCCTGCCTGTTTGCCTACCTGCCTGCCTACCTGCCTGCCTTTTGGGTGCGGCGCTCCCGGTCTGTTGCTCTCTCCATCCATATGCACACGAACGAACAAGTCAGTCAAGCGATCGGACACGTGCACGTGTGTTAGCGGAATGGACGAGTTCGGATGAGTGAGTGGGTGGAGAAGATTTCTTTCCACATTGGTTGAATGAATGAACCACACACATGCAGCCACACTCACACACACGCAGATCAGACGGTCTCAAACATGCAAAGAGACGTACCCATGGATGGATCTGACACATCGAATGTGTACGTCTGTCTGTCCATCCAGGCAGATGCACACACATCGACACACGAAGACGTACACATAGATATGGTGGAGGGCTGCACAGAGAGGGGAGGGAGGACGGACATATGGATAAAAGGAAGGGCCCGTACTGGTGGGTGTGCGTATGTGTGTGGGTATGTCAGTAGCCAAACACGGGGGACTGACTCGCTCTCGGGTGTACAGACAGATAGATAGGTACCCCCATGTCGTCTGTCATTGACGAACTTGGGGGTCACTTATGTGTATAGGGGACATTGCGTATATCTCAGTCGATACTTGATGAATTCGTCTCCCGTCCGCCACGGCCCACACGGGAACACACCGACTCCATCCATTGCAACGAGAGAACGCACAAGTGCAAGCACACAATGAATGAGAGAGAAGTGACCCAGACAGTCAGTCCCCCATTGTCCGCGGCACCCACACTCACACCCACACCCACAGCCACAGCCACAGCCACAGCCACAGCCAGGCAAGCCGCAGCAAAACAAGCAGCAAAACGGACAGATACATATCGACACGTGCCGGCGTCCATCCCGTCACTCCCATTGCCACCATTGCCGTCTGCACCACATAGATAGAGAAGGCCCGTTGGCCATCCCTTCACGAGTGTATGCGTCCCTCCCTCTGTCTGTGAGTACCTCCATCACTATCGTCATCATCGTTCGTTGTCGCCGTTATCCTCGTCGTTGTCCTCCTCGGCTGATGCGGATTGACATCAGGGCATTTGTGTGTACTGACTGTGTGTGCCTTCCTTCCCCTCATGTGTACCTCTGCTGCCCTCTCCGTCGCTGTCGTCGTCCATATCATCCCAACCGCCGCCATGGCCGTCGGAATCTGCACCACACAGAGAGAGAGAGAGAGACGAAATGCAATCCATCCATCCATCCATGGCCACCATGTCTGTCTGTGTGTCCCCTCCCTGTCCGCACCGTCATCGTCGTCATCCTCCTCCCCCTCTGATGGCTCTGATGGCTCGTGTTGCTCTACTTGGCCGTCGAAGACAACACCAAGTCCTGACCCCAGCGCCACACTGCCCAGCTGAGCCGTCACGGGGAGGCAGTCCTTGAAGGCACCGCTCTCGCGCACAGGAGCCTCGGTCGTCAACACACTAACCCTCACTGCAGACAATGACACACAGAAAAAACACATGAGATTTGACCACCACCTAAGCTGCCTCTCTGTCGGCCTGACCATTGTCGTTTCCCATATTCAGAATGGCAATCCACGCGACGAAGTCGTGGCTGCTGTTGGTGAGCACCAGGTATCGCAAACGACCCCCCGAGCTGAGTGTGGTCGTGCACCCGGCCACCGGTGTGTGGGGCGACTGGGTGAGGAGGCCATCCAGACGGCCGCCACCAACACGCCTGAACCAACCACACACACACACACACACACAATCAAACACACCCCCCTCTCGCCACTGGTGCCATTGATGTGTTGTCACCTGTGGAGTGTAGTCAATGTGCCATTGGTCTGGTGAGTCTTATCGAAGTGGTCGAGGATCACGCCCTTGGCAAATGACGACACTGACGCATAGGTGCATAGGTGGATGCGGTCCCATCTGCGGATGCCGTTAAAGTAGCGGATCCAGCTGTGCACAGGTGGGTCATGCTGTAGCCGGTGCTGCTGATACAGATGGCCGGCGGGGAGGGGGGGGTCGACGAAGATTCGGAACGGGTTGATCCGAAATCGGAAGCCGGGCTCGTCCTTGATGGCCCGCACCTCACCATCGGCACGGCGGAAGATCTGCAGGCGGCTGTCACCGAAGTTGATGTGGCGGCCGACCACCATGAGCTGCGCCAACACACGAGCTACAAATCTATACGCCTACACCACAGACACACACATACAGACGAATGAATAAGGCCTCTCTGCTCTCCCCTGCCCCTCTGTGTGAGATGCCGTACCGTCTTGTTTTCGTGTTGGTCAATGTCGTCGGCCGTGACGATGACCGGCAGCTCACAGCAGCCGCACTGCGCAGCCAACTCAATCACCTCGCCAACCTCCACCCACCTCCCCTCCTCCATCACGTACACAGCCGCCAGCAGGTGATACACGCTAAACTGGTCGTCATCGAACCGCAGTAGCTGCACTTGCCGCCCATGCACCACCCGGCGCAGCCCCGCCTGTGAGCTGAGCGAGTGGGCGAGCCGCTGCCGCAGCTGAGGCGCTCCGAAGAGGTCTCTCGCCCAGGTGCAGGTCTCCCTCAGACGCAGGATGTCATTGAGGCTGAGAAGGAAGAATGTGCGGCGGCCGACGAAGATGTACGTGAAGGGATGCTGCCGCTGCTGCTCGTCCTCCTCCATGACGCCGGATGCGATATCGTCAACAAAAGTACTGTAGCTCGCAAATCCTGTCCGACGGCCCTGGCCTTTTGTGCCACAGACCTCGATTTGATTTATGCAGATGGTGAGCAGCGCTGAATCGAAGTGCATGCCTGTCAAAGTGCGTTCGTTTGGTTGGATGCCGCGGCACGTACTCACTTGCTGCTCAACCCATGCACTGCCTCGGCCCTTCCTTGTGTTTTCATGCTTCACAGACGGTCGAACACGTGTGTGTGGCTGGGTTAACTGCGTCGTTGAGACGTCGCTGATCAATCAACACAGCCACACCCACCGGCCACACCACACATGTCTGTCTTCATGAACACAGAGTTCACACAAAACCAAAACACGCTCTGTCTTTCGTCCAAGCTAAAAGGCGCTGCACTTCATGTCATGTGTCGACCGACCAGCATTCTCTCGTCTCATTAAAACGGCTGGCTGGCACACGAGTCATGCCTTTCCTTCGTTGCGCAGACCACACACGATCGCAACACGCCATCCATCCATCCATCCAATAAGGGATCGTATCTATCGACAGCCACCCCACCAGGCACTGACTGCACTGTACACAGACCACTCCCTCCCCTCCAGCTCGCCACATGACATCGACACACACGTGTATGTATTGATTGCGTCACTCACGCCACCGCTGCGGCCTCGTTGTCTCTGTCCGTGTTGATCATGTTGGTCATGAAGTACTCCCCGGCTTTGTAGGACGACCGTACCAGCGGCCCGCTCGCCACGTAGCGGAAGCCCATCTCCTCTCCCAGCCGGCCGTACTTGGCGAACTTGTCCGGCGTGATGTACTCGACCACTGACAGGTGGTGGTCTGTCGGCCGCAGATACTGACCTGCATAAGTGAGTGAAGGAGGAACAATGGGCATCAAGGCGAACGAAGGATGCGCGTGTCGTGTGTACCGAAAGTGATGACGTCGCAGTCGATGTCTCTGAGGTCCTTCATGGTCTGTATGACCTCGTCCTCTGTCTCGCCCAGCCCCAGCATCAGCGACGTCTTGGTATACACGCGGGGCTCGGCCTCCTTGGCCTGACGCAACACGTCCAGCGATTGCCTGAAGGACGCGATACACCATCAAACCATCGATGGCATCATGCCATGCCCTCTCGAGATGCCGCGGTGGTCGATGGATGCCATCCATGCTCTCTTACTTGTAGTTGGCGCGTTTGTCCCTCACGAATCGCTGCAGCCTCTCGACGGTCTCGACGTTGTGTGCATACACATCCAAACCTGATGTGGCCAGCCGCTCCACAGCCTGACCGACGCGCGCCCACATATACAGAGTGCACTTGCGCAAGTGCTTGGCATTCCCTCTCCCTCTCACTGACCTCTTTGTCCCCCTGGAAGTCACTGACGAGGCACTCGACGAGTATGTGTGGCGACGCGGCCTTCAGAAACTCAACCGTGCGCGCAAAATGGTCCGCACCGCCGTCAGCCATGTCGTCACTGACACACAACACATGAGGGGAGACAATCCATCACTGACCATGTGTGTGTATGTGTGTGTGTGTGGACGAGGGCGACACACGGGGGACTGACTGACTCACTGACCGGTCGACCGACGTGAGTACGATGTAGTCGACTCCCCACTGTGATATGGCCGTGGCCGTGTTGAGTGGCTCATCGGGGTCGGGAGCGGGAGGCTCGGGGCTCGTGTTGACAGCGCAAAACCTGCACCCCCTGGTGCACGTGTCGCCCAGCAGCATGATGGTGGCCGTGCCGCCGTTCCAGCACTCCCCGATGTTGGGACACTGGGCCTCCTCACACACCTACACACACACACACACACACACACACGCACACAGAGAGAGAGCCACACGTGTACAATTTGTTGTCGTCCTGCACGTCCACATCCCTCATCCCATGGATCTCACCGTGTGCAGCTTCAAATCCCTCAGTGAGTCCTTGAGCTCCTCAAATCGCGTGTAAATGCCCCCTGGAGCGGGCACACGGAACCAGTCGGGCCGCTGTGCGGGCATGGCCGCCCCAACTCGCGGAATGGTGCCCTCGGAGCCCTCGTGGTGGTGGTTGTTGGGCGAGAAGGTCTCGACTGTGAACGACTCACGAGCCGTATGGAAGTCGTATGGATTGGCCTCGGTGGGCGGGGTGGCCACTGCTGACACCCCATCTGACAGACAGGAGCCGAGAGAACAGAGAGAGGTGAGATGTATGCGTCGGTAGCTGACATACTATACTTTCGCGTACCATCAGTCATCTGCAAGCTGCTTGTTCGACGCCGCCGAGATAGCAGTGATGGGCCCGATGGAGCAAAGGCCGTCCTCCCACCCCTTGCCCGACCCAGTACACCTCGACTGGTTGTTCCGCGATAGACAGCATCGGCAGGCCGGCTGCTCGTCAAAACCGAAATCACTGCCAATCGCAGCAACAGTGCCCGCGAAGGCGATGGAGCTCTCCTCCTGCGCTCTGCCGCGAGAGATCCCGACTTCATCGGCACCTCTGCTGGGCTGTGAGCCGCTGCTGCTGATGCGCCTCTCTCGCGCATCGCCGTGAGGCCCGTATTGAGATCAGAGTGCGCTGTACGCCTGTAATTCGAGCCGAATATATCCCTTTCGATGTGCGCCGTCTTTTTTTCCTGCGAGCTCAAGCTCAAGCTCGCCACCCGGAGAAGGGGGCGAAGATCTGAGCGAGGGAGCCGGGGTAGATGTGGCTGACACGACGTCCTGCTCGACGGTACACAAAACACGGAGATCCATGAATTTTGTGAATGTGCGATTGTATGGATATGCGTGTCTGCAGATCTCAGCCTCATCTCCTCGCTATCATCTCGCTGTGGCTGCACCTGCTCGTCATGATGCGACGCATCCACTCTGCAGCTGCAGCATCGAGGCTCTCTCCGTCCTTCGTCGCCTCTGTCCCTGCCTTTCGCCGACCCTTGAGCACGTCGTCCATCCTGCGAGCGACCGGATCCGATGGCACGCAGGCTCTTCTTTCATCATTCCTCGAGAAGGGGGAGACTCCGCTGGAGGTATCGGTGATCGAGGCAAAAAGATGGCTTGAGAGTGAAGACCCGCCCATTGTGCTCGACATTCGGGAGCCTTTCGAATGGCAGATGGCCAAGCTTAAGCTCAAGAAGCGAGGCAGCAGCGATGAAGACGCAGAGGGCCTTGAGGCAGAGCGGGGGAGCGATCATGACGGTGTGCATGCCAAGGAGAACGGCGTGTACTACGTGCCGATGCGGGAGGTGGGGGCGTGGGTGTCGGAGCTGGACCATCCTGACCGGCCGATCCTGGTGCTGTGCCACCACGGGATGCGGTCGATGATGATCACTCAGGCGCTGAAGCCTCTTGGGGCCAAGGTGTGCAATGTGCAGGGAGGCATAGACCAGTGGAGTGTGGTGGTTGACCCCGATGTGCCCAGATACTGACTGACACACCGACTTGACTTCGTGTGGACAGAGTGTTTTGACGACTGGCTGAAGTTTTTGGCTGTTCAGGGGATACATGTATGTGTGTACAGCCGATGTTGCATGAAGGTGTGCAGAAGGTGACGTGGGAGAGACGAGATTCGTTCACTCAATCAACCAAAGGATGCAATTGTCGTTGCGAAGTGGTCTCGCACACGTCTGTCAGCACGCACACACATGTAGGTAGGTGTGTTGTACACCACCCCAGGCCGACCTCCATCTCACCCCACGCGTCAAGTGATTTGTCCCTTCGGTCCTGTCAGTCGGTCAGCTAGCTAGACGAGTACTGATCCATCAGCCTGCCGAACGTCTTGTCGTCGATGAAATCAACGCGATAAGGCACCACGCTGCTGTGCGGATGCTCCTGAACCAAAAAAGGAAAGCGAGACGTCACTATGGATCGATTGGATCCACAAGGGTGAGTTACCTGTGCGATTCGATGTGCGACGTGCTGCGCGTCGGCGAGGGAGAGAAGGCGAACAATGCCCTCACCCTGACGACGCACATCAATCACACAGCGACACTTGTGACGAAGGCAGTTGTGGGCAGACACAGACAGGGCAGAGACAGAGACATCATCCTCATCCTGCTCGCCTTGCATGTGTGTGTGATTGGGTCGTAGAGCACCCCAATCTTGTCAAAGCGCGAAAACGACCCCACCAGCTGGGAAAAACTCTGAATGAGACATACACACGAATTCCACGACACATTGAGCAGCCGGTGGGTGTGTCAAGAGATTGCGTGCCTCTCGACTCACTCACGCTAAAGTTTGTGTCTCCTGCGAGGCCCCTGACGCGGACGTTCCGTGTGGGGTGGCCACCGCGCCTCGACACCTGTGGCGAGGAGGGCTGGGCGCTGGTGTTGGTCGCATAGGAAGGGGAGGGCTGCTGGGCGTCTGTGGCAGCAGCAGCAGGTGCTGGGAAGGGGGAGGGGGAGGGGAGTGCAACCACTGCATCAATCAATGGCATCCCAGGCGGGCAGAGACATGACAACCGGACGAGTTGGTAAGTTTCTCTCTGCGTGACCTTCAGAGTCCTCCGGGATGGACGTGCGTGGCGACCCGCCCAGGCCCGACGAAGTCCTCCGCTGCATGACCACGCCTCTCCTCCCACCGCCGCCATGGCTGGCCGACAGCCCGCCCTCAGCCGCAGACCTCTCCTGCCCCTTGTCATCCTCTCCCTCCCCCTCTGTCTTGTCGCCCCATGCATACTTGACGGTCCTGCCCTGCAGCCGCTCACTGATGGCCTCCCTCTCCTCCTCCGTCAGCGGGGTGAAGTGGTCCCGCCGACCATCATGCGAACGAGGGCTGAAGTCCTTCTCCAAGGGCAGGGGCTCGTTGAACAGCGCACACGAGCCGAACCGTGGGCTGCGGTGTGACAGTGGGGCCGGAAGTGGTGTGTGGAGGAGGGGGTGCGATGGGGGGTAGCGGGCAGAGAGGGAGCCGGGGCGACGCGTGTAGGGTGAATTGGGACGCACCTCGGGGGAGAAATTGATGCTGCAAACAGATTGGTTGAGACACGAACAGATGAGCGGGCACTGAGTCTTTGGCAGAGCTCACTTGGATCCGTCTGCCAGCCATCGTCGGACCTGCATGGGCATCTCGGAGCACACAGACCTGCTGCCCTCCGCACCCACACCCACCCCTCCGCCCAGGAACTCCGACCGCGGCGTGTAGTTTGCGCTGCTCGCGGGTGAGAAGCGCAGCCTCAGATCGCTGGCGTGTCCCGGGAGGGGGACGTCTCTCCTTGAGGATGACGCCTGCGACAGGGGCGAGTTGAGGGCGGGGGCGTCGGTGTTGGTGTTGAGCGAGCGGAGCCTGTCGAGGGGCAGGCGAGGGATGGATGGCCGGGGGGCGTCGGGCCTGTCCGACGACGGTAAGGGCATCGAAGGCCGCTGGCTCACCGGAGCAGACTGCCAGCAGAGGCAGGCACAAGGGAGACGCATAGATGTCGATGGCAGGGCGAGACACGAGGTCATCGAGGTCATCTCACCGCGAGCATGTCTGTGATTTTCTTGAGGTACTCGTCCTTCTCTGCCTGCTGAACCACCAACAGCCGGTTCTCCTCCCGCAACTTGGCCAGCTCTGCAATGTCCTCAGTTTTTGCTGGCTCTGCCGCTCTTCTCTCGACAATGCGCCCATGCACACGGGGTGACGACGGCTGGTGGTCGGCCGGAACACGGGAAGAATCCTCAACCACTGCCGAGAAAGAATGGCAGAAGTTGTCTCTCGATGCTGTTCAATGGCAGAGGGTGCGTCTAGCTTTCGCCGACCCGTTGAATGTCCTCTTCTCGGCGATGGTCGAGGGCTCATGTCGTTGATGCGCTCACCAAGCTCTTTCTTCTCCGCCTCCAGCCGCTTGACCTTCTTGCTGAGACTCTCATTGACAGTCTCTGCATAATAGCAGACGACGATACTCATGGAATGAGACAGACATGGAGCGATGGAGTGTACCTACCGAGTTCCGACTGCTTCTGCTGCGAGGCGTCGACGTAAGAGCTGAGAGTCTTGAGCAAGACCCGTATGAGCATCTTCTCCTCGCTCTCCCTGTCCGCCGCCCCCTTGCCTCGCGGCACCATGGCCTTCAATGCCATCGTCATGTGGTGCTCCCGCCGCCACAAGGAGGGCGTGTACCGCTTCCGCGTGAGCGCCCTGTCCCTCTTCTCCACTTCAGAGGCGCTCTTGGATATCTCCAGAGACTTGACCCACATCTTGTGACCATCCATCAGGTCGGTGCGGTCTTTGGGCAGAGCTGGCGGGACCACCGGATTGGAGATGAGGGTTCTGCAGCGGAGAGATGGCCACGAGTCGGCGCGCGATAGCATCTGCCCCTCTGTGTGGATGAAAACGGCCAGGGGGAAAGTGTCTTCGGGCCGGTACGCGGTGAGTGTCGTCTGTGCGCCCCGGCGACAGCTGGCGGCCACGATGGTCTGTGTGGGGGTGTCATGGGTGCGGACGATCTCGGTTGAACCCTCAGACTGCACTGCCTTGGCCACCATGACCGCTTGTGCCATCGTCCCTTGATCGGCCACCTCCTTCTCCTTCGCCCCATCAATCGTCTCACATGCCACCGAACGTGTCTCAATCGTTCTTGCTGCGGGCGCTCGTGGCGCATCATGCTCATCTCTCTCGTGCAGGGTAACGTCTTCAGGGGCCCTTTCATGCGATGGTCTTGACCGTGTGTCGCTCTCTTCAGTCCCCACGGCCTTGTCCTCCGTCCCAATGGCCTCCTCAGCAGCCTGGTCTTCGGGCACCTGATGTAGGCCTGCAGGATTCCTTCCACCTCTCGCCTCGTCTCTCGCCAAGGACGACTGCGCTCGCCCCAGGGGCAAAGTGGGTGTGAGGGCATCGCGGGGCGACCTTGGTGCCGACCTCTGATGGGGAAGCTGACGAGTGTCCCATTGCAGTCGATGCGGCGCGCCGCCCGGCCGCCACATGGTTCCAGAAGACGATGGGTTCGGTCGGGTGACGACCTTGGGTGCTGCCGTCTTCGACATATCATATCGCTTTGCGTAGGATGACGTGCCAGGCATAGAACGATCCCTTGTGGCGGCGGGCTGGGCCAGCCGCGACCCTCCTGCGGCAGTGGGCTTGGGTGCGGCCGACACCGTCCGCGGCGTGGCACGGGTGGGTGAGCGAGGGGACGGCAAATGAGACGGCTGGGGTGCCGCGACAGCCGGCTTCCTCGTCTCGCCTGAGGTGCCTCGCTGTGGCTGTGCTGGGACTCGCCGTGTGAGGCGACTGGCAGCCGGCGGCTCGGCATCAGCTTCCTTCCTCTTCGTAGGCGCAGGGCGTGAGCCTGCCGCCGGAAGGCCGTCTCGCTGCAGTGGTGCACGAGGCGTTCTCGGCGTCACAGTGAGGGAGGCAGACGTAGGGGGAAGGCCGCTGGCAGCGCTCTGGTGTGATCTGCCGATGGGGCCAAACCGTGGCGGACTTGCGTAGTGCAAACCAACGCGACTTGCACTGGTCAGCGGCCTCCGCGACCCCACGACGCTGGAAGGCGGCTGCCTGGTTCTCGGCGTCGTGGACTTCTCGTTCGGCCCCGTCTCCTGGACGTCCGCCGCATCTTGGGTCGTCTGGCCTTGTGGCTGTGAGGGGGCTGGCAGGGAGAGGACGGGCACGCGAGGGCGCGTGGCGCTCATTTCAGCTTAACCGGCCCCCAACGGCGTCTCAGGCGGGGGTGAGTGGGGGCCTGGTGTTCGTCTGACGCTCGGATGTGCGGGGGCTGAAGCAGCAGCGCATGCGGTTGCGACACACGGCTGCAGCGGGGGGAACTTTGGTTCCGAGGAAGGAGGGCCTGAGCCTGGGTTATCGAAAACAATTGGTACGCAATGAATGGCACACTGCGTGAGAAACGGGGTATCATGTCCGTATGTATGTGATGTGGCTGTGCTGCGAGTCATGCATGCAGGTGGCTAGAAGGCCGTGATGAGTGAGGCGGGCGCAGCTCTGCCCCTCGACTGGGTCGAACACAGCAGGGACAACGTTGCCGTCAGTCTTCCAAGTATGTCACTGGCTGCGGGCATCCTCTCGCGCACTTTCACTCGACCCCAGCAGGTGACGGAGCTCATTCGACAGCAGGGAGCCGACCCCAATGCGCAGCCCCAGCTACGGATGGAGGGCACCACGGGAGGCTTCACACCCTATCCGCTGCTGTCCCTGTGCATCGGCAACCTCACCGACAACCGCATCCCGTCCATCTGGGCAGCAGACGGCGATGATGAGGAGCCTCCCGTCGCTTTGCCGCAGTGGTCGTCACCCGACCTGCAGGAGGCCATCATGAAAGCACTCATCGAGGGAGGTGCGGACATCAACGCCATCCCGACCAACGAGGCGGGTGTGGACTGCCCGGGTACCACGCCCGTCCGTGTGGCCATCAAAGCCTGCAACGAGAAGGCCTTCCGTCTGCTCATGGCGCAAGGTGGGCTGCTGCTAGGGGGCCGTAAGGTGATGCTGCTGCCATGGACACTGGACACGGACCGGCCCACCGAGGACCACGAGGCCACCCTGCTGTCCTTCTACCAGCAACTCATCCGCCGCGACCCCACCCTCGCAACCGAGACTGCTGCGCGGTATGCCGGCAATCCGCTGCATTGGGCGGCCGCCACCGATCTCGTATGGTCGCAGTCTTTCATCGACAGCTACATCGACCTGTTGGTGGCCAATGGGGCGGACATGACGGCAGTGGACATCAACGACTGGACGCCATTGGACTGCGCGGCAATATGGGGGGACCACCGTGCGGCTGCCTCCCTGTGCCGCCGCCTCTCGTCTGCCGACATCAACAGAGGGACCCCCAATGACCCCAATGACACGCCTCTCACTGCTGCTGCCTGGATGCTCGATGACAAGACTCAGCTGCTGGACGACGACACTGCGGAGGAGGCAGACAAGGATCAAGCCAGAGCCCGGATTCCCCATCTCAAGAGCACCATCCGTGTCCTGCTGCAGGCGGGGGCCGACATCGCCCGGCTGCCCACGGGCACCGAGGGGCACCGCCGTCGTCGGCGTCTGGTGCTGCCCGAATACAAGATGGTGCTCAACGAGGTGCCCGACGTGGTCGTGTCGGCTGTCAACGCCGCCCTGCGACCTCAGCGCGACCACTCGATGCTGCTCGCCCGTCTGCTGCCCCTGGCGCCCCACCACGACGGCCCTTCCACCCACCCATCGCCCTCCAGCCTCTCATTCGGCCCACAGGAGGCAGAGGCCGTCGGCTGGAAGATCGGCTCCTTCCTGCACGAGCCACACACCGCCATGGCGACCATCGATGGGTACCTGATGGGCGAGTCGCTGCTGAAGCGCCGTGTCATTGCGGCCGTGGCGCATTTCGTGACGCAAGCGGCCACACGGACGACCAGCAATCGGGAGGTGGTCGGGGGGAGCCGGCACGTGCAGCACGAGGGAGACGCGGAGAGCACCAAAGTGACGGTCCCGCCCCTACAGTGCTTCGCCGTCAATGGGGGACAGCAGGGGGGCGGGCAGCATCGTGTGTTGGGTGTGCGTGAGGTGGTGCACAAGGCTCGGCTGGACGAGGCGGCCCAGCACGGCGTGGAGGGGGTGGTCAAGGGCTTCAGCACCCACCTCGGCGATAAGGACTGCCAGTTCCAGTGGCAGCAGCTGGGGTACATCAACAGGCGGGGGCAGTTTGTGTCGCTGGGCATCAACTGACGGCCGTGTTGCCAGTAGCTATGTTGTTATAGGGGAAAGGGTGAGGACAGAACGGCTCCACTGTCGCGGCTCTATAACCCGTGATAATGGGCGTGATAATTTTGTTGCGTGATAATGGGTGTAAGATGTGGCGGTGAAAGACAAGTGCCCGGCTGTTTTGTTTTGAGGAGTTTCAGAATCTGAGCATGTGAGCGATAAATCTCATTGACCATACAGAACTCAAAAATGAGACGATCTGTATGATGGAACTCTGCCTCAGCTGCTGGCAAGGCAATTCATACCACACGTGTCGAAGGGGTGAAGAAGCGGATTGACTGAAGACTGGTTTTGATACTGACCACTCATCACCAGAGTTGCGCACTGTACATGTCTCTCCCCCCTGGATGGTATGCCTCGTTTGAGGTCACCACCTCCCTTCATCTTGGAGGATATTGGGATCTGCTGAGAACGACCGACCCAGCCCATGCAAGGAGAGAGACGCATTCATGCGCTTTTCTCAGATTCAACCGACCACCCCAAGGCTCTGCTCTTGCTGTTTCCCTGACTCTCACCGTACGGCTGCACTGCCGCACGTCCGTGTGCGGTGCGACAGATAGACAGCGTAGGCTGGATGGATGAAGGCCAGTCAGGTCCAATCAAGAGGGAGCAGCAAGACGCTCCACAACCAGCCAGACAATCAGATAGCAGACATCGCGACCATCCGTGCATCCATTGGCAGAGGTCGCCAGCAAGTGATAGGCTGAGGTCGCCAGCAAGTGATAGGCTGCATGCAGCACTCCTCTCGCATCTCAGACAGACAGACAGACAGTACTTACGTTACTTTACGGTACCGATACAATGAAATCCACTCAGCTAGCCAGTAGCCGTCCATCCCCGTTGCCTTTTCCCTCGCCCCCTCCCCTGTAGGATAGATACGATTTGGTACGGTAGGATACGATACGATATACAGAATGCATACTTACTGACGGCTATGTATACGTACAGGTCTACGTATGAGCAATCACGGCGCAGGGACGAGTCAGTCTGACAGACAGACAGATAGTAAGTCGAGTAGGTGAATGAGTAGGAAGGGTAGTGTAGGTGAGTGGAGTCAGTCAGTCAGTGGGATGACAGCGTGGATTGCATGCAGGTCTGCATGTCTGTCTTATTTATTGCCGAGGCGGGCCGCGATTAGCGGCCCACCCCTTCAAACTCACGACAAGATTGCAAATTACACAGCACCGACCGACAGGTGGGACAAATACACACGCACCCACACGCCCACTTGATCCAAGTGAGTGCGCACTCGCACGCCCACGGGCAGAGAGAGAGAGAAAGGGAGAGATGCAGTGGTGAGGCAGAGCGCCCATGTGTCGTGCCTCCTCTCCCTCGACCCGCCCCGCCCTCATCGATGCCTTAAAACAGAAAGAAAAGTAACACAAAAATATCCATCACGAACGTGAAAGCAAAAACGAGAGACGACTAGAAATAGTGCATACATACACACAAGAGAGCGATAAGGCGCCTGGCCAGCTCAGCTCCATCCATGTGAATCGTCGATTCAGCACAGAAGGGGTCAATCAAGCTGACCATTACCATTCGGAAGACAATTACGGAAATTCCGCTGAGAAGATAAGAGAGGAGAGGAGAGGAGAAGAGAAGATGATATAAGATAAGAGAAGAGAAGAGGCGGCAATAGATGCACGAGAGAGAAGTCCGTAGAGAGGTGGAAGCAAGCACAGTTGTCAGTCAGTCAGTCGCTTGATCAAGAGCCAAGCGACCAAAATAATAATATAATCGTCCCCTTCCCCAGTTTGCAAAGTCGGCCCGCTCTTCCCCCGCGCCACGCCACGCCACGCCACGCCATTCTTTAAAAGACAGCTTCCTTGATGCACACAGGTACGAAAGGGACGGCCAGCCACCGGTCGGTCGACACATTCTAGCCGCCTATTCTGTTGCGACACTTGTCATCAAGCCAGGCTCTGCTCTGATCCGAGCAACAGCATAGTCAGTCAGCCACTCAGCCGCTCACCCGACCCGACAACGACAAAGTGAAAACACAGCAAATCATACAAACAAACATACAAACAAACAGGCCCACCTCCCAGCCGTGTGTAATCCATCCATTAAGTCAGCACTCAGGAGGCCTTGGCCTGCGGCTCCGCCCCAATGAACCCCTCGGCCATCTGGTCGTCCTCCTTTTGCTGTTGCTGCTCCTCCTGCTGCCGTCGCGCCTTATCCTGCCCAACCACGTCACCACCCGTGTGTGCCACATGGTGACCCTGGGCCTCCGTCGGGCTGACGCCACCCAGGTATCCAGCCGTGGCCCTCGACGATACTGGCGACACACCACTCACAAACGACGCACCAGCAGGGGCAACGGCGGCGGCAGCAGCAGCAGCGGTAGATGAAGCCTCATCTACCATCTGGTTGCTGGCAACTGCGGCAGCGTGCATGTCACCCACACCGACACCGAATGCTGCCATGCCGACGGGCAGGGAAGGCGCGCCGCCGCCCACCACCCCCGTGTGTGAGTGGTCAGACATCGCTGCCGCCTTTTCGGCGTGGTCGTCCCCATGCAGGGGCACTGAGCCGGGGCTGCTGCACGTCTGCGCAGTGGTCGACTGGCCGTCCTGACCGGCGGCACCCATCAGCTGGTCCAGAGATCCGACGGACGGGGCGGATGCCGTGGCCGCTGCTGCTGCCGCGATGCACTCCGGGGGCATGTCCTGCTCGATTGGTGGGAAGTTGGGTGCGAGGTTGGGGTCTTTGAGCGAGTGGAGGGGCGGGTAGTTGCCCCAGTTGGTGTCGTGTGTCTTCTTGCCGACGCAGGGCTTGTCGCAGAAGGACAGGTAGATCAACGGACGCCAAGATGCATCCTGTAGGGAGCACACCGAACACAGAAACGGACCAGGCCAGGGGTGTCTGGTTTGGCTTGGCTTGGTGTGGTGTGGTGGTGGGACTGCTTTCTTTGCTCACAATGTGTCGGGTGCCTCTGTGTCGCGTCAGGTTGTCCATGAGGATGACGTCGCCCATGCGAGCGCGAGAATGCACAGTGCCCCTGGCAGACCCTGAACAGCCAAACATACATACACACACACATGAATATCATCCGCAGAGATGGGGCCATCACCCACCCACCCACCCACCCACCCAAACTCACCTGGTATCTTGAACTCGGTGCCGCTGTTGGTCTCGGTGATGTCCACCAGCGGCACAAAACCAGTCACTATGTTCCTGCACACAACACACACACACACACACACACACAGAGGCAAGCAGCGAACGAACATACAAACCATCCCCAGACGCCGTCAGTACACGCACACACGCACACACGAGTCCACCACATTTCAGGCCTGGCTAGGTGGTCGTCAAGCTGTCTGCAGCCAGCCGGCTGGCCGGCGTCTCAAACCTAATACTAAGGCGAGACGCGGCGGCCGGGCCGGCCACTCGACCAGTCCGATGCATTCATGTGTCATCATGCGTGGCGTGCGGGTGTGGTGTGCGCCCCGTCCACGAGTGTGTGTGTGACTGCTCTGCTCACGTGTCTAGGTCCGAGAAGTAGTCGTTGTGGTACTTCTGGTCGTGCTGGTGGGGGCCGCGGGACATGATGTAACCTGCATCACACACACATACACATACACATACACACAGGAGTCACCATTGCCGGTGCGTGGGTTGGTGTGTGACAGACAGAGAAGAGAGGCGCACCGAGTGTGATGCGCCGCCAGACTGAGTGGTCCTCGCTTGTCGGCCACGTCTGAAACTCACTGATGACACCACACGCATTGAAGCGTCACTGTGCTGCCCTCCTGGCCTTCATTGCCTCTCAGTCAGCTGTGAGTGTATGTATACCTCTTGATAGCTTCCATGAAGAGTTTCTCGATGCCCTTGAAGGCCGCCAGGATCTTCTCGTGAAGCGCACCCAACTCACCTACACCCACACGAACCACCCGGATCAATCAAGAGAGCAGAGCACCATGACGGATGCCCCTGGCCTCCAGACAGCGACAGCTCCTCTGTGCGTGCGTACCGATATGTCGCGTGTGGGACAGGTTGACGTCAATCCGCCTGAGTGGTGAGAAGTGAGTGGCTGGAAAGGTGCGAGCCTGTCTGTGTATGTGTGTCTTTACCCGGTGGTGCCTCTGCACGCGATGCTGTTGTACTTGAAAGGCATGTTGACATCCGTCACTTGGCCAACACTGCACAAAGAAAGACAGACACAGACGAGTGTGGTGGTGCGTTGGATGGATGGATGCCTGCACTGCAGCACTTGGGCTGGCTCACTAGTGCAGCAGCGTGGAGAAGTGCCTGATGACAAGGTTCTGCAGGTACTGGATGAGCGCCGTCGACACACGCTGCTGATACCACTGCACGCCATCCCTGCACACACACACACACATTGTTACGCCAGCCATGCGCTGCCTGAGTGCATTCACACACACATGGCCATCCCTCCCTACCTGAGGAGGAAGCAGTCGGTGAGGTCTGTCTGGAAGCTGGAGCTAAAAATATGCACCGGGTTCCGCAGCGCCTGCCCACAGGTCTCCCCCACGAACCGCTTCCGCGACAAGATCATGTCCTCGGGGCTAACGTCCGCCCACATCGAGGGGTGGATGCCCCCAAACTCCCCACCCTCACCACGCACCCTCCCCACCTCAGCCATCTTCGTGAACACGTCCCTCTTGACTCCTGTCCGCGGCGCCGTGGGCCTCGCCCTCCCGCGCCCAGCACCGCCATGGCCATGGCCGCCCGTGGATCGTGTGGGACTGGATCGGGGCGAAGGGGAGGTCTCCGTCTTGAGTGTGGGCATCGGCAGCGTGGGTGCGGGTGGTTGGTTGTCTGCGAAGAAGACGGCCGGCAGCTGCGGCCGGTTCGTCTCCTCCGCCCTCCTGCGCTTGCGGCGTGACCAGCCGCCCCGCAGTCGGCTGGTCTTGCCCCTGCGACTCCTGCCAGTTGTGGACGTGGCCGTGCCGTCGATGGGCGTCGTCATGGGGATGAGCTCCTTCTTGCTCGCAGCTGCGATGATCTCCTGAAACGGCAAACCGGCCGGGGCGCTGGGCTCCGGTGATGCGGCCATCTGGTCGGCCGGATCCTGCTCCTGCTCCTGCTGCTGCTGCTGCTGCTGGGTGTCGGGTGCGATGAAGTGGCCCTGCCCCTCCGCCTCTGGCTGCTGCTCCTGCTGGTGCTGCTGCTGCTCTGTGTCCCGGTCCATGCCTTGGTCGGGGGAAGGTTGCCGCTGCGGGACCGTGGGACTGGCGCTGCTGTTGATGATGTGGTCGATGTGGATCTGCACCGCCACATCCCACACACCAAACAGGTGGGCGCACTGCAGCAGCTGAGGGATCGACGCACGGCGCAAGTCCAGGCCCTGGAGGCCGGCCTGCTGCATCATGACGTCGGTCTCTGCCCGATGGGTCTGGCGGTGCTCGCGTATGAGCTGCAGCAGCCTCGCGCGGCCCTTGTTGCCGATTCGCAGAGTCATGCCCTGGGTGTAGGGGATGTCGCTGGGAGAGAGGTTGCAGGGCACCGACGACGACAGCTCCTCACTGACCCGCTCCTCCCCCGCCCCTCCGCACACTTGCATGGCCTTGTCCAGCCCACAGAAGGCCGGCGGCTGCCCCTCCATGGCAACGGGGAATGACGCACCGGGCGGGCTGGCCATTGCCGTTGCTGCATCAGTCGCCATGGGTTGTGGGGGTGGGCCCATCCATTCTGACGGCGGTGCTGGTGCCGCATCGCCCGCCTCGGAAGCAGGGTCGCTCGGGACAGGAACCGATGCAGGCGCCACCCCGCACATGCGGCCGTATGACTCACCCGGAATGCCCGACATCAGCGGCACACCCATCGCTGTGGGAGTATTGCACGACGGCACCGCAAGCAGCTGGCTCGGGTCGTCTCCCCCCACCAGCGTGTTGCTCTCACTGCCCTCAGCCCTCGATGGCGATTTGTCGGTCGTCGAGCGCGCTGGCGGTTTGGTGCGCTGCTTTGCCCGTGGCGGCCTATGTCGTGGCTTGGCTGGCTGTGGAACGGGCAGCTCTGCGGGCTCCTGGGGAGGTGTGGGGACCGGGGGGATGAGGGTGCCGTCGGGCATGGGCTTGCCCGTCGTGACGGCGGTGCCTCGCGCTGTGAAGTACTGCTGGCAGATCTCCATCCAGTCGGGGGACGTCTGCCACATCTGAGAGAAGAGAAGATCCACACACACAGCATCATGAGAATGAGGCAGGGAGGGACATGTGTGTGTGTGTGTGTCTGTGTGTGACCTGGAATCCTGTGAAGTTGAGGGCCTGTTTGGTGTGTTTGTTCTGCTTGACCCCTTGGTGGTTGTTGACGTATGCCGCACAGACCTCAGGAAACTGACCGAAACACCGCGTCAGCGCCAGGATGAGGGCACTGACCTGCTCCCAGTATCCCGTCCCCCACAGACACCGCACGTCGGCCACACGCTCGCCCTGCCACTCAATCACCTCCACCAGACACCCGCCCACCACATCCCTCTCCTCCCGTCCTGGCGGCTTCCTCTCCTGTTTGTGGCTGACGGCTGGGGATGGGGAGGGGTCCGTGTCGGTGTGTCGGGGGGAGGGGGACGGCGAGGGCGAGGGAGAGATGGGGGTCTCCTCCTCGAGCAGCACGATGACGCCCTCCATGTGTTCACACATCTCGGGCTTGCGCATGTCCGCAATGCTACCAAGCAGACAGACAACCATAGCACACAGAGAGGACGGACGGACAGCCGATGAATCAATCCGTTGTTTGTTCCCCTTCTCCCTTCCTGTTCCGTCAGCCTCTTACGCGTATATGAGCTGCACCGGCACGACCCTGCCCCTCCGCTGGAGAATGGTCAGCAGCCTCTCGGCAAACTGGGGGTTAGGCGCCGGCTCGATGACGGGCAGCAGGTCGTGCTGCTTGGCCAGCCGAATCATCTTGTGGTACGCCGAGAGCAACTCCTGGTAGTCATCCGGCCGCTGGTAGGTGGCCTTCATCAGGGGGTCGGTCGCCACAAAGGCGCGAGGGGGAGCGGGCGGGGGGCCCTTGCGCTTCCTGCCGCTGCGAGTCGACGGGCCGTCGTAGTAGATGACGTCGTTCTCTGAGGTCTTGTCGCTGTCATTCTCGAGACCAGCGTAGTCCATTCTCTTCTTCTCACGCATGTGGTACGCCATGGTCCTCCAAGGTGGTGGTCCTCACCCCTAGGTCCTCACACCGATGGATAAGTGGAGGGCGAGAGGCAGCAAAACGGGACACCGGGGGGATCTTACGGTCACAGGGATGAGTCGAGGGGGGCGTGGGCTACACCGGCAGATGCCCTCTGGCCAGATGCATGAGTCGGGGGGCCGAAAGAGAGAGGGAGTTCGCTGATCTCGTCGTGAGAGTGGGGTGGGTCAACGACAGACCGGAATGACGTCCCAGACAACCCAAACGGAGCAACAGCTGCTCTGCATCGATATCAGCGCCCACATGCTTCCTCCGCCTCTCACGCAAGCTCGCAGGAGAATTTCCGCGAAAACTGTTCGCCCTAACCCAAGCATTCTTCAACGCAATCCAACTTGATGGCGCTGTGGATGGTCCCCGCAATTCTTCCTGTTGCGCACGGATCTTCCTCAGTCGGCTTCATCCACCACAGCGGTCGGCCACGGCTGCAGAAGAGGTTAACAGCGCTTCAGCGTGCCAGGACCAGAAGGCGGCAGCGAGCCACCTTATCGGCGGACGAGAGCTGGGAAGGCTTCGAGTACGGCGAAACAAACTGGTTCCTGGATGATGGCGGCTCTTCCGAGGTGGACAATGTTGCCGTATCGATGCATGACGAGCCACAGGGCTTCGATTACGAGTCAGCCGTGGAGGCGCTTTCACCTCTTGTGAGCCCAGATCGGCTGGAGCGCCTGCAGACCGTCATCAGGTGAGGGAAGGAGCTAGGCAGACATCAATCCCTGCCTCTGTGTGTGTGTGATGTGTCTGTCCATCTGCTGTCGTGCAGTCAGCGGACGAACCACTGCCAGTTCGTGTTTGAGGCGCCCACAAATCCCAACAACGTCTGGGCCTGCCTGAGGACTCTCGACTCATTCGGCATCCAGCACACGTCCGTCATCCGACGGCCGGGGGGATACGACCGCCAGAGAGACATCAACGGCAATATGAACGTCGCACTTGGGTCCTCACAGTGGCTGAGCATGCAGGAGTTCCAGTCAGCCAGTGAGGCTATCGGCCAGCTGAAGGACCGGGGGGTGCGGGTCTACGCCTCTGACCTGCAGGAGGACTCAACGGCCTTGACGTCGTTGGACGTTTCGCAGCCTTTTACGATTGTCCTGGGTAATGAGAGGACCGGCATCAGTGAGGAGATGCGGGGATTGGCCGACGAGACGTTCTTTGTGCCGATGCGGGGGTTCGCGGAGAGCTTCAATCTGTCTGTTGCGTGTGCCGTCACGTGTGCATATCTGTCGCAAATGGGTGGGCTGAAGTGGGGGGACCTGAGTGAGGGGGAGAGGGCTGCGGTGATGACTGAGTGGCTGATGCGGTGTGTGCCGGGCAGCCAGCAAGTGCTCGAGAGGAAGGGCCTGCGTGTGCCTGAGAGGTTGAGAAGGACGCGGCAGAGGCTGTTGGGGTGTGAGGGCGTCAGGAAGAGACGCATAATGTGACCGTTTGACATGTGATGTCACTTCATCGCATCGAAGGTGTGCCTCCACGCACACGCACACCCATAACTCTATCCATCCATCCATCCATGGCTCCATGGCTACAGGGCGGGCCTGTCCCCGCCCGCCACTAGTCAGTCAGTCAAGTCAGTCACCCCGCACACACATCGACTCGACGTAGGTACGCATATATCTTCTGTACGAGTAGTAAGGATGTGTGACTCGACTGACTCGCCAAACTGAGGAAAAAAGCGCCGCCCAGACGTCCGTCCCCAGCACACGCATGCAGCCAGCAACGCAGCAAGGTCTAGCTATCCACCGGAAGATTGAGCATCGACACCAGACAAATAGCGTGTGTATGGTATGCACGGGTCAGCCAGCCAGCCACGTAAAAACTGTGAACGCGGCGAGAGAATAGTGAGCCAGGGAGGATTCTGCCTGCCTGCCTGCCGGGCCGGGCGTCCGCGTTGGTGTGGGCAGGCACCGCACCCAGACAGGGGAGCAGGCAGGCGAGCGAAGAAAGCGACCGAGGTTAGTCATGAGTAAGTGGGTATACACAGACGGACGGCCACACGGGGCGGGGCGGGGGTGGGTAAGGGGTAATGCAGTCAACGTGTGTGGGGGGAAGGGGGAATGCAGAAGAAAAGAGAGCCAAGATGAAAATGACCGACCGACCGACCGACCCGCTCCATTCCATTCCATTCCATCTCGTTCATCACCAGATGTCCTCCTCGAAACCCCAAACCTGCACACACACACACGCGACGGCCACACACCTTAGAAAGCACCTCAATGCGCCAGACGAGCAATCGTGTGGTACCTGGAATGTCTTGACGATGAAGTCCTCCGATGACGCCAGCACGGGGTTGTCGAAGGTGGCGCACGGAGACGACGATCCTGACCGATGCACAGACAGACAGATGGCACATGTCCGAGCATGGGCATCGATCGCATCATGGCAGTCAATCTGTGCGTACTGGCTGACCTCTGAGGAACTCACTGTCCACAATCAACGCGTAATGACCCCTGCACACACACACACACACACACACACATGCCATCTGGTCTCTCTGCTCCTTCTCCTTCATCGCTGTGGTATGGATGGCTGACTGACCCGCCGCCCACAGCGATGATTTTGTCGTCTGAGAAAAGGAAGAAGTCGTTGCGGCCCGTCCAGAAGAAGGCACGGAGAGGCGGCAGGTGGCGGCGACCAACAGACATCTTGGTGGTGGCACGCCGCGCCTCCAACGCATCGATCTCCTGCTCCTCCCCCGCCGCCCCAGCCCCCTCTGCCGCCTCTCCCGGTGCGCTGGATGGCGCAGACATGGCCACCACTGCCGGCATGGACAGGTGCTTGTGGATGCTGCCGTGGTCGAGCTGGTGCTGCTGGTAGCTGTCCGTCGTGGGCGTCAGCTGCTGCTGCAGGTCGGCTGCATGCTCCTCGCGGAAGGTGAAGACGAACGTCTCGCCTGTGTGTGGAGCGCACAGACACAGGTGAAAGGGCATGTGAGCTAGCTGTGAGGTGGGGTGTGTGTGAGTGTGAAGGGGCTGCTCAGCTCACCCGTGCCGTAGTACTTGGACGCGTGGCGGAACGGCTCCGAACAGTACGCACCGAACACCTGAACCGGATGAGCGACACATCGACGAGTCCGTGTCTGTGTGTCGTCAGTGTGATTGACCTACCGTTCCGCCCATGTCCTCGATGAGCAGCACACACGGCCCCTTGTCCTCCAAATTGCGGTAAAACCTATGCACAGACACAACAGCACCATAGATGCATGTGTGTGATGACTGTCGACAAGGGTGTGGATGTGTGTGTGCGTACGTCTGCAGCGATATGCCTGAGAATTTGAGGCCGTACAGAAGCGACCACCGACGGAAGGCCAGCCGTGGGGGCAGGTTGGCGGAGATCTGATGCACGATATAAGGCGTCAGCAGCGACGCCGCATTCTCTGAACAAATGCGCAAACACGAGACAACGACCCCCAATCAAGACCCGGCTGCTTGTCTGGCTGCGTCATATATATACCTGGTACATCGAATCTGGTCAGTGCGGACATCTCTGACCTCACACTCGACCGGCGGCTGCCCTGGGCCTCCAGCGGCAGGTCGCTGTAGTCCACCACACCCTTGCCCTTCTTGACCACCGAATGGTGGCCCGTGTCGACATCATGCGACTGCGCCCTCACCGGCGCCCCCTGTGCGGAGGGGGCCTCGTGCCGCTGCTGCTGCTGCTGGCCCTCTTCCCGCTCCCGCTCTTGCTGTTCTTCGAGATCTCCGTCGCTCACTGCTCGGCTGATGGCCCTGCAACAAGCAAAGGGCGGGCGGCAGCTGCAGCTTAGGCGAGAGGCCCCTTGTTTGGCGTGATGGTGAGTAGATGGGGGTGGATGTTTGACATTATGGTGGGTGGGAGTGGGGGTGGGAGTGGCCCTGCCCTGCTTCACTTGAGACCTTTTTTGGTTCTCCTCCTCCTCCAGGCAGATCTCGTCCGACTCCACCGGGGGCAGCAGGTGGGCCAAGGGCAGGGGGCCGGAAAGGGACTGCCGGGTGGCTACAGGCAGACAGAGAGACGACGCACCAACAGTGAATGAATGGATGAATGGATCATGCGAGCATGACACACACGGACCGTGGGGGCCGCCTGGGGTACCTACCTAGCGATGCGAAGGGTATAGAGGTGAGAGTGAAGGTCTCAAGCGATGAGTCCTTCCCCTCCAGCGACTTCTGCGAAGAAAGATGCAACAAAACGCAGCCACACACATTAATACATTATTACGTGCCCGGGAACCCCCCTCTGTCTGTGAGTGCGTATTTGCTGACTGACTTGGCAGAGGTCGATGTAGTCGACCAGCCGCTGGGTGAGGGCGTGCAGCTTGTCCTTGTCCGGCAGCTGACACACACACAACCAACCACCGTCCTCACAATAGGCGTGTGCATGATATCCTCTCCTCTCCCCTTCTCCTTCCCCTCTCACCCGAAACACAACATGGTGCGGCCCCCCCGGCCGCGGCGATGTGGTGGTCGATTTGTCTGGCGTCTTGGACCCCATCGACAGGGGCGACAGGAACGACCCCGTCGTGTGACTCAGCCGCACCTTGAAGCTACCACCCAGTATCCGCCCCACGCCACTCAGCCCCAGCCCCCCCAACCCACCCTCTTGCGCCGGCTCCTCCACACCCGACACAGCCACCGATGTGCGCGCAGACGGTTGCTCTGGTGCGCCACGCGTCTCGACCCCGTCCTTGAAGCTGACGCCTTTGGCGGATTTCGCCAGGTCTGTGTGTGGTGAGAGGGAGTCGGTGGGCTGCTCGACGGAGGGTGTGAGGTCGATGGGCGGTGGTGGGAGGGGAGGGTGTGGGGACCTGTCACGGTCCCCCATGGCAGAGGTGCGGGAACGGCTGGGGACGGGGGACACAGACGCCCGCTCGCCACGCTGCCGGCGACTCGAGCTGCGACTCCGGCTGCGAGCACTGAGACATAGAGAGAGAGGAATAAGGAAAGAGGCAGTTGAGAACCTGAGCCATGTGTGTGGGGGTAGGTAGACATTCTGCTGACTGACCTGCCGTCGAGTGTGCGCACGACAACGTGTAGGTAGTAGACCCGCTCAGTGGATGGAGCCAAACCTGCAGCGACCACCAGATGGACACACGGCCAGCCAGAAGATTCTCCTGCGGCTCAGGTGTGTAAGTGAGGCTGTGGTGCAGCGCTGACTGACCTTCCACTGCTCGTGCTTCCGACCTCGGGACACTGACGGCCCCGCACTCCAGTATGTCCCTCATGTCAATGTACACCTGAAAGGTACCGATCCCGCGACTGGCAACGTGACCCGAGCGGGGATCTGACACGACACACAACATAACCACACACATGCATGTGCTTACCGCATGGCTATGACCATGAGCCGGCCGATGTGGCTGGCTGCTGTTGTTGGCTCACTCGCTCACCGGGTTCGAAAGTGACAGCAACTTTTGACACGGTGAGTATGCCAGGCACCTCTAGATCAGGGGTGCAGTACAGCGCGCTCTCTGAGGTCACACACGCATGGAACACACACAGAGATACACCGAATGCAGCACCGTGGCTGGTTCCCTCACCCTTGGCTGCTTCCATGGTCGGCGATTGTGATGGCGTGACGCCCATGACCTCCATGCTGCTGCTGCTGGCGGGTTGGTGCGCCAGCTTGCCGAAGGGGCCCGCCTTGGGACTCCGGCGGGGATACGCACCCGGCTGGATGCTGTTCCGCACATTCCCGCGCTGACCACACAAGGCACACAAGGCACATGAACACACACAACGAGCTGACTGAATGTCTGGCTGCTCTCTCTCCCCTCCCCCCTGATATGGCTTTCATTGGCTCACGAAGTAACCGTCGGCCGGTCTGTGTGCGAAGTGCGTGTGTCTTGCCCTCCGTGAGGGGTCTGCGGGGGCCGTCCCGGGGCTCGAGGGAGGGCCTGGCCCGCCGGGTGACAACACCATCTGCTCCTGACACACACACACACCAGGCAAGCCGAGAGTGATGCCTCGAGGACGGCACAGTACACGTGTTGGTTGTCCTGTGTGTGTGTGTGTATGGTATCACTCACCTGCGAAGGCGCCTCCATTTCCGGGGCCGATTCAGTGCGGATGGTCTCATCTGCCCCCTCTTCTCGCGGACGATGCACCACACGGCCGCCGCCCGGCTCAGTCCTGCACACACACACACACACACCGCTTTGCTCGGCGCTGCAGTCATCTCAACTCCTCCTCAAGGAGATTGCGCGGACCTTGTTTCCCGCATTTCCATGGGTTGGCCGCTAACCGTCTGCTGCTCGTGCTGAGCCGCGTCCCGCACACGAATGTTCATCGCATCGGCTGCACACAACACACAAAGCACAGAGCGCATCAAAAGTCGTGGTTTCCGCGCTGGATGAGCATGGTTTTCGGTCCATGCGGTGTGCTGACCAACTTCCGTCGCGAACCGCAGCCAGCTGCTGCTCTGAAACATCCCTACTCACTCACTCAGGCCGGCCTGCACGCCCGCCGTGCTGTCGCGATCTTGAGACGCCTCTCAAGCCGCCGCTCTTGTCCCAATCGCTTGCTCGTTGACGCCTACAACCTCCCATTCATAACGAGCTCTCTCTCAACAGCGATCCATCTCTGCGAGCTTGGCTTTAGGCCGCCTCCTCTTTTCCTTCTCTCTCCCTCCTGAATGAAATGGATGACAGAGCCGTCTGCGTGCGGGGAGCGGTATGGTGCTGAGTGAGTTGAGGGCTGGTGTTTTTGACTGACTCATGCCGTCGCAGGCGCTCCCTTTGAGTAAGTGAGGTGAGGGTGGCTGAGGCGTGCAGAGGAGCGGCAGCGGACCGGGAGAAACCGAGTTTTTGGAGGGGCAGGGGAGCAACAGAGAGAGTCGCGATGGGGACGGAGAGTGTGTGTTTCAGCGAGGTGGACGTAGATGACTTCATCGGCAAGCCTCAGGTGCGCCCGCACAAGACGCACAAACACTCACACACACGGGGTGGGACGGTCGCACCCTGCGCAGTGACTCACTCATTCCTGCCTGCTGGTGTGTTGCTTGTGTGTGCGTGTGTCAGTCTGGCAGAGGGAAGCGGCCAATGGAGATCTTCGAGCTTGTTGCAGAAGATCGTAAGCTCAAGTCGACACACCAAACCGACGCCCACACAGCGGCCGGCCCGTGACCACGGTGTGTCTCTGTCTCTGTCCTGTGTGCGCCTCAGGGCTGAATGAGGACGATGTGCAGGGTCTGATAGAGCAGACGGCATCGGGAGGGAAGCGGTCAGCGTGTGTTGTGTTGTCGAGCGGCGACTGGTTCCACGTCAACTCCACACTCGAGACGCAGAAATCGCACCCGCTATTCGCCACACTCACTGCTTCGGTCAGCCAACCACACGCATGCAGACAGACAGACAGACAGACTTTGTTGCCTTCCCCCCGTGTGTCACGCAGCTATTCTTTGACGCCATAAGTGATGAGGACGACGGCACCATCCGGCTGCCAGACGGCTTGCGCAAGCTCCGCCTGCTCGTCAGCCCGCAGTCCTTCGCTGACCCGCCAGCGATGCCGGCACGCGGCTCGCCCCTCTACCAGGAGCTGCTGCGTCTGTGCTTCCGCTTCTACGGTGCGGAGAAGGGCCCGGTGGCCAGCCCCTCGACATGTGCCTCGGGCGGTCAGGGCGGCGGCGGACGTGCGACGCCCCTGGTACTGGAGAAGGTGCGGCTGCTCAACCGGGTCAACATCGTGTTCCATCGCCTGCAGGTGGCGACGCACTCAAGAGCATATCCATTTTGTGCGTGTGTGTCTTGTGGATGGATGGATGGATGGATGTGTGTGTGGCGCGCAGGCTCTTGGTGTGACGTCACGGAACGACTTCTACAACTTGGCTGAGTACCTGTTGAAGCGCCACGAGGAGGAGAGCTCATTCGACCTCGACGGCTTTGCAGAGATCGTGGCCGACGTCATGCCCGACCTGCTCACCGCATTCGGCCTCTTCACCTGCATCGCTGGACAGGTGGGCAGACAGACCCGCACACACGTCGACACACACGAACCAGTGGATGGTGATGTGTTGTGGTTCAGATGAAGTGTCTTGACGCGATATCGTCGCTCAAGACCAGCTGTCACATCCAACCCAAACCAGGTAGGTTAGGTGATTGACACGCGCAATGAGCAATGGGCAATCAACACACACCACATACATAACTGTCCATCCCCTCTCTCTGCCTCTCTGTCTTTCTCTCTCTCAGAGCCCATAGTGTCCGACATGTCGACGGCGCCCCCAGCAACGGAGGCGGACAACCAGTTCAGCAACTCTGACCTGGGCGACTACCAGTCACCCTCACCGCCCAACCACATTGACAACGACCCGCCCTTCTCAAACCCTCAGGACACGTTCGGCGCGCCAGACAACTCCCGCAACGACCACACATCCTTCAACACGTCGTGCATCCCGCCACCGGGCAGCCCCCACCTCTCCCCGCCGCTGTTTGACCTCAACGCGTCTTGTTCCCACAACGAGGAGGCCTGCGACTGGGGCAATGGGGGCGGTATGTGGGGGTCGCAGACACAGGAGGGGCTGCTGCGGCGGGACAAGCGGCACTACAGCCTGCCGTGGGGGTCGCAGATCGGCGTCAAGCGGCCGCACGACGGTGGCAGCATGATCGACGACGACGGGCCGCCCACCAAGGCCACCAAGCTGCAGTCCATCATGGAGGACCAGGAGGTGGCATTCGGACCGCCCGGCTACGGCCATGGGGACACCACACAGCCGCCGTCGCTCGACTCGCCGCCATTTGGGTACACGGGCCGCGGCGGCGGGCACGGCGAGGGCGCCGTCAACCTGGAGACCGACAGCGGACGGAACAAGGGGCCGACACAACCCATCAGGGTGAGTGAGTGCACGATGGATGACAGACAGGGAGGAAAGTCCGCCTCACATTCGTCTGTGTCTCTGCAGAGCTCTCGTCGGCGCCACACCATCCGTGGCGGGCAGGGGCTCTCCTCTCTCGGCAGCGGCAGGTCGTCAGAGTGTCCGTCGTCGTCGCAGCCCCCCGACTGCCCCTCGTCCTTCCTCCCCCACTTGGCCACTCACACCGACGGCAACGGCAATGGCGGCAACAGTGACGGGGACGCGTCGACGCCCACAGAGGGCGCTGGCGAGAGAGAGAGGCGGGGGGAGGGCAAGGGCGGGGAGGACGACAGGGATGGGGACTGCCTGTGCGCCACATGTGTCAGGTGAGCAGAGCTGGTTGGGGATATGGGTGGACGGATGATGGCATGATGTCTGTCATGTGGTTTGTGTGTCAGGTGGCGTCGAGCCGTCAAGTCGGAGGCTCTTGAGGTGGTGGAGCCGCTCAAGGAACAACTCGAACAGAGAAACAGCACCATAGGGTCAGTCAGTCAGTCAGTCCAGCCAGCTCATGAGAGGCCACCGCAATCCAACACCCACCAGCCAGCCAGCACGCTCCGTCTTTTTGTGTCTGTCGTGGCGGCCGTCAGGTTGCTGAAGAAAGAGGTCTCAGAGCTGCAGAGTGCCGTGTCGCGGCTGCAGAACCTCACCCAGTTGCTCCGCCTATGGACACACCCCGCATTCGCCAGCAAGGCCGACATGCTCATCGCGTCCGCTCAGCCTGAAGACACAAACACCCCCAGTGCCGCCACCAACACCAAGACCAGCAGCCAACGGGCCGACAGCCAGAACACCGTGCCCTTCGCCACACAGAGCGCCCAGAGTGGTGGTGCTGGTGCTGGTGCTGGTGGTGCTGGTTCGGCGTTCGGTGGTGCGGGTGGTGCTCAGGGGTTTGGCGGCATGGCCAACCGGTACATGGGGCCGGCGGGCAACCCCTTCATGCGTGGCACAGCGGCCGGCATGTCGCAGTCCCAAATGGTGGGTGGGTGTGCCGACAAGGAGGACACACAACTGGATGCAACGCAATGCCTGTGTGTGTCGTCCTTCCTCTCTTGTCTGTCTGTCTCCGTGGTAGGGCATTGGACTGGCTGCCAATCCGTCTGGGTCGATGGGCCAGCTGTCGTCGCTCCTCTCCAACACCGTCCCCCTCACATCATACTCAGGCCCCCACAACCTCGGCACACTCGGGGCATACGGCGCCCTATCCGGGCTCTGCGGCGGCCTCGGCCTCCCCGCCCTCCCACCCAAGCCCTCCCCCATGATGGGCCTCGGCCTCACACCCGCCACGCTCATGCAGGCAGGCATCAATGTGGGCGACGCGGCCGCCAGTGCTGCTGCGGCGCCCCAGGCCTATTCCCGGAGCAACAAGCGGTTCAACACGCTGCCGGCCAAGTGGGGCGGTGTGGCGGGCATGGCCGCACCCACCACTGCCAACGGCGTGGCCAAGGGGTCGCTGCTGGACATTCAGGCGGGGCTGACCAACGCACGGCAGATGACGTCGACCAACGCGGCGGCGTGCGATGGACACGGGTGATGGGGGAGAGAGGGGGGGCTGGTTGCGTGCGGGGGGCTGCGTCTGGCTCACCCTTTCATGTGCGTGTGTGTGTGTGTGAGCGAGTGAGTGTTTGAGAGTGTGAGGGCGATTTTTGTCTATGGATGGGGTGGTGGTGCGCTATACGGGGAGGGGAGGGGAGTGGTGTTTTCCATGCATACAAAAATACCTACGTAGGGGCGGGAGGGACAATGAATGCAATGCAACGAGAGGTATGAGAATGAAGCGAGACGGACGGTAGGGTGTGCAGACAGACAGACAGACAGACAGAGGGGAGGGACTGATCAGCGCAGCAAAGGGAGGGGACGGATGATTTTTTGGGAGAGGAGGGTAGGGGAGGGAGGGGGGGGGACTTGGGCTTGTTGGTTGCATCCATGTGTGTGCGTGTGCGTGAAAGTGCCGTGTTTCCTGGATGTGTGTGTGCGTGTGTGTGCGTGTGTGTATGCGACCGTGACTAATGCTCAGAAGTGGCTTGGCTCACTCGCTCTCGTCTGCCTGTCCGTGTCCGTGTTTGTTGTGTGTCGTGTTGGTGGTGGTGGTTTAGTGCTGGTGGAAGAGATGACCAATGGATGCAATGTGATGCGATGCGATGCGTGACGGTCTGTCTGTTGTGTGTGGCGTTTGTTTGTGGTGAATGAAATGAATGATTGTTGTAGCGTGTTGTGGACCTACCTGACTTGCACACGCGAGGGCCCTTTTCCGCCCCCGCGACGAGTGTGGATGCCTGCCTGCCTGCAGATCTATGGCCTTGCATCTCGAGAAGCAAGGATTTCTGTCTGTGAGTGAGTGGATGGATCGATCGATGGATGCATCCAAAGTGGAGTCGTCTGCTTGTTGTGCTCACCAGACACAGACAATGGGGAGAATGGAGGCACACGGACGGCAGAGGAACGAAGGACATAAGGATTGATGATTTCACCGGCGTCGTCCGTTTTGCGCTCGTCTGTGGTGCATGGATGTGTTGATTGCTCCTCGATGAACGGGTTCCTGCGACTCCCTTCTTTGTCCAGAGAGGGGACGTCGGATTGGCCCGCGCGTCGGGAGTGATTAACACATGCATACAACACACACACACACAGACAGACAGACAGACCGACCGCCCTACACCACCAGAGAGACGAGGGAGGAGACGGCTTCGTTCCTTTGTGCCGGACGGACTCCACATCCACACACTTCGTTTTGTCGCCGGTATGTGAGGGGTCGTCATGTATGCGTCAGTCAGCTGTGCTGTGCGGTGCGTGAAAATGTGATGTGATGTGGCGTATGGTGCTCATTCCTTGATGCATTCATACACACCCTGTCTGTGGCTGCGATCTGCAGATTTTGACACAACAGCACAGCAAGAAGGATCTATCACGCAATGCTGGTGTGTTGGTGGCGGGGTGCCGATATTCCGATGCGAATGGGACCCACACACACACAGTCGGCGCCATGCCGGCCTTCATGGCGGGGGGGCGGGAGAAGAAAGGACGGGCTGGTACTTGCCTACCTGCTTGCCAACTTCCTTGTGTGCGTGCGTGTCATGTCTGCGGGGCGAGGTATGGTGCTTAACGCTGCCTGGTAGGTTTGCAGGGTGCGGTGCTTTCGTAGCTAACCATTCATCATCCATCCATGTATGTATAAGCTGTCTTAGCGAGCGAACGAGTGCGGGGGAAACAAAGAGAGAAAGAGAGATGAGATGGTGGATGAGGAGCAACGAGTGACTTGGAGACAAGAGGTGGGTGGTGTAGCCAGCTAGCCTAGCGCTCCCTGTGTGTTTTTCCGGCCTGGCTGCACGACTGACTGACTGATGGATGGATGGATGTACCAATGTGTGTACGTTGTGCGTGCGATGGTGAGTGGACCTCGCTCATCAAATCAGACGACCGGTTCACTCACTCACTGGGGAGAGGGGATGATGTGCTTGTGTCTGTGTGGTTGTGTGTCTGCGGGAGTGGAGAGGGGCAGTGGGGGCCTACACACACTGCTGGCTGCTGCCTGTAGGTGGGGATGGATGGATGTGAGGTGCGGTGGGTGAGGGATTGATGATTCCATCCATCCATGGTGTATGTGGTATTTTTCCTGCCTCTCAATCAGGCTGCTACTTGCCTCCTCTCTCTGTTTCTGTCACGGAGCTGGCCTACCTTCCACCCTCCCCCCCCCCGTCTGCCTGCCTGCCTGTGCGTCAGTCTGCATCTCTCTCTCTGCCTGTCTGTCACACCTCTCTCGTGTAGCCCTCCCTCCTTCAGCTCACACAGCATGGTTTTCCGCCCCATTGTGTTGTGTTGTGTTGTGTCTGTATCTCTCTCCAACGGACCAACCGGACCAACCGGAGAGGGAGGGCTCGCTCCTTCTGCCTGCCTGCCTGCCTCCTGCCTTTCTCCCTCTCTGCGTTTTTCCCCATGACACTCGCACAGTGGATAGATAGATCAGGTGGACGGCTGCTGTGCGAGAAAGGAATGGTCGTAGGGGAGGAATCAGAAAGCAGCCGAGTATTTTTTTCGCCCACAGAGGGGCGGACAATGCATGTGTACACTCATCCACCATCCACACGTCCACCCATGGCCACTGTAGCGCTCTAGTTGGCCGCTGTCGGCCTGTCTGCCTGCCTGTGTGTGCCATTTCGCAAGTGCCCTTGACTCCATGGTTGTGTGTGCATTTTTTGATGGCGCCACCGTGCTCACATCAAGCCAGACACACACGGCGGGCGGGGGACAGATAGACAGACAGACAGACGGACAGACAGACAGGCAGTAAGCAGGCAGGCAGGCATGGCGAGACGGGCGAGCCCTAACATGTGCTGACTTCCATTCCCTGGTGGGATGGACAGATAATTCATGTCGTGGGTAGCCTCATTCATGTGCGGCTGCAAGCATTCGACGTGCGCGACCCACTCATAGCGAAATGCGCCAGCAACAGTCATTGAAGTCATCAAGCATCATGTCGAACACACACACACACACACAGCCGGTCTGTCGTGCGTACTAACACAGCCGTCTGTTCGTCCGTCTATGCACAGCCCGCCCACCAAAACAGCCATGTACCTCGCCTCTCTCCGTCCATCATCCATCCATCCATCCATCCACCTCTATGCATCTGCAATCCGTCCTCCCCTTGCTGCTATCTATCGGTGCTCAGCCGCACAAACATCTCAGCTGATCTGCAGTGCCTCGAACTGCCCCCGCCTGTTGATGTGCCCCAGCTCCTGCCACTGGAACTGGCAGTCGCTATCGCCGAGGTGGGTGTTGAAGCCCTTGACCACCCCCTCCACACCGTGCTGGGCCGCCACGTCCAGCCGGGCCTTGTGGATCACCTCACGCACACCCAGCCGCCGATGCCGCCCGCCCCCCTGCTGCCCCCCATTGACGGCAAAGCACTGCAGGGGCGGGACCGTCACTTTGGTCCGCTTCGCCCCTCCGTCCTGCTGCACGTGCCGGCTCCCCCCGACCACCTCCCGGTTGCTGGTCGTCCGTGTGGCCGCCCGCGTCACGAAATGCGCCACGGCCGCACTCACACGGCGCCTCAGCAGCGACTCGCCCATCAGGTACCCATCGATGGTCGCCATGGCGGTGTGTGGCTGGTGCAGGAAGGAGCCGATCTTCCAGCCGACGGCCTCTGCCTCCTGGGGGCCGAATGAGAGGCTGGAGGGCGATGGGTGGGTGGGGTGGCCGTCGTGGTGGGGCGCCAGGGGCAGCAGACGGGCGAGCAGCATCGAGTGGTCGCGTTGGGGGGCGAGGGCGGCGTTGATTGCCGCCATGGCCACATCGCCCAGCTCGTTGAGTACCGTCCTGTACTCGGGCAGCACCAGCTGCCGAATTCGGCGTTCCCGCTCTGTGGCCGTGGGCAGCCGGGCGATGCCCGCCCCCGCCTGCAGCAGCACACGGATGGTGCTCTTGAGATGGGGAATCTCGCTGGTGGCTTCGTCCTTGTCTGCCGCCTCCGCAGTGTCGTCGTCCAGCAGCTGAGTGTCCTCATCGAGCGGGCAGGCAGCAGACCAGAGGGGCGTGCGGTTGGAGTCATTGGGGGTCCCTCTGTTGATGTCGGCAGCCGTGAGGCGGCGGCACAGGGAGGCAGCCACACGGTGGGACCCCCACATTGCCGCGTAGTGCAATGGCGTCAAGCCATCGTTGTCGTCCACTGCCGTCATGTCCGCCCCATTGGCCACCAACAGGTCGATGTAGCTGTCGATGAAAGACTGGGACCATACGGGAGGGGTGGTGGCCACCCAATGCGCCGCCTTGCCGCCATCACCTCTATCAGTCTCGGTTGCGAGGGTGGGGTCGCGATCGAGGAGCTGCTGGTAGAAGGACAGCAGGGTGGCCTCGTTGTCCCTGGTGGGCCGGTCCGTCGGCAATAGGCATGGCACCCGCATCACCCTCCTGCAGACCGCGGGTGCGCCACAGCGGCAGAGCGACGGGAGAGTCCCCATCATTGCCGTCTGCTGCGAAGATGGACGGCACGCTGTTGTCAGTGAGGTCGTCAATGCACATCGACAGCAGGGGAAAGGGTATGAAGCGTCCCGTGATGCCTTATACCCGCAGCTGGGGCTGCGCATTGGGGCTGGCTCCCTGCTGTCGAATGAGCTCCGTCGCCTGCTGGACGTGGGTGAAGGTGCGCGAGCTGATGCCCTCTGACAGCTGTCTGGTCTCATCGCTGGTGTCGTCAGGGAAGCCGGTGTCGAGCCCGCTGCGCCCAACGCAGCCAGTCGGCAGAGCTGCGCCCGCTGCGGCCATGACCTACTGCTTCCTACTACAACTACTCGCACCGCGAAGACGGACACGTCTGCATACAGAACACAGAGCACACCCAGCGTCGGTGTCTGCCTTGCGCTGCTCGGTGTAGCTGCCTTGCCTCCCCCGCCGCTCACTTACCGCATAGCGCTGCTCACGGTTCGATGCAGCTAAGCCGCCATGACAACGGCGCTCTCACACGCAGAGGGGATCGCCTGCCATCGATACACAGTGAATGCCACAACATGAGATGATCCATGCTGTGCACTTATATGATCTCCTGTGCTGTTGCTCACCAGCCACAAACAGATCTGGAGCAGACGCACGTGCCGTTCGAATAGCAGTTGCCAAGCCGGTCAACTCGCGTGAAGGCTGAAATGAAGGCCATAGCGACGTTCATCCATGGCACGGTAGGGTATATCCGGTCCAGGGTATGGCCACGTTGCTCGACCCTTCCCGGCGTTTATGACGTCACGATCTTCGTCATTGGATCACAGCGGCGGACGGCAGAGACGTCGGAAGTGATGGAGATGCCGGTGCATCAGCATTTGCATTGCACGTGATCCTTGATGCGTGGTGGTGCAGGTTGGGCCACAGGGGTGGACGAAGGCTGAGGGCTGGCGCAGATGATCTGCCGATCGAGTGGCTGGGTTGGACGGAGCGGGCTCGACACCGGCTTCCCTGACGACAACAGCGATGAGACCAGACAGCGGTTCTGGAGAGGGCAGAATCTCGCGCACCTTAACCCTACTCTACCTGCTGACGTGCCGATGGCTATTCGAGATGGAGACGAGGCCGGGAGGGAGACGGCATCACGGCATCCATTCATCCATCAGCCGGCATCACTTAAGCTGTGTCTGTGCAGGCAGTCTTAGTACGCGGGAGTGTTGCAAGAGGTGATTTGCATCGGTCAGGCCCCGACGTTTTATCGCTGCCTACATTTTATATCATGATGAGACGCGTTTGTTTCTTTGCATGAATGAACCGAGTTGAATAGTTGGTCAAACAGCTCTCTCCAGTAAAGTCGATATTTATTCGTTCATCTGGCCATGGCCTTCAGCAGTCGGCCGCGCATGAGTGGGCTCTGTTTCATCATGGCGTAGGCCGCAGCAGCGTCCACTGAGTTGATTGCGTCTTTGGCAAAGGAGAACTCTTTTCGGGGCTGTGAACCAACCACACACACAGACAGGACACACATGGATAGATTTGGATGCATGTGATTGACTGACCCACCGGCATGACGTTGAGTGAATAGTCACTCGGACCTGTCGCGGGCGGCCAAAAGTGACACACCTACACACACACACACGAGAACAGACCTCCGTTGAGACACGCCACTGTGTTGCTTGTGTCGGTCACACACCCAGATGTTGCTTTGTGTGTCCTGGCATGTCTCTCGTGCACATCCGACGTGCGTCGTGCTCTTCCAGATGACCTGCATGACACAAAGAAATGAACGGGAGAAAGAGACACAGGCAAGGAGCGAGTCAAAGGGAGACACGACTGCTGGTCACTTGCGGGAAACCGTCGAAGTCTGGCTGCAGAGACGTGAACTGGTTGGTGCGGAAATTCCACGACTCGAACCCTTTGTCATACCAGCTGTCGATCACCAGCTCCTCCGTCGGTCCTTTCGTCGTCAGCACCAGCTCGCCATACCGCCCTCGCTTGACGGCGCGGCACTCTTTCTCTTGCGCGAGGAAAGCCGCGTACTCGTCCGCCTCTCTGGCCAGGAAGTCGCTCCAGAACACCTCAGACACGCCGTGCTTGAGCCTGCATTCACCATATGACGAGACACGACAAGTCATAATTCTCGTGTGTTTTGTTTGTTTTTGTCTGTCACCGCTTTGCATTGATTTCGAGCAGGAGTGCGCCTTTGCGGACGGATGTGGCCTCGTGATGGTCGGAGGTGCCGTGCACATCAGCCAGCGACACCGCCAGCAGAGCAATGACAGCCACAGCACGGATCATCGCGTGCGAGTCGGTTGCCTGACGTCGTGTTTGTGTTGTGTGTGTGGCTTGGCCGCCGATCGATCACTTTTGCTTGCGTGTGATGGATTCATTCATTGAGTGATGCGTATGCACTAGGTGATTAAGCTAGGTAGGTGTGTACGTGTGTGTGTTTGGACGTTCGTACGTCTGCACGGATGCGCATCGGCCATGCAGAAAAGACTCACTCACTCACTCGCAGCAAGGAAGGCATCAACCAACCCACGTGGCAGCCAAATAACAGTCATGAAAAGAGCACGCACCACGCACCGGTACCACGCACACCCGTGCACACGAACGAATGAATGAAAATGACACGGTAGGTACCCCAGTCAGTCAGTGGTCACATCGGCTCTCGCATTATGTATGGATCAAGGAAGGGAGTCAGGCACGCACATGTACGTGTGGATGTATGGATGTGAGAATAAATAGCCTCATGCACCGGTGCATCGGTCATGGAAGGATCGAATCGAAGGAGGGGAGTGATCATGGTTGGTCGGGGCCGGTATTCACAGGCAGGTATTCAGGGGCTGGCGTGAAAGTGAGTTAGTCAGTAGTTATGCTGGCCAGCCAACTCCAGACGGACGAGAAGTAAGTGTACGGGCGCAGGACAGCATCACCACGCAGAGTGGACAGCAGGGAAGGCATGAAGGGAAGGAGAGACAGACGAGTCAGCAAGTGTGTCAAAACCGCGTCATGGCCTTTTGGGTCAGCTGAGGTAGCTGAGCCGCACCATGGTAAGTAATTATACTGGGCTGCTCCATCGGGGCTCACTTAAAACAGCAGACAGCCAAGCCACGAAGACAGACAGACAGCCAGGCGGCTTAACTGAGACAGAAAGGCTTGCACGAAAGAAGCGTCCATGGATCACATCACATCACAACTACCCAAAAGCGTCTCGAAAAGAGTGAGAGGCAAAGAGGGAGGAAGGCAGTATCGACAGACACCGTGGCAGGCCGCCAGTCACGCTGTAGGTACCGACGTGTAGATAAAAGCAACCAGAAATGTACACACACCAACCAACCAACAAAACAGACCGACCGACCGACCGACCGACAGACAGACATGTACGCATGCATGTACGCATGTATGTATCTGTGTACCCTATGAAATGTCCATCCCTCCATCCCTCCATCCATCCAGGAAGGAAGGAAGGCACCCCCACCCAGCAGCGGATCTCTACACCATGCTCAACACCGCACCATACAACACAACATAACACATTACATACCATCAATCTATCCCCTGTACTACTTCAATCAACCACCCAACCAACCAGCCAACCAGGTGCCGGCGTGTGCACGTGTATGGGAATGTGCATCAATCGAGCGGCTAGTCAGCCAGCGCTCCAACCATCCAAAAGCAACAACTGATGCACTCACTGGCCCGCTGGACTTGCATCTGTAGGTAGCTGGTCGGTCGGCAGCTCACAGCAGGGTGATGCCACCTGAGGTACCATAGGCACACATTCGAAGATGGTGGGTGGGCGACACACACATGCACTGCATGTATGTATCTCTCTCTCTCTCTCTCTGTGTGTGTGTGTGTGTGGATGACTTACCAACCATCCAGTTCATGAACTCGCGCTCAGACAGAGCGTCCTTCCTGCAGACAAACGGGGAACACCGCGCAATTGTTCTTCTGGTTTGGTGTGGGTGTGTGTGGATGTTTGCCTACTGCTCGTCCTCCAGTGCGTTGTAGATGACGGCCAAATCCTGATGGACACACACAAACAGCGCAACACGGAAATATCAGTCCATTTGCCTCAGTATACTTCGTGTGTGGCTGCCTGACCGATAGCGGGTATTGCGTGCGGCCCTGGGTGTGGTCGGCGCACATGCGGTTAAACTCATCTGCACAACGCAGGCACACACAGACGAGCCAGCCGTATGGGCATGGTATGGTCGCATGTACGCGCCTTCCTTGGGTGTGCTGGTCCCTTACCCATCCTCATGCCGATGTGTGGGGTGGCGATGGCGTACTTGCGGAACGTCTCGGGGAAGTTACCTGTGCGGCAAGAAAGAGCAACAACAGCATTGCTGTAGACCTCTTTCAGCCGCTGTCTGTGTGCGTGTGCGTGTTACCTTTGGACACGGCCTGAATGGCCCTCTGCACATCTCGCAAACGCATACTCTTGGCAACGCTCTGACAGGATGGCATACCCACCACACACATACATCAGGGTCATGATACATGTGGTCGCCTGCCGAGTGATGTGTGTGCCTACAATCATGAATCCGATGATGGCTGCGGCGACGACCACAAACGACACGACAATGGCGATGAACAGCAGCAGATCCTCAGTGGAGATCTTGCTCGACGTCGGCCACAGAGAGCACGCCGTCATCGTACCTGCAGTCAGAGAAAGCACACACACATCCACACAACACACCACACACCTCGATCTTGTGGTTGTGTTGTGGCACAGGTGGTTGGCTGTCTGTGTACCGACCGTACCGAGGAAGAGCAGCCAGGCGGACGTGCCCGAGATGCGTGTGAGTATTCGGATGTACTTGCGGATCCACTGGCGGTACTTGAGGGTCCAGCGGGGGTTGCCGGGGATGTCCAACACGAAGATGATCAAACCAAAGATACTGACACCATGACCAATATACGGTGGCACACACAACACACACAACACACACACACAGAGAGGGCGCCAACCATGAGCCTCCCGTCACCCATCCCCGCGTGAGTGTGTCGGCTTACAACAGGAAGATCTCATCGACGAGTGCGGCCAGTTCGAAGGTGCCGAAAGCTCCGAGTGCGCCGACGATGGCCCCGAACATGACGCCCAGCGACGAGACGAAGAAGAGGATCTGCCAGCTCAGCCCCACCCTCTCCAGCGCGCCCTCCACCTTCACACCACCCGCCGCCACGTTCATCCAAGCGGCGTTCGTGCCGCCACGACCTGATCGGCCCGTCGACGCCATCGTCTGGTTCAGCAGCCCCTGCTGCTCTGCACACGCACACGCATCACCGCCACACACACAGGATGAGAGATGCGTGCTTGCGTGTGGCGTGCAGGGCATGAGACGCCCTTCTGGCGGCCTCTCTGGCCTGTACTGCATCGCTCCTTGCGCACCCTGCATCCCTCCTCGCTCAGCTACCCTCTCTCGTGTCTGCATCTTTCTGCCCAGCGCCTGCCTGCCCTCTGGCGTGTTGTGTGTTGTTACCGGGCGGCGGCAGGCCGCCAGGGGAGCCCTGTGTGACGGGCGTGCCGCCCATGGGCGACTGTTGGTAGGTGGGCTGCATCGATGGATCGATTTCAGAGCCGACCGACCCAGCACTGTCACGTATCAGCTACACCACACTCGCGCGAGGAGGGAAAATCGTTTCTTTGGTCAGATCTCTGGCAACTGTTTCACTCCTTGCCCGAACTCGGCAATCGATGGCGGCCAGGACAGAGGCAGGTGGAGAATTTTTGTGGATGGTGCACGGCTGTTCGCCTCCACACAATCGGTCTGGTCTCAGAGATCTGCCATCAGATGGAGCGAAATGAGCTGACAGACCACTCGGCGTGAGTTTCCGGCCTCTCACGAAAACCGGCAGTTGCAGCGGGCCCCTGCGCTGACCTGATAGGACCGCTTCCGTCATGAGTGCAGCCTTGTTGACGATTCGCCAGCTGGCGAACCAGAAGGACTTAGAATGGGACATCACGGTCACCCCCGAGATGATAGAGGAGCTGGACGCCTGCAACGACTTCAGGGAACTGGCCAGCGTGTGAGCGTGGGTGGCTCTAATGGGTGGATGGAAAGAGCCGACGGATGGACGACGAGTGTTGTGCCGTGTGTGTCACGTATGTCAGAGTGGAGATGCGCTGTGGCATTTTCGTGCGCAAGGTGGACGATTTGGTTCGTGCGGTGACGACCGGTGCGTCCTTGGTGGAGAAGAAGCGGCGGGCGCCGGGGCAGAAGGGCAAGCAGCGGGAGGACTGGCTGGATGAGGACGTCATCTTTGCTGCAGACAGCAAATCGGTCAGCACGCACCACGCAGAAATACCATCAATGCCTGGATGCATATGGTGGCTGGTGTGCGTGGGCATGTGTCAGGTGATCGCAAAGAACATCGGGGCGACGCTTGACCAGAGCAAACGGTTGGGCGACAAGGCCCCCCTGCAGCGCCGCACGCCGCTCGCCCTCCTGCCAAAGGAAGACATCAGCAAAAAGGACGACAACCGGGTTTGTGAGCCAGTGGGGGGGAGGGGAGTGGGGTGGGTTAGAAAGGGTGGATGTGCATCCATCCTCTCTGTGTGTGTGTGGTCAGACTGCGTATCCGTTGCATTCGTCTGGGATGGCGTTGCTGGATGAGCACGATGCCGTCATCTTCAGCGACATCTTCGCACAGCACCTGCCCAAGCAGGGAGACGACCAGCAACCACCGATCCCCATCCCACCAGGGTAAAAAAGAGAGAAGGGACGAAAATGCAATGCATACGACCAGTCTCGGAAGCCTTTTGTCCATTTCTCCTCCTTGTGTCATTTCCTGCCCTCTGCTGTCCGCTGGCTCTCAGAGCTGCCCGCCCAGCTGTCATGGTGCTGCAATAAAAGGAGGAGAAACACCTATCCAGCACACACAGAATTATGGGCAAAGTGTAGTTGGCTGTGTGCGGTTGATATCTGTCAGGATGGAGACGGTGTTGCGCGTGACGCCGAGGGCGACGTGGAGATGGGCGGCGGCGACGACGATGACGACATAGAGGACGCTGACATGGGTACACACACAAACAGTGCACACACGCGGAAGCCATCCATCCATCTTTCCCTCGTAGGCCTGCCCGCACGCCCCACCGTAGCTGACGGTGACGGTGCCGTAGTGGCTGTGGGTGGCGAGAGGGGACCGGCCGCAACAGCAGGTGCTGCAGGGGACTCCTTCACGGTCGACCCGAGCCAGTCCGACTCGCATAGTGAAGGCCGTGGCGAAAGAGTGCCGGTGCGTCAGGCCGGCGCGTCGGGTGGGCCGAGGAGGCGCGGCAAGGACCCATGGGCGAAGCTAGACCTGCACGAGAAACTAGGTGGAGAGGGAGGGAGATGGGATGGAAGGGGTGGGTGGATGGACGCATCGATGAGCGCGTGTGTGACATGTCGTTATATATATATGTGTGTGTGTGTGTGTCTGTGTGTGTTGCAGGTCGTGACAAGCCTCTGAAGCTGCCGAAGAGGAGCTACGCCAACAAGTACACCCCCAAACACATGCACACACACACACACACACATACATCCGTACCTTCATGCCTCATCAGGGCGCCGTCGGAGTTGTTCTGCTGCGGGTACGAGAAGCTCGATCCCGTGATCTTCGACTACTTCAGCACCAGCCCCCCACTCAAGTGCCTCTACCGCGACGAATGGCTCAAGGCACACGCTGCAGACCCCTCACAGCAGCAGCCTTCCCCCTCCCCCTCCTCATCCCTCGACAAGCTGGCCCCCGTCCGTCTGCCGGGTCTGCCTGAGCTCAAGCGCCCGCTGCTGCTGTGCGAAAAGTGGCGGATGGGTCTCAAGTGGGCGGCCTTTGAGGACCTCTTCCAAAAGGCACACAAGGACAGAAAACGACAGGGAGGCGGTAGACAGGTCAGTCAGTAGGAAGGAGGAGGGAGGACAAATATATGGCCGGCCACACGACCGGCAAATGGCTCTCCATGGGTCTGTGTGTGTCTCAGCCGCGTGCTCGCGCTCGTCGTCCGGTGGATGGCGCGGCTGGTGATGGGCGTGCGGACGGCGGGGGCTATGGCAATGATGAGGATGACGATGACGACGACGACGGTGGGTTCGAGTTCAACCTGCGGGGCGAGGGCGGGCAGGAGGAGCAGAACAACCGGGAGGGCGACGCGGCGGGGCAGTACGACAGGAACCGAGACGAACGTGAGAACTCTCTCCACACATGCATTTATGCGCCATCTGCTTTCATGTGTGTGTGCGCGTGTGTGTCTCCTTGATGCAGCTGAGTTTGAGACAGAGTTCGGTATCGATTTCCAGCAGCAGGTGCAGGCCCTGCAGGGCAGACGGCTGCATGAGATGGGCAGCACTGACGACGATGACGACCACTGCTTCAGAAGGTACGCACACACACACACACACAGAGAGAGAGAGAGAGAGACACACACACACACGAATGCATCTGTGTGTCGGCCGGCCAGGGTCAAGTTGTTCCATGATTTCGTCCGTCGCCGCATCCACCGCAGCTCCAAGCGCGCCCCGTTCGACATCCACGTGTACATCAAGCGACTCGCAAACAAGATCAACCAAAAGGTGGCCGGCCACCCGATACGTTGCTGGATGGATGGATCGATGTCCGACAGCCAGACAGCTCATTCATTTCGTCTTTGTGAGTGTGTTGGCTGGCTGTGTGTCTGTCAGGGTGGCAAGGCCGACTTCGAGGAGCTGATGCGGGACGAGCGCGCAGAAGAGGTCTACCGATACTTCGCTGCGTTCCTGCAGGTCGATCACATCACCACACACACCGCCCCGCCCACAACGGACACACACCGCGATCACTGCTCTGCTCTCACTGCCCTTACGTGCATCAATCAGATGGGCAACTCTGGGTTCGTTGACTTCGAGCACGTCATCGACGTCGACGCTGACGACGCATCGGTCATGCCGCCCCCGCCACAGCAGCCCAGACACCCACGCATCAAGAAGGAACCCGAGCCCACACAGCCAGACCAAAACCAAGACCAAGAAAACCAAGAGCCTCCTGCCGCCGCCGCCGCCGCCGCAGCAGCAGCAGCAGCAGAGGTTCAAGACGAGCCGATGGAAGATGTGAATGGCGCAGGTGCGGCGGCGGCAGCAGCAGCACCAGCTGGTGATGGTCGTGAGGCGGGCGAGGGCGAGGGTGAGGGTGGGGAGTGTGAGGATGGCGACGAGGGGCTGGTGGGGCTGCCCATACAAGTAGCGGGTGCAGCGGGCCAGGCAGGGGACGGTGAGGGGGAGGGGGCCATGGATGAGGCCATGCTGCAGAAGGCAGACGAGGACGACGAAATCGCAAGACTGAAGGAGAAACAACGTACATGAGGGAAGGGAAACGGACACGTGGCGTCTCGTCTCTCCACGGCATCAAATGGTTGCTGGTGTCTCTGTCTGTGCATTGCATTCGTCTCTCCTTCGCCCGGTGAGGTGCAGAGTTGTTGCTGTGTGAGCCCAAGTTGCTGCGGCACCACTTCGCCCTCCAGCTGCTCAAGGACCCTGCAGAGGCCAGGTAACGATCCATCCCATGACTCACACAAAATGAGACACACACATGACACACACCTACACATTTCTCTCCGGGTCAGTCGCATTATCATCGACGAGGAGCCCGCCCCGTCGCCCCCGCCACCCCCTCCAGCTCGAGACGACGCAGACGATGACGGCGACGACGAGGCGTACGAGGACAGACCGAAGCGGCGGAAGAAGGGTGGCGGTGCCAAGGCCAAACCCAAGCAGGACAGACGCAAGAAGAAACACAAGAAACAGCACAGCAGTGACGACGAAGAGGGAGAGGGAGAGGGGGAAGACGGTGAGTGACAGATAAATATCACACATGACCACCACAGCCAGTGTGGGTGCCAAGCAGCATGTCCTTCGCAATCCCCTTCCTCTCTCTCTTTCTGTCCGTGTGTGTGTGCGTGCCCGTGTGTGTGGTCAGGTGTCGCCATGGAGCTGGAGGGTGGAGAGGCGGATGAGGCCATGCCCAAGGCGCCCAAGCCCAGGAAGCGGCGCGACAAGAACAAGAAGAAAGACAAACCCCCAACGCCTCACCAGCAGCAGCAGCAGCAGCAAGAGCCCGACGAGCAGGATGACGAACAAGACAACGACCACCAGCAGCAGCAGGATCAGCAAGATCAGCAGCAGGAAGAGGATGGGTATGAGCCCATGGAGGAGGAGGAAGAAGAGCAAGAGGAGGCCCGCCCCAAGCCCAAGAAGGGGCCAAAGAACAAAAAGAACAAGAAGCGACGTGAGGTCGAAGATGACGAGAACCACGAGGAGGGGGACGGGCAGGGTGGCGATGGTGGCGAGGTGCCGGAGACGCCTCCCAAGGCGGCCCCCCGTCGCGCCTTCCCTGGCCGCACACCCCCGCCCGACGAGTATGACGGCAGAGGCGTCCTGGGGCTGCTTGGCGACTGACTGAGTGACTTAGGGGAGGGAGCGGAGCGGTGGGGTGGATAGTCCATGTCCGTGACAGTGACTCAGTTCATGATGGACTTCTTCCTGTCGTGTGGTGCATTCATTGCAGGCGAGGCAATGTCCAATTATTCCAACGCACCGCTCATCAATCAATCACTGAACATGAAGAGTGCTTAGACAGATAGATCCATATACGTGTCGGTCTGTACACACACGGCGAGACGATCGGATCGACCACTCATTTCCCTCCTTTGCATGGCATGCAGCCGGCCGGCATTCCTCATCGCCTTGTCCCGTTCATCGCCGCATCACTAATGATGAGGATCGCCAGAGCTGGCGATTCTCCTGGTTAGCGGCGCGGACCTGCGCGAGACAAGCCCGAAGAGACGGACAGCGCCCCAGAAACCACCCACGCACACCCGTCGAAAAACAAAGCGTCGCTCATCTGTCGGGCCGGCCCGCCGGCTATTCCTCCTCTTCCTCTCCTTGTTTGCCCAAGACGACCGTGTCGCCGCTCCACAGCGGCCCCTCCCGACTCTCCAACTCGTCACTCACAAACACAGACGGCTTGTGGCCCTGAACACACACACGCACCCCGACACAATAAACACACATCGATGCCCATTTAGGTCTGTCTGTCCGTGTGCTGACATTGATGGTGCTGACGGCCACGTCGATCCGCAGGTCGTCGGTATGGAAGGCGTACTTGGACCACACCTCAAACCCACCCATCGCCGACAGCTTGAACTTGCCCCTGGCACGAGACAGACCACCCGCTTTCTTATGCTCGTCGCCGGGAGAAGTGATCGGCGCGCTGAGCGCCCGCAGCGTGTCCATCGAGCAGCCCCGCAACACGCACAACGCCCGTCTGCTCGGGGGCTTCAGCGTGAGATCAAGGAATGAGGGCGAGTAGTTGACGGCGGTGCACCGCTGCTGCTTGCCGCAGGCCGTGAGGCACTCGTCGAGGTCGGCCACGTCGAATATGTTGCGGAGGTTTGGGCATAGATGGTCGGGGATGACCTCGTCGGAGGCTACCAACGTCCAGCGGTCAGCCGGCGAGGCATACCGATCCATAGCCAACGCTGCAGGCACGTGAGGAGAAGGAGATGACGGCAGAGAGTGCGTATGGTTCATTTGGTGGTGGGCGCCCCGCCGTCCATGTGGTGCCTTACCGCTCTTGAAGTCGAATTTGTACACGAATGGTCCGCTCTGAGGGGAGAACTTCAGCTGGACAGCCGGCAGCAAGCCGATATGGATGTCGAGGCCGACACGGTTGATGGTGACTGGCCGTGATGCGTAACCTGAAGGGCTCCCCGACGACCGCACCCCGCCCGGCTGCACCTGTGATGGCACGCTGACACGCAGAACGAACAAACCATATCGGTGTGCGTGTGTCAGAGGTTTCAGTGATAGGTCGGTCGGTCACACTCACTCACTCGATGATGAGCATGGCGGATCGGCGGTCCTCGTCGGTCTCCTCGCCGTATTTGGGGTAGACCGAGAGGGTGAAGGGGTCCAGGCCGCTCAGGGAAGTCGTCTGCTCGAGGGCTGAGCCCGCAGGCAGCCCACGCAACGACTGACAAGAGAAGGAAAGGACACAGAAAGTGAAGACACTTGCCGGCCTTGTGTGTCTGTTGTGGGCATGATTTGGGCGCGGCGCATATCAGACTGACCTTCTCGAAGTCCGCTATGTCCCACCGCACCTTGGCTGCCCTTCGGTGGTACAGTGCCGACACCTCGCGCTTCAGGGCATCATTCTCGCGCTGCAGAGGCGACAGCTCACCACGGCTCACACCATCCTGGACCAACACACGACACACGACACACATCACAACCACCCGGAAGCGCCTCTCCCCTCCCCCTAAAGACCTACCACAGACGGTGATCTCGCGCTGGTTGCGTGGTCAGATGGCGGGACATTCACGTGTGTCTTCGCTGCTGGTGGCTGGTGGGCGGGCTCGGGCTGGGCGGGACGGGGAGAGATGGCCGTGATGACCATCACGAGCAGGTTGGGGAAGAAGGAATATCCCAGAGCCACCCTCGTGACGCCCATGAAGAAGACGACACAGGCGAGGAAGGCCAGCCTCGAGCCACACTCCTGAAGATTCGGCCGCAGCCACATCCATAGCTCATCCGCCCACTCACGCGCACGCTCACGGGCAGAGCTCCTCTCTCCAGCCACCACAGCCGCCTCCGCACGGCTGTTTCCATCATCGCCACGCATCATGCTGAGAGAGTGGATTGGTCCCAGGATGGGTGGTGGCGGTGTGGTGTGCCAGTGCCACACCGGCGGCCGCGTGTGTGTGGCGGGGGAGGGGGTGGGCACGACGACAAAGTGCAGGTGGGGGATGGAGTTGGTCGTCAGGGTGAGCAGCGTCACGTTGGCAGGGACCGGTGGGAGGGAGGCCAGGTGCGACTGGGCCGCGACAAGGAATGAGTGGAGGTCCTTCTCCGTCGATATGGGAACATAGCTCTTGTCTGGGAGGCTGCCTGCACGCCACGCAACACACATGCACAGAAGTGAATAACACCGCGCTGCACTTTGCCTCAGCAGTGCATGTGTGCTTGTCACCTGCCATGATGCAGTCATCTCCACACACAGCTATGGCACTCTCGTTTGGTGCCCACCCGGACTGCGTGTCTGCAGATGACGCCAGCACTTCGCTCGCCGTCAGCCGCACCTTAACCATGCTCATTCTCTCTGTCACCACCAGTGTGCTGATCTGATCTTTCTTGCCAGCGGCACTGACGACAACAGGCAGCCCAAACTCAGACATTGCGCACCGTCCAGCGTTTTAAGTGGTCATTCCTCTTTTCTGGGGATACAGCATCGTGCACCATGATGACTCCACCCTGCGTGTTTCATGCCAGTGGGTGGGTTTCATGCGAGCTACACAGCGATCGCCTTTCGGGGAGGACAACACAGCAGCAGCAGCAGAAGGCCGCGGGGATGCAGCACAGGACAGAGCAGAAGCCACAATGAGCGATATGTCGTGATCTAGCTGCGTCGATGGACGACTCCTCCAAGAACCTGCGGAAATGCCTGGCTGGCGGCAAGAAGGCAGTCGACGATGACAGGAACACCCAAGATGGAGGCCACGATCCGCCAGCAGACTCCCTCGGCCGCGGCAGCGCGACGAAAGAGCAGATAGGCGTCCCCTCTACTTGCTTGCCCATCGCCCCTCACACAGCGCAGCATGCCAGCAGTGCGTCCTCGGCTGGGAAGGCCAGCCATGGCGGCAAGGGAGGCAACGAGAGGAGGGACGCACCGTCTGCAGACAGTGATGTCATCCAGAGGCCACATGCAGCTCCTGTCAAGGTGCGTACACACACACACACACACACACACCACACACGAGAACGCTCGTGTTTGGTTTGTGTGTGTGTGTGTGGATACCCAAGCTCTCTCTGCGTCAGGAGCCTCTCGTAGATGCTGGCGGCGTCAGCAAGGGGCAGTGCAATCGCAAGCCCGTTCGTGATGAGCATTTCAACATCGTCCCTCCCATCCACCCCGACGAGGCAGCACGGATGGTGTCAGAGGTCGCCGAGCAGTCGCGTGCATCGCTTTCTCGGCCTGGTGGCGACTGGATGGGGGAGGTTGGTGCCGGCCTCAAGCAGCGCATGCCCCATCACCGGTTCTTCTGCGTGCGCTTTCGGAGCGATACATACGCAGTATCCGCTGCCTCATGTTCGGCGTACACACACGAGGTAAGGAAGCACACAAATCATTCGCACACACTTGGTCATGGCTTCTCTGCATGTACCGCCGTGCAGCCCCTCTGTGTGTGTTTGGCCGACGGGCGTGAGGCCGGCGACCCCTCCGCACCGACATCGGTGTCCCCAGAGGAGAATGGGCACTTCGTGACGGCGGTCCGCATGACGTTGAAGCAGGCGCGCGAGAAGGGGCGGAGCCACGAAAAGGACGAGCGTCTCGTCGCCATTGACATGAAAGGACTCGCGGAGAAGGTGCTGAACCAGCTGATCGATCGCAGAGTGGTGGTCGGCGGTCACCCCAAGACCATCGTCCTGCTGTCAGCCGAGCAGCCACTGCCCTCGGACTGGCCTCATGACGGATCTGCCAGCGCGGTGTCGGCCAAGTGGACTCGGGGAGCGGACACTCCCCCCCTGTGGTTCTACTTGATCAGATGGAACCCCCTCAGCAGCACCACCGACAGCAGCGCGTCTTTTGTGACGGCGGACGTGCAGGCAGCCAACACCATAGCCCTTCCCCCGCCCCGAGTCGCTGGTCAGGTGCCTGCTGTTGACGGCGCCAAGAACCGTAGACGCGTAGACATCAGCCCTGCTGCTGCTGGTGGTGGTGGTGCTGCTGGTGGTGGTGGACATAGCGGAGGTACGCAAACCATCGGCTGCTGTTGGTGGACTGCGTATCCTCATGAGCGTCTTGTGCTGTGTGTACCTGCAGGTGGGTCGATTGGTGCGGCAGCGATACAGCAGCAGCATCAGGGTGGCGGCAGCTCACAGTCGGCAGAACTGACGGCCCCCACCGTCATGCAACACACCCATCAGCAACAGCAGCAGCAGCATCTCAAGCGGGTGAACCCGAACAGCCAGGAGATGAAGGCCATGGTTCGGGCGATGCGGGAGATGTACGCGCACGATCAGCTGGTGGCAGAAGATCAGCGCAGGGCCGTGCATCTCAAAGAGGACCACCAGCTCCTTTCCCAGCTGCCGACTCCGTGCTTCCCCGACCCCTCCCTCCTGGGCGGTGTGCTCTTCCGCCACGCCCTGCAGGCGTGTGTGGTGCACGGTGCGGCCGGGTCGCTCGAGGCGCTGCTGAGGGAGACGCTCGTCAAGCCGACCGAGAAGGACAAGGGGAGGCTGGCTGTGGGTGAGGTGCGGACCAAGAAGGACAGGAAGGTGCTCCGGTGGAGTGACCTGTCGTTGGGTACTCTCGATCTCGTCACTGAAGGTCCGCAGACAGACAGACAGACAGGCAGACAGATGGACGGCTCGGCACTTTGTGCACGTTGGTGCTGTTCATGCCTGTGTGTTCAGATTATGTGCCGTCCCCTCTAGTCGTACAGGCGGCCGTGGCCAACGCACCCATACAGATCATGCGGGTACGCCCTGAGCCCGTCGTGCTGCTTACGTGTAAGGATACCTCCGTGTGTCTGTGTGCTATGCAGACGTTGCTGGCGTTCAATGCCGATGTGAATGTGCGAGGGTATGCCGGCCACAGAAAGGAGATTGACGGCAAGCTCAGCTACAACACATCCGCCATCGGTAAGCGGCCAGGGAAGATACTGCTGAAACACAGCCTCATTGCATTGCCTTCCGTGTGTGTGTGCAGGTGCGGCTGCATTCTGGCACCGTCCTGATCTCCTTCGTTTCCTCCTTTGTGAGGCAAGAGCCGACCCCAAGGTCCCGTTAGACGTGACGTTTGAGGACCCTCTACGACACGGTATGTACCACAGACCCCACCTGTCGATGCGTGACGTTCCGCCTTTCCTTTCCTCTCCCCTCCATCCTTGTCAGGCCCCCCCATCATTACTTCTCATGACTTGCTTGAGCTGGTGTGCATTGGCCAGCCGGAGGCGCAACAGCAGGCGCAACAGCGGCAGGCCCTGGCCACCATCGAGGTGCTCGATGCGGAGGGGCTGATCAAGCACGGCGAAAGCGGCAGCGGCATCTTCGACATCAACTGCAGGAACTCATATGTCGCCATATATGGCGACACGTCTCTGCACCTTGCTGCCATCCACGGCTGGTCCAGCCTGGTCGAGTGGCTGCTCGAGAATGGGGCGGTCCCTGGCGCTGTCAACGAGTTCAACGAAACGCCTCTCGACGCCGCACGAAGACGCGGCCGGAAGGTCAGCTGAAGGAATGGCATCCAATGAGCCGTCACAGTGAGTGATTCCGCCCTGTTGTGTTTCGCAGGAGTGCGAGGCCGTGCTGCTGAAGCATCTCACGGCCCAATCGGTGCAGACGGCCACCAGCACTGCTGCAAGAGCTAGCACGGGAGCGCCTTGCATCCCCACGGCAAGCGAAGACACCTGCCCACACGCATATGCCATGGGCACCCAGACACACACACCACACCGTTATCTGTGGATGGATGGATGGATGCAGGCAGCTGCTGCTGGTGCGATGGAGGAGGGCGGCAGTTTCGACTCGCCACCAGCGGCCGCGGCACACGAGAAGAAGAGGCAGGAGCTGCGCGAGGGCATAATGCGGATGAGGGCCACGGCGAGAGCGATCCGGGAGGCGTGCTTTTACGACCTGCTGACGCCAGAGGGGCGGCGCAAGCCCGTCGATCTCAAGGAGGACCTCTCGCTTCTGTCGTCGCTGCCCACTCCCATGGTCTCGTACAAGAACGGCTTCGTGCTGAAGCAGGCCCTGCAGTCATGCGTCTGGTACGGCTCGGCTGGGTCGCTCGACACACTGCTGCAGGGCAACTTCATCAAGCCGACGGAGGAGAGAGGCGACGGGGGGCTGTCGGTGGGGCAGGTGCGGGCGAAGGACGGGGAGGTTTTCAACTGGCGAGACCTCTCGCCTGCCAGCATCGAGCCCTCAGAGGGCGAGATGGACGAGCCTGAAGATGTCAACGGTAAGTGAGCAAGCAGACCAAGATCGGGTGATATATCATCTGACTATGCCTGGATGGCATCAGGTCATGTGCGGAAGCCGTTGTTGATCCAGGCCATGACGCCTAGCTTCTCGGATGACGCCACCGTGCTACGGATCGTCAAGGTACGCCAGTCGAGAGGCCACATGAGATCACCTAGCCGCCTCTCATGCGTCCGTCTGTGTGCCTGTCTGCCTCTGTGCAGTCGCTGGTCGAGTACAATGCCGACGTCAACGAAATCGGCCCGGTGGCTGTGAACACCGTGACCAAAGAAGCACGGATGACTTCATCGGCTAGCGGTGAGTGTCGAGAGGCAGGACAGGGCAGGATGAGAAATGCCGGATAGAAACAAGTTTGACTTGGTGTCTTCAGGTGCTGCTTCCATGTACCACTTGCCTGAGGTCCTCGACTACCTTCTCCGCCTACCGCATGCCGACCCGTCAGTCCTCTCTGGGGGGGACGTCCTTCCGGGCTTGAACCTACTTCAGCTAGCCTGCCTTGGGCCTCCACTTTTGTTGGTGCCAGGGAGCCAAGATACCGACGGTGAGTGGGTAACTAATCAAGAGCTTGCACCCAACTCCTTCGCGCTGACGCTCTTGTGTGTTGTGACAGCTTCCCGGTCCCCTCCTGAGCCCATGGTGCACAGCAAGAGCCACAAGAAGGCCGCCAGCAAGGGCAGACGGGCCGGCAACGTTGGCCTTGCAGAAGAGGCGAGACAACAGGCGGCCGGCGGCACGGCGGCGGAGGAGGCAGAGCAGAAGAAGAAGGCCCGGCAGTCGCGTGCAGTGGCCACCCTGGAGGTGATCGAACGCCACGGCCTGACGCGCAGCACACAGGCCGAGGCCAAAGGAGGGCGTTGCAAGAGTCCCGTCCTCAGTCTGCACTGCCGTCGCCAACTGCAATGCCCGTCCTCAGGGGGCTGGTCTCTGCTGCATTTGGCGGCTGCCAATGAGCGGTCCGAAATTGTCAAGTGGCTGCTGGAGAGGGAAGTGCACGCTGAGGCCGTCGACAGGAAGAACCAGACACCCCTCGACCTCGCGCGCCGATTGGGCCGGAAGGTCAGCGGAGATGAGGAAGGCGGACCAACGTCAGCCGCTTCATTTGTTTGGTGTGTTCAGTCGTGCGTGGATGTGCTGATGGCTCATGTGGAGGCCCGTCGGAAGGCGGCGGCTGATGACCGGCTGCGAGAGGAGGAGATGGCCCGCAAGAAGGACGAGAAGGCTGCCAGAAAGCGCGAGCAGAAGCGTCTCAAGGTGCCCTTCCCATGCACCGCTGCACACATGGATACTGCATCTGTGTGTCATTTTGCCTTCAGCGTTTGGCGGCAGCGGCTCAGCAGGCCGAGGCAGCGGCAGATGGCGAGAGGGAGGAGGCAGACGACACACAGCACGAGACTGAAGAAGTAGATCATGTGACGGATGAGCCCGCTGCGCCGAGCTGCCCGCCAGACACACACAATGACAGGTGCAGACAGCCACCGACACTTTCACCCAGTAGCCCCCATCTGTTGTCCTTCTGTGTGTGGTGCACAGTGTCGAGCCGGCCTTCTCTGACGCCCCGAGTGGCCGCCACCAGCGGCAACATGTCCTCAGCCAGGAGCCTCCAGCTGATGTCGGCCCTTCGCCATTCGCTTCTCTCCCTCTCTCTCCTGCTCAGAGCGCACCGGCAAGCCACTTGTTTGCTGCCCAGCGTCCGTCCAGCTCATCGTGAGGCTCACACAAAGACCGCTCACAGCACACCGAGTGACTCAGTTGATGGGGCCCTGTCTGTTGTGTGTCATCCATCCATCGATCCATCCATCAGGTCCTCACTGTTCGACCCGCCGGCATCATCGACGGCCAGCACTACACCCGCCGACCGGCCATCCACTTCACAGTCGTCAAGCCGACAGGACCAGTAGGGCAACGTAGAGCCGGTACTGTGTGGCCTGAATTGACAATGTGGCTGGTGTTTGTGTAGGTTCCAACCGGCAAACGTGATGGCTCAGCTGCGGGCGGGCCTGACCGACGGCATAGCCAAGAAGGAGAGGTCAGAAAACACAGCAACACGGCTGTCGATCGCTTGATACCCGCCCCGGCCTCTGTGTGTCATGGTGTGTGTGCAGCCAGTTGGGCGGAGCCAAGAAGGGGAGGAAGAAAAAGAGAGGTGCCGTCGCGGGGAGCTTGTAAGTACATGCCAGGATGCACATAGGTGACAGACACACACCCGTCTGTGTCTTGGCTTCCCTGCAGGTCTGGCTTTGGTCCTGAGATGGGCCCTTGCCCTGACACGTAAGTAGCGATCGATGCTTGCTTGCGCCACGTCACGTAAATCAGCAGCGACTGTGTTTCCCTTATCTGCAGCCTTGAGGATGAGATCGATGCCATGCCGTCATCTTCGTCTAGCGCTCTTCCACCGCCTGCACGGAGGTCGGCACACACACGGACACAGATATGGAAGAGGCCGCATCGCCATGCGTCTCCTTGTCTGATGTGTGTGGGTGCAGTGTTGCTGCGGATGACGAGGACCGTGACCAGCAGGAGGCGATTGCCGCGTCGCTGCAGTCGGCTGCGGAGGCCATCAAGAGGGACGCCATCTCAGCTCACAAGCAGAAGAAAGAGTAAGCACAGACGATGACCACACGAATACTCGCGAAAGGCATAAACGCCTGTTTGGCTGTGTGTATGCGGCAGGTTGAAAGTGAGGTTGCGGGCTGAGACGAACATGGCCGAGGCGTCAAAATCCCACGAGCAGCGCCTGACTGAAGAAAACGACAGACTCAAGATGGCCAACCCCACGTTCGCCCTGGGGTTGCCCGCTCATCCATCCATTGTCACCCTTCCATGTGTGTGTCCATCCTGCTGCAGGCTGACCGACGACGAGCTGTCCCGCAGGGCCTCTGCCGATGACGTGAAGCACTTCCAGGAGACCATCGACGGCCGCTACAACGAGCTGCATGCGCTCGTCCTCTCGAGTACCGACCGGCTGCTGCATCTCGCCAATAACACTGCTGATGCGTCATCATCATCGGAGGAGCCGGCCCCCGACACACATGACGGGTCTTGCTTGCCCCAGGAGGCCCCCTCGCCGACCAGCCCTCCATCTGCTGCGGCAGGCGAGTCCATAGAGTGGCTGGAGGAGCTGGAGGGCAGCGACCTCGAGATCCCCCAGATGTGTGTGGTGGCGTCCAAGCAGCTGGAGGAAATCGACCAGGACATCGCCAAGTGAGAAAACACAGAGAGAGAAGACAACCAGAGGTGGATTGCGTGACGCATCTGTTGCCGCCTGCCGCTGCTGCAGCTTGGTGGATGAGGTCGGCCAGGCTGCCACCTGCCGCGAGGCGTCCGACGCCCGTGTGCAGGGCCTCATCGAGCAGAACGAGGAGCTCAAACGACGCGACAAGGAGCGGTAAGGCACACCACACCCACAGCCATCCTTGCCACCTCATCTCTCCATCTGTCTGCCCTGTTCTGTCTGTCAGGCTGACCCGAGAGAAGCTGGGCACCCTCAAGTCGGTCGAGGACGTCAGGAGCTTCCATGATGCGGCCCTGCAGGAGAGCCAGCGTCTCAAGGCGCTGCTTAGCCGCTCATACGACCACCAGAGGCGGCTCGAGAGTGAGGACTTCCAGCGTGACGTGGGGCGGCGCATTGCGGCCGAGCGCGAGGCGCGCGAGAAGGAGGCGGCTGAGCAGCTGAAGCGGCAGGAGGAGGCGACGGCCAAGAAGATCGCTGAGATGCAGCAGCAGCTCGATGAGGAGAGGGGCAAGCCCAAGCAGAGCATCACATCCTGCGTGGTGTGTCATGAGGAGCCCAATGTCGTGGTTATGATGCCCTGTCGACATCAGTGCCTCTGCACAGGTGGCTGGGTGGGTGGGCTAGTGAGCGTCCCACCAGCCGCTGTGTATCACGGATTGGTGGTCGCGTGTGGGCATTCAGGTTGTTTCGAGAATCTCAAGACGCAGCACCACAGGCGCAAGAAGGTGCCGTGTCCCATCTGTCGCGCTCAGTGCGATAAGGAGCGATCGGGGCGCGTGTATGACACGGGCCACTGTGACGACGACTGAATGACGTAGTGGCGTAGACGGTCAGACAGCCCGACCGTGGATCGGATCAGTAGCTCTCATGCGCCGATGGCGCCAACCACTCATGTGCTCATGGATTGATTGTGTGTATACGTATCTATCTATTTGTATGTATTCATATGGGATTTATCGCGGGGACTTGAGTCATGAGATGGTCGTGTCTGCCTCGATGGCAGGCAGCCATGGACGTCTTCATGCATCCTCTGCGTTGTGCACCAGCGCAGCCAGTGGCATGCATCGAAATCGCCACGACATGCAATTATGTATTTGTGTCCGTCCATGTGTTGCCGTCGGTCGGTGTGTGACTAGTGAACTTTTATACAGCCACTACGGGGGTCGTCATGGATTCGAAAATATGTACGCAAGATTAATCCAAATGAATTCGAAGCGCATGCATGCGACGACGGGCGAGTGTGCGGATGGCTCTGTCCTTTGCGGCGAGTGTGTTGCCTTGTCGTTCATTCATGCGTCCGTATACTCAAATGCAAATGGCTGATTCCACCCAACCACCCTGCTGGCTCCACCCACCCGTCAGACGGAGACATGCATGTATGCATCCCATTCATGAGCCATCCATTTATGTTGGGTGAACGGTTTTTTGTGTGCCATGTGTGAGACATCCATGGCGTTCCATGAGACTTTATCGGGGTGCCTGAAGTGATGGACTGGTACAAGATCTCATGTAAAGTCCATCCATCCATCCATTCAAAAACCTACCACCCGCATCACAACCGCCACTCACTCAGCCAGACCTCCTTGCGTCCATGTGCCTCTCTGCATCTGAAATCTGTCTGCTATCAGCTATCGGGTCACGGCCGTCAGTTGCTGCTCAGCCGCACAAACATCTCAGCTGATCTGCAGTGCCTCGAACTGCCCCCGCCTGTTGATGTACCCCAGCTGCTGCCATTGGAACTGGCAGTCGCTATCGCCGAGGTGGGTGTTGAAGCCCTTGACCACCCCCTCCACGCCGTGCTGGGCCGCCTCGTGCAGGCGGGCCTTGTGCACCACCTCACGCACACCCAGCCGTCGATGCCGCCCGCCCCCCTGCTGCCCCCCCTTGACGGCGAAGCACTGCAGGGGCGGCACCGTCACTTTGGTCCGCTTCGCCCCTCCGTCCTGCTGCACGTGCCGGCTCCCCCCGACCACCTCCCGGTTGCTGGTCGTCCGTGTGGCCGCCTGCGTCACGAAATGCGCCACGGCCGCGCTCACACGGCGCTTCAGCAGCGACTCGCCCATCAGGTACCCATCGATGGTCGCCATGGCGGTGTGTGGCTCGTGCAGGAAGGAGCCGATCTTCCAGCCGACGGCCTCTGCCTCCTGTGGGCCGAATGAGAGGCTGGAGGGCGATGGGTGGGTGGGGTGGCCGTCGTGGTCGGGCGCCAGGGGCAGCAGACGGGCGAGCAGCATCGAGTGGTCGCGCTGAGGTCGCAGGGCGGCGTTGATGGCCGCCATGTGGTCGGCGTACTCGGGCAGCACCAGCTGCCGCTCACGGCGGTCCCGCTCTGTGGCCGTGGGCAGCCGGGCGATGTCCGCCCCCGCCTGCAGCAGCACCCGGATGGTGGGCTTGAGATAGAGAATCTCGTTGGTGGCTCGGTCCCTGGATGCCTCCTCCGCAGTGTCGTCCTGCTCCAGCTGAGTCTTCTGATCGAGCGCCTCAGCAGCAAAAGCGAGGGGTGTGTAGTTGGGGTGGTTGGGTTTCCCCACGTTGATCTCAGCAGCCGTGAGGCGACGGCACAGAGAGACAGCCACACGGTGCGACCCCCACATTGCCGCGCAGTGCAGTGGCGTGTCGCCACGGTTGTCCACTGCCGTGATGTCCGCCCCCTTGGCCACCAACAGGTCGAGGTAGCGGTCGATGAAGGACTGGGACCACACAGGACGGGAGGAGGCCACCCAATGCACCGGATTGCCGCCATGCCGTCCATCAGTCTCGGTTGCGAGGGTGGGGTCGCGATCGATGAGCTGCTGGTAGAAGGACAGCAGGGTGGCCTCGTTATCCCTGGTGGGCCGGTCCGTCTCCAACGTGTCTGGCAGGTCCATCACCTCTCGCCCATGCAGCTGCAGCCCAATCTCTGCCATGAGCAGACGGAAGGCCGTCTCGTTGCAGGATGCGATGGCCACGCGGACGGGCCTGGCACCCGGGCAGTCCTCCCCGTCCTCGTCGGTCGGGATGGCGTTTATGTCCGCACCTCCATCGATGAGTGCCTTCATGATGGCCTCCTGCTGGTCGGGTGACGACCACCGCGGCAGAGCGATGGGACAGTCATCATCGCCGTCTGCTGCGAAGATGGACGGGATGCGGTTGTCGGTGAGGTTGTCGATGCACAGGGACAGCAGCGGATAGGGTACGAAATCTCCCGTGGTGCCCTCGACCCCCAGCTGGGGCTGCGCATTGGGGCTGGCTCCCTGCTGTCGAATGAGCTCCGTCACCTGCTGGACGTGGGTGAAGCCGCGCGAGATGATGCCCTCTGACAGCTGTCTGGTCTCATCGCGGGTGTCATCAGGGAAGCCCGTGTCGAGCCGGCTGCGGCCAACCCAGCCACTCGGCAGAGCTGCGCCCGCTGCGGCCATGACCTAGTGCCTCCTACAACTGCTGGCACCACAAACATGGACACGTCTGCACACAGAGCACGCCCAGTGTCGGTGTCTGAGTTGCGCTCCTCGGTGCATGTGCGTTGCCTTGCCCGCTGCCCACTCACCGCATTGCTCTGCTGCTGATGCTCACTCTTCGCTGCAGCTGAGCCACCATGACAACGGCGCTCTCACGCAGGAAGGAAATCGTCTGCCATCGATGCAACACAGTGGATGCCGCGACATGAGGTGAAGCATTGTATACACTGTAGGTGATCTCCTGTGCTGCTGCTCACCAGGCACGAAACAGATCTGGAGCATCATCTGCTTTGCTGGGAGGAGGGGTGCCGTTCGAATCCTGCGAGCTAAGCCTGCAGCTGCATCCCCTGAAAGCAGCGGAATGTAAGACGACCACCAACTAGACCAGGCGACTCATCAAAGATGCATTCTGTGGACGAAGGCGACAGCCAGCTGTCTGAGGACCTAAGGGCCTCTGACAGCCGGGCACACATTACCGTCCCGGTGGCATTCGAGCGGTCGAGGAGAGTCTTCCACCAGAGGGCCACTTTCCAAGCCTTCGCTGCTGGTATTTCATCGCTGGAGGAGATAGCCCCGCTGCTGACGAGCCTCCGGGACGACGAGCGATTGGCCGATGTGCGGGGGTACTTTCTCGCCTTCCGGGTGAGGGCAAAGCTGTTGCACGATGAGGGAAACAACGCTCGAGACACCCCAGGTATTGCTCACGGGATGAAATGTACACTGAACAGTGACACAATGCTTTATTGACTTTTCCTTGTGCAGAGTGTGACGCGCTGGGGCCTGAGGGTGGGGAGGAGACAGAGGTGCTAGAGGGGCAAGAGGATGTCAGCGATGACGATGAGTACTGTGTCAGCGAGCATCTCCTCGACCTCCTTCGCTCGGAATCCCTCGAGGGCATCTTGCTCGTCGTGGCTCTCACAGACTGGGGCGGCATCGGCAGACTCGGCAACGAAGCGCGTATCATGGCAGTCCAGACGAGCAGGCTGCTGTTACAGGACCTTGGGCTTGTTGCGCCTCCCCGAGAGCTTCAGCCGCGTCGGCAAGAAGGAGCGATTGTGCCATGGACGGTTCCTTCAGTGTCAAGCGAATTTAAGATGGAACTGCCCAACAAAGAGTCAATGAGAATGCCGTCTCGTCTCGCGTCTGCCCGGCCGGCGCCTATTAGGCACTTCCCTTTCGACGACATAGAGCGGCCCGCCGAGGTGCCGCCTGCTAGGGGCAGGGGGGCACAGATGGTCGGACCAAACCATTTTCTCGCCAGCGCCCCCCTGCACGCGCAGCAGGGGCGGAGGACGGCCACGATCAACGAGGAGGAGCTTCTCCATCAGCAGCTATTCAGCCGTTTCACCCCGTCTGACGCGCAGGTGTGCCAGAGGGTGTGGGAGGTGAACGAGAAGATCCTCACCAACCTGTCTCGCGCGGATATTCTCGAGCTGAGGGCCTCTCAGCGGCCTCACCGGTCTGTGCAGAAGGTCCTCTTTGCCGTCGGCATCCTGCAGGGCGCCTGGCCGCTACAGTGCCCCCCCAACTGGTCTCTCTGTCGGACCACAGTGCTCGCATCGCCCACCCTCCGGATGGAGCTTCTCTTGTTCAACGTGAGCAAGACCAAGACCGCCCGCGTCGTCAAGGCCCACCGACTGACCAAAGATTTGACCCTCGAGGAAGTGCGACGGATCAGTCCTCCTGTCGGCGTGCTGCTCGAGTGGGTGCGGGCGATCGTCACGGCACACGCGGGGCTTACGGGCAGCAACAGGAGTGAAAGCCGACGGGAGACGACGGCAGACAAGCGGCAGTTCCTGCAGCCCAAGCACGCCGTTCTGCGCAGCGAGGGGGCGCGAATGCTTAAAGTGGCTCCCAAGACCCTCGAGCTCAATGTGGAGGAGCCGCCATCGCCCCGCTCGCCTCCCCGCCTCCCCGTACCGCCTGCGAGCGATGCTGACAGCGTCTCTGTGACAGCGTCCTCCCTCCCATCCCCTATGAGGTCCACAGGGAGCGACAGGGTACCGCAGACACAGAGAGGCCGACAGTTCCCTTCGCGAGACAGAAGGCCATCCATCGTGCCTCCTATCGCGTCGTTCCAAGGCCGCGACCCAAGACGGCCTTTCCCTAGTGTGGCGGCGTCGATTCTCGCTGTCGACCCGCCATACGTGTACAGGCAAACGGGCGGTGCTCTGTACAGGCAAACGGGCGGTGCTCTGAAAGACGCAGAAGACGCGGGGGACAAAGAGGGCGGTGACAGGTCGCCCTCGGGTGGGGAGGTGGTTGGCGAGGAGAAGGATGATACCGCCACGACAAGGATGCTGCGGTCGATCGTGCAGCATTTTAGTGAACGGCGGCTGCATCTCGAGGCCACCATGGAGGGGATCAAAAACGATATGCGCGAGATGACATCGGAAGATAGACATGCCGACTGAAAGACGCCTAGATGTCGTTCGGTGCAGCAGCATGTATGTGTCATGAGACAGTGCCGTGAGGGGGGGAGGAGGGGGGTGAATGTGTGCTGGCTTGCATTGCTTTGTAGCAGATTTGTGGCCAATTGGTGGACGGCAAATCATTGCTTACGATTGTCCATGTACACATCAACAAGTGTGTTGTCTCTCGACCCGACCGAGTTGAATGAATGCCTCCACGCATCAACCAGCACCCAAATCAGACCATGGCTCTCATGACCGCCAACAAGAGACACGTCAACACCCATTGCAACTACCCGTCATCCCTATCACCTCCCCTGCACGGCCATGCCCATCCGGAGGGCCTCGATCTTCTGGTTCAGCTGTTTCTGCATCTCCACGAACCTCGACAAATCAGGGTCCTCACCCATTTCCCCCGTAGGCGCCGAGCTTCCCTGCACAACCACGTCTGAGTCGCTGGTGCCCCTTCTCAGCCCCACATTATTGTTGACACTCATGCGCAACCGCGGCCGCACGACATCTACCGGGGCCTCACTCGCGGGCGGCACGGACGATGCAGTGGTGGATGTGCGGGCTGCCGGAACCGACGTGGGAATATCGGCCTTGCATTCCACCGGCCGCTCCACACTCGCCTGGCCTTGCTCCAGCTCGTCGGCACGAGACACCGCCACTGCCTTGGCTCCCCCGTCAGCGCCACCCCAGCTCTCGTAAAGCGGTACTTGCTCGAAGGATACAGAGAGGTCAAATCCCACGTCATGTGCAGCCTTTGGTTGAGGCGCCGACAACAGTCTGGGCGGCATGTCCTGCCACTGGCGGGCCGGTGGCGGAGGCGGTGGTGGTGGTGGTGGGGGTGGCGAGGGAGAAGGAGAGGGCCATGGGGAGGGCGAGGGGCTCCTTTCTTGCTGGCAGGATGACCGCAGCTGCACCAGGTGGTTCTTCAACGCTGCATTAAACGATACAAAGAGGAATAGGTGTCTGTCATGAGGAAAGCACGGTCTCCCATGTGTGGTCTGGTATGTTCCCGCCACTCACCTTTGTTTGATGCGCAATAACGACGGAGGACGTGTTGCCTACAGATCGACCCCACGGCAAGCCAGTCACATGATAGCACTGAGAGCACGCGTCTTCTCGCCTACGTGTTTCGCTCCTCACGCATAAGCCGTGTCGTGAGAGACTCAATCGTGGCACCAATCAGTTCACGCTGGCAGGAACAGAAAGAAACGCCAAATACGCTCGATGGCTGCAAAAGAAATGCAGCCTTCGCCTTGACTGCCTCCCTCACCTGCCGATAGATGTGCTGCAGAAGGCTGGGCGCGCCGACGTGGAGGCCATCTCCCACCCCCTGCAGCACGCAGTGGCCACACGGATGACACATCGAGACACCCATCGATGGCTGCCTGTCGTCTGATGGTGCGTGCATACGTCAGCAGGATTGCCAGCCGTGTGCTCAATCAAATCCATCAACACATCCAGCTGCAGCGAACTGACCGACACACACACACACACACACACACGAGGAAAGCAGCACTCTTCATTCTGCCGTCGCATCTCGTTCGTGTCTGCTCACAGCGAGTCGAGATCTACGAGCATACTGGGCTGCGGCACACCGATCTCAACCGCCTCTTCCCCGCGCCCGTCACACTCCACCGACCCCCTCAAGTCACGTTCTCCCGTCAGCCGCAGGAAGTGTCTCCTCCTCTCGTGATAGATCTTCTGCTCCTCCTCAGTCAGCCGCAGGTGGTGGCTGGTGGCCGGAGATGAGAGGAACGACGCACCGCGCCGGGCAGGGATAAACGACGACGACGCGCGAGACTCGACGTCTGAGCGATCGATGGTATGTGGGGGATGGGGTTGCTGGATGTCGGAGCGATAAGTGGAGGTGGGGGGATGTTGGGGCTGGAACGGTCGGCGCTTGGCTGCTTGTTGCGGCCTGAACGCATGACAACAAACATCCCAACGGACTCTGGGGCCACTCGCCGCACCCCACTGACCGTACCGTCTCTGTCTGAAGTTGTTCCACCATCTTTTAGAGTAGTAGGTGGACCCTCCCCGCCTCTCCACAGCCCTCCCGTCCTTCTCACCCCCCCTCTTGAAGTGAGGGTCCCACGCAGGCGTCGCTGCCCCCTCAACTGAATCGCCGGCGTCAACCCCGTTCTTAGTTGACGTATTGTGACCGTTGTCAGCCCATCTCGACCGCTCCAGTGGTGCGTGTGCCGCCGACATGTCCATGTGTGGCACAGGTGGGGGAGACGGGTGATCGGACGGTGGTGAGCGATCGGCTGGCGGCGGCAGGGCTTCTGGGGGGGAGTGGCTGTGGATAGATGGGGGAGGGACGGGACGAGACACAGAGGCAGCTGCAGCGCTGAATGATTAATCACAAAAAGAACACACCGCGTTTCATGTCTCACGTCATAGCTGATGGATGGTGTGCACCTACTTGCGATTCTGATGCTGCTGTGAAGGCTGTGAGACCGTCAAGAAAGCCCCAGGTGGGTAGAGGTTTGGTGCCGATGGCGTCGGCAGCGCTTCAGTGTTCTTGCCGCCCCTCACCCTCACCACACGTCTCTCGTCCTTGCCAGCAGGACTCATATGCAGTGGCGATGCCACCCCAGCGCCGCCCCTCTGCCGCCTCCACACATTCTCCTGCGGCACTTTGTCGTCCTGTCTGCCCCAGGCCCTCCTCCGACACGCCACAGTGGGGTCAGCCGACGACGGCCTCACCAGATTGCTGGCCGGTGATGTTTGAGCTGAGACGCCCACACATGTGCTGGGAGGCCGGAGGGCGTCGAGAGAAGCCACCGATGCCGTCATTTCGGCAGGCGCATTCATCGCTGATTCAGTCGCAGGCTGCCCGGGGTGGACGAGCCGTCGGGCTGAGACGGGGGAGGGGCTGTCCTGGTCGGTGACATCGATGCACAGGCGGAGAGCTGAGGCGCCTCGGCTCATTTGCAGTGTCAGCAAGCAGCTACGGGCAAGCAGCAAGAAAGCCTAGGCGCCCTCAGGGAAGACGCTTGTTCAGCGAAGACCGCTGATGGTTCTTCACGTCTTCGCACAGAACCAGCGAAAGAAAACCTTAATTCAGAGATAGGCTCAGCCCTCTCAGCCCTCTTCGCGCCTTTTCCTCCTTCCGGTTTGCGAGCTTTTCAAGTCCGCGATCCAACCAAAGGCCTCGGGGACAGATCCGTCGCCACGCGCGGACATACAAGACGCCAGCTCCAGTCCCGTTGGCGTGGTTTTTCTTCCATCTATCCTGTTTGCAAGCCCTGGTCCGCTGAGGCCTCTGTGGGAGAAGCCGGGATGAGCGACGTCCGTTCCACCCTGCCAGCACCCCTGCAGGCCCAGCTCAACGTCGAGATAGCCCTGTTCGAAACGGTGAGCGCACGGGCCACACATAGAGAGGCCAGCCACCTGCAGGGAGAGGCAGAGAGAGAGAGGCACCGAGTGACTCATGGCTGGATGCGCCGACACGCGTCACACGACGGGGTCAGTACAGATGGATGCACTCGTGGCTCTTTGTGTTGTGTGTCCGGGGCTGGGATGGGTGTGGGTGCGTGAGTCAGAATGGCGGCAAGACTCTGCCTCACCGGCTGTGGGCCAAGTGCTTGGACTTCCTGGAGTTTGAGGACCTCGTCAGAGCGGTGGGCAGGGCAGGGCAGGCGGGATGCACTCGACCAGAGAATGGGCAGCGTCATGTGATGTGGATGAATGAACTGATTGGTTCATGTGTGAACACAGGCAAGATCTAGCCTCCTGCTGACGTATGCCGGTAGGTGTGTTTGTGAAACGACAGACAAATGGCTGGCTGGCTGGCTGGCTGGCTGGTGCGGTTTGTCCGTCCATGGCATGATTGACCTTCCTGTTTGTTGTGTTTGTGTGTCAATGCAGTGTGGGACGCCAAGGGCGGTGCCTACTCATCTGCCGTCCTGTGGCTCAACAAACTCAAAGACAATCCGTCAAGGCTGCCATTCACCACACTCGCCATCGCCGTAAGATATACAACGCGCGTATTGTACACATGAGTGCCTTCTCTCGTACCTGGCCTCCGTGTGTGCAGCGTCCCTTGGGTGACGCGACCAGTCCCTCGTCGGCTCTGGCCGTGCCCTCGATTGCTGTCAAGAGGCCGCCGGAGGAGATGGGCGGGGCGGTGGACGACGAGACGGCCGCCAAGAAGGCCAAAGGTGGAGAGGCACCCATGGACATCGATATAGGTACACACACATCATCATTTCACCTGAGTCATGGATACCACCCACTTCTCAATCTGTCCGTGGGTGTGAAGACCGACCTGATTCGATGCCCCCACCGCCCTCCATCCCCGCGGCTGCAGCTGCAGCAGCTGCAGCGGCCGCCGCCTCATCCATCCCTTCGCTGTACGGCCCCACGTCCAAGGTGGGTCTGTCGCAGCCCGCCACCCCCCTGGTGCAGCTGCCGGGCGAGGCGCCTTGGTCGCGGGACAACGGTGTGGTGCGGGAGCGGGAGATACCGTCGCCGCTGACGTCGTTTCGCGTCAACCACATGGACAACGAGGGGCGGCCCGTCACCGCACTGGGCATGCGGGACCATCCTGGGCTTCTCCTCGCAGCAACCAACACAGGTTAGCTCGGTGCTGATGGAAAGAGAGCAGAGCAGAGCAGAGCCGAGCCGAGCAGCGGTGTGTTGGTGTTATGGCAGGTGACGTCGTGGCGTTGACGACCCGCAGTGCTCCCAAGGCCAAGGGCGGCCCGACCAAGGGCGGCTCCAAGAAGAAGGCTAGCAACGACGTGGCCAAGTGCCCGCCAGCGATCAACCTGCGGGTCGAGGGCTACTGGCCCCAGCTGCACCAAGGTCAGCCTGCCAGTCGCAGATTTGCTGCTTACTGCACTCACTGCCTCTTTCTTTGTATGGATATCTGTCTTTTGTGTTTGATGCGATCGATGCCTATGTAATGTCTAGGCCGTGTGAGGAGTCTGCAGGTGCAGTGGGGCATGGCGGTGACGGGCGGAGACGACGGACGGATTCGGTGCGTGCGGCATATACAGACAGACACACTTATGGATGTCCGTTCATCCGTCCGTCCATCAATGGGTTTTTTCTTTCCATTCCTCCCTCAGGATATGGGAGCTGCCCAGCAACGATGATGAGTGGTCGTCACTCAAGTGCGTCCCTGCCGAGCATCCCACCACCAATGGCGTCATGGCCTCATCTCAGGGCGGCGGCAGCACTGGGGTGGGCGGCGACCTCGCTCCACCCATGCTCAGCAAGCCGCAGCGGTCGCGCACTCTCATGGTGGCTCACAACAAGAGCGTCTCACAGGCATACCTGTCAAGGTCAGTCAGTCAATGTGACTGACACGATGATTGACGCACTTGTTCGCCACGCCACAGCGCTGATGCACTCATATCTGGTGTCTGTCTGTCTGTCTGTGTGTGTGTCTCTTCCAGCAGCTCGCGTGTGTATCTGACGTGGAGTTGGCAGCACGTCCCCAGGAGGGGCATTTTCGACCTGCACGACCCGCTGCTCGCCGGACACCTGGCCGCTCTCGACGTGCCGACCAGGAAACTGCTGTTCAACACACAGGTGAACAAACAGGATAATGCCCCTGCCCAACCCAAACCAGCCGCTATCGTGCTGTGTCCCGCGTGCAGGCGCACAAGGGTGAGGCGACGTCGATGGTGGTGTGCGATGGGCTGGAGGGCGGACCCACCGCGTGGACCGGAGGAATGGTCAGGAACCGACACACTCTGTGGATGGATGGATGGCTGCACATGTATGTGTCTTCCTGCTTGCTTACCCGTGGTGCTTCGTCTATCGCTGGCTACAGGATGGTTTGGTCAAGGCCTGGGACGTCCGCGCCGGCACGGAGCCTCAACTCATCGCCGAAGTCCCTGCTGGTTTGTCTGCTCATCCACACCACACGCAAGATACATCGCGCCGGCCTTCCTGCAATGTCTGTCTGTCTGTCTGCCTGTCTGACTGTCTGCCTGTCTGCCTGTCTGCCTGTCTGCCTGTCTGCCTGTCTGCCTGTCTGCCTGTCTGCCTGTCTGTTGATGCAGGTCCCCGTTGGGCGTGTGGCGTGTTGAGCTTCTGCCGTGGGTCTGAGCGGCTCCCATGGCGGGTCTTCGCATCCACCGACGACGGCAAAATACACTGCTTCGATACCAGAAGAAGTAAGGCCCTTGACACACCGACCACACACACACTGACATGAACGGCAGCTTCCATGGAGTGTGAGTGTTCGTGTGTTGTGCCTGGGGCGTCAGGTGGTCGGTGTGAGTTCACTCTCGAGGCGCCCAAGACGGCCCGCAGACGCGTCACGAGGTTCATTGACTGACACATTGGTACCAACACACATGGAACCGTGTGTGTGTATGCTATGTCCGACCGGCAGACACATCCAGGTGCCGAGCATCCGCATGAACGGCCCCTTCATCGCCGCATCCTCATACCAGGGGGGACCCCCCTCCAGACCTGTCGCGCCACAGGTCAGCCAGCCACCGGATCCATCCATATCGTCCTTCGAGTCAACATGTGTGTGTGGGTCGATCGATGTCTCTGGTAAGTTGGATTTCTGGAACGTGGCCGAGTACGGCAGCCCGAAGCACGTGTGCAGCCAGTCGCTGGGCGAGGGGCGGCCGGGGCCCATCGAATGGAGGGGACGATTCCTGGTCAGCCAACATGCACACACAACACACAGACGGCTTCAACTGTGTACGCGATGCGCGTGTTCTTGATGTGATGTGGTGTGTGTGTGTGTGCAGTCCATGTCGATGCTGAGCCCGCCTCGATTTGGTGGCGGCCACCTGGTCAGCCACCCCACACATGACACATGTGCTCTGCTCGTGCGTGTGTGTCCACGTGTGTGTGTTTGTGTGAATGTGTGTGTTCAGATGTTCATGGATTTGTCCCAGGGCCCCTCCCCGGCCATACAGTGACTCAAGAGACATGCAGAATTCATCGAGATGGTATGGTAGCAGGCCTGCTAGCTTGTCCCACGGTTGCTTGGTGCTCTTGGCTCGATGTCTGAGTTCTGCTTATGCTTAAGGGAGGGAGGGAGGGAGGGAGGGGTGGTGGGGTACCGACTCGTAATCTTCTCTACCAGTGGGTGAAATGAGTTGGTTTGAATGAATGCGCGTATGTCTGTCGGCCGGTACTGCTGTACATTCATTAGTCAATCAGTCAGTCAGGGTTCCGCATACACACCATCCATCCATCCATCGACTCAGTCAGCCACATCCACGTCGGCGAGTCACTTAATTCACAGACACACACACATAAGCAGTCAGCCACACCGCACCGCACCGCTCACACCATGCATCGCATCGCATCCGATCCCATCCATGTGATGTGATGCGTCCATGCTACACCTACACCCACCTAAGTCCTCACAATCCCTGGCTGGCAGAACGTAGCGCACACGGGGCCACTACGGACCGCCACACCAACACAACCGACCGGCCAAATGCCAATGCACAACAGCCAGAGAGAGTCAGGCACTCAGTCAGACAGCGAGGGAGCCATTCAGTGAGAGAGTCGGTAGTGCCTGTGTGTGTGTGTGTGTCTGTGTGTGTGTGTGAGCATTCAGAAGAACGGCCCGCTGCTGCAGTGGGGCTTGGTGCTTCCAGGCTGCAGGAAGGCGCAGCCAGACCTGAACAACAACCCACGCCATACACGCACACAAAGGCAAGGGCCGGCCGATTTGTCCCATATCCACACACACACACACGTCCATCAATAGCACCACCAGTACCTATTGGCATATTCGTTTCTGTTGGGCGGTGCCTGTGAGAAGGGAATGGGGCGGCCGGCGTGAAACGACCCCATGGGCTGCAGAGGGGAAACCACTCGGCAACCTACACAGCACACACCACATCACACACAACACACACGCCACTCTATCTATCCGTCCGTGCGGCAGATACGCTATTTACCAGCGGGTCTGAGTCCGCGGCCGACAGCCTTTCTAAAGTGCCCCCACTCCTGCCCCTTCACCCCCGTCCCCGTAGCCTCTCCATACATGCCCGCGTGATACGGCTCCACACCCACACCACCTGCACATGCACCTGCACCGCCCGCAGATGGCAATGTACCTGTACCGCCACCACCACGGGCTGCAGCAGCCCCCGCCATGCGCACACCAGCCGATCCGACGACGGCCTGCGCTCTCGTCATGACCCCCTGCCCCTCCCCCTCGCCCTTCTCCTGCATGGCCCTGGCCAACACCGCCAGAATATCGTCAGCGCGGCGCGGTGCAGGCCTCACAGACGCACCCGCACCCGTCTGTGCCGCACCCTTGGACGCGCTCAGGGAGTCGTTCCGGATGATGGTAGTGATGGGGGTAGGGGGCGTGTGTGTGCCGGTGGTCGTGTTGTTCTTGCTCAGCTGTGAGAAGGCGTGCCGGAAGAGGCCGCCGCCGCCGCGAGTGGGCGAGGTGGCGGGGAAACCGCCATCCACGCGCTTCTTGGCTGTGCTGATGGGTGTGTTGGTCTTGGGGATATTGGTGTTGGGGATATTGGTGATGGTGGTCTTGGGTATCGTGCAGCCACCCTCGGCTGGCTTGGGCCAGCCCTCCGTGTCATGGTGACGGTGCCAGATGCTGGCGCGGTTGAAGGGGTGCTTGGGCAGCATCTCAAACACCAACAGCACACCGTCCTCAGCCACATCACTGCCATCATCGCTATCGCCATCGCCCTTGCCCTTGCCGCTCACCCCACCCCCTCCCTCCTTCAGCTGCACCGCACCCACTCCACCTCCACCTCCACCCTTGCCCGTCAGGCCGTCACGCCCCACCCCCAGCGGATCCGCGAACGACGCAGAGAAGAGGGTCACGGTCGGAGCGATGCCGCGCTGCTTGAGGTCTGGTGTGCTGGTCTTGTCTGTAGTGGTGCTGGACGGTCCGACAGCTGCTACTGAACTGCAGGGGCTCTTGGGCGGCGATGCGGTGGACGAGTCGGAGTGGGTGCTCGAAGGGTGGTGGGGCAGGGGGAGGGCGGAAGTGCTCGTGAGAGACGCAACAGACTCTATAGAGGCCTTGTCGTCGTCGAAAGCCGTGCATGCCGCCATGGCTACCAACGATAAGTCTTCAGGTCAATGTGATGGAGGCCGATGCGGTCAGGACTCAACGATTAGAGGTGATCTCCTTCAGTCTTGGACACAACGAACAACGTGCCGGGCCTCGAAGCGTCGGTCTGCAGAAGGAAGGCCCAACAACTGACACAGACAACGCTGATGGTCCTTCCTCGAACCGATGCGAAATCTATATTTCTGTATCCCTCGTCACTGCAGAGGGGATAGGCGCCTAGAGCTATACCGCTGCGAGACCCCCTTTTCTCCGTTTGCCTTTCCCTTTTTTGGCGGATCGGGGTTTTTGGCTTAGAGCTCGCGTCCGAGCTCGAGCCGTGAAACTAACAGAAGCAGTGGTGGGGAAAGACGAACGCGGGATTGTCCTGCGTGTCTGTCTATGAGACGAGCGATTCCACCATGTGATGACCCTGGGCGTCGTTTCGTTTCGGGGAGGCGCAGACGGCGGTTTTTCTTTTCTTTTTGGTCTTCACCCTCATTCATGGGCATCGCCACTGTCCTGCTGGCGGGATTGTTTGCGCGCAAGGTCATGGCCGTCACACCAAGGGACACGCCACACAGGGGTAGGCAAAGCAGCGCTCACACTCACTCAGAGGCACCTGGCTGGCTGAGTGTGGTGAAGTGAAGTGAATGGTTGAGTCTGTGTGTCTGCTGTTTGTTCTGTTCTGTTGGTGCAGGGGAGGGGCGAAGCGTCTCAGCGCCTCCACGCCGGACCAGCGATGTGTTCTCTGCTCGTTCATCGTCGTCTCGGCGGCGGACGGCGCAGATGCAGTCGCTAGACGCACCTGCCGAGAGCCGAACACACGTGGCCGGAAGACACACTCACGCCAAACCGGACTTCAGCGGCAAGGTCGGTGCCTGGCCTTCGGGATGCGTTGGTCGTGCTGCGTCAGTGTGTGTGTGTGTGTGTGTTGGTTGCAGTGGCGTCTGGTTCGCAACGAGGGGCTGGAGGACTTCCTGCGTGCGCAGGGCTACAGCTCGCTCAAGATCCGCCTGGCCCGCGCCATCACTCCGGTGCAGGTGATCCGCCAGGACGGCTCGCGGATCCTGATAGAGCACCACACGACCTACGGTCGGCAGCTGGAGGCCATGAGCATCGGGGGCCCGCCCTCGACCAACAAGGGACACGACGGCAAAGTCACATTCGACACGGCCAGATGGGACGGACACAAGTAAATTAACAGATCCCATTCTGATTCGTTCGTCGAAATAGCCATCCGTTGTGAATGCCTTGTGTGGTGCTCTGCTCGGTTGTCTGTCTGTCTGTACGTGGGTGTAGGTTGTTCATGGAGCGTCGCTATGGGCATCACGGTGCCCCGACGGCCCTCACAGCTCTCCGGCAGCTCTCACACGACGGCAGACACATGACAGTGGTAAGTAAGAAGCAAACAAGACACAGTTCACTTGATGGCCAGCCATCCACCCACACGTCATACGTGTCGCTGCTGGCTGTCTGTCTGCCCGTCTGCCTCAGCGTCTGACCACGGCAAGTGGCGCAGAGATGCGGCGCGTCTTCCAGCGTGACGTCCGCTTGCCACACCCCCCCTCCCCCTCCCCCCACCACCAGCACCCCTCCCTCCTCACCAACGTCAGCTCGTCATGCGGCGTCGCCCCGCCGCAAACGTACGGGCGCTTCTTCCCCCAGGACCTCCCGCTGCCCCGATTCCCCTTCGAGCACACGCACAATTCGCGGCAGCCTTCGGCGGCAACAGCCTGCTCGTCATCGCAACAGGCAGATAGCAGCAGCAGCAGCAGCCCCTCTATTACAGCCGTCTGGGACAGACTCGTGAGAGGGTTCACCGGCGGGTCACCCCAGCTGGCCGCAAACGGCCCATTCTCGGCGTTCCAGCAGTGGCGGCGAGATGGCGGGCAGTTTGCTCACATGTGGGGGCAGGCGAGGGCGGCCAGCTAACAGACAGTGATTTGTCTGTCGATCAGTGTGGGGGGTGGGAAATGAGGTGGGGAGAGGCCTGCCAGCGGCGGGCGGGACGTTTTTGGTGCGTGTAATTATTGCATGGGATGAATGAGTGAGTGATGTTTGCTTTGTGTGTAGAGGAGGGCTGGGTGGCGTGCAGTGCCTCGTATTGATGACGTTGGTTGATGGGGTGATTTGTATAGGGCGATGGATGGATGGATGTGTCTGTGGGCGGAGTGGCCAACGAAGTGATAGGCTGACTCGTCATGGTTCAGCACTACTCGACAACGTGACTGACACCATCATCAATCAATCGCGTCATCGAGACAGGCGAGAAGGGGAGTGGCATGACACCAACTCAGATACCACACACGCGCACACACACACACACACACACACAGCAGACACCGGTAGGCAGGCATTCAGGAGGGCATCCACGATCCATCCATGAAGTTGCAGGCATACCGAGGCCAAAATGAGTTATCTATAGCAGTGGACAAATACGAACAAGGGCAGCTCATCCATCAGACTAACGCGCCAAACAAACGAACAAAGGCCTCTGCCTACAGATCAGGAGAGTCAGTGAGAAGAGCTTGCACACACAGCACACAACTAACTATATGAAAACTAATACCAACACAAATGCAAATACTATATCGCCCGCTCAGAGAGAGAGAGAGAGAGAGAGGCGCCACCACGCACAGCAGCACGCGCGCACAGCAACCGACAATCGACAGGCAGGTAAAGGTGTGGTATGGATGGGTTAAATAGGCTGTGAAAAACACGCCACACGCACTGCACCGCACTGCACACGCCTCACTCACTCACTCGACTGACTATGTCGGCAGTGTGCTGTCGGGCAGGAAGCACTGTTCTTTCTTCTCGTCGTAGCAGCACCCCCGCTTCCGGCACTGGTCGCCGCCCAGCCCCCTCCCGCACGCCAGCCGCCTTTTGCCAACGACACTGCACGTGTCCCCAGCGTGGAAGCACAAGGGCTGCCCCTGAGGGCCCTGCGGGTCCCAGCAGCAGCCACGCGCCTGAAGACAGACAGAACACACACGGACAGAGAGAGGAGAGGAGGAGTGCAACGGGCGTGTGGGGCCGCGCTTCCTTCCTCACCTCGCAGGCCTGCTTGTTGGTGCCGGGCGTCCCACAGGCGGCCCTGGTCTCCTTGCCCCACGCTGCACACACATTCCCCTGCTGCTGCCCGTCCTTGCCTGATGCCCCACCATGAAGTGGCCTGAAGCACCAGGGCTGTCCCTCCCTCTTCCCCCCGGCAATGCCAGGCGGCCGATAACAACACCCCCGCTGCTCGCACTGTTCCTGTGTGATGAACCCCTGCCCCTCCGTGCAGTCGTGTCTCTCCTTTTCTGCCGCCACGCACATGGCGCCCCTGGACACGCACCATGGCGAGTCGACGACGTTGGACCGGCCGATGGATGTGCCGCCCTTGTCGAGTGCGACGGCCTTGTAGCGGACACAGCTGTTGACGGGCGAGTGGGTGTTGTGGTGGGGCAGGGTGACGATGGTCTCAAAGTGCTCGCGGGGGACGGATGTGACGAGCTGAAGCGGGCTGCCCAGCTGGCCGGCCTTGACCTTCCATGTGGCCACCTCTGTCGCGCCATTCCTGTGCACAGGAGGGAGGGAGGGAGACACAGATGCCATTCATCAATGGGATGTATCAGTGTCTGCTGACGCGGCCCACCAGCTGAAGTGCAGTCTCGGTGGGTCGGTGTCTGCGTTGAGGACTAGTGTGGGTTTGCCCTCCCCCCTGCTGGCCCAGGGGCTCTTGAGTGCCCTGTAGGCCATGCCGTTGGCGAACCGGAACTCCAGCAGCTTGCTGCCGTCACGGCTCACCTCGGTGTAGAAGGGCTCGCTCTGCGGCTCCACACCCGCCCAACTGATCACCTTGTTGCCGTTGCTCAACGTCTGTGGTATACATATACCAGACAGCGCATGTGGTGATGAAGGTGTCGGAGCTAGAGTGCCCTCTCACCTGCACAGACCCCATTGCGTAGCCGTAACGAGGCTGCAGCATTAAACCAAAGAAGAGCCGTCCTCTGCTTTAAGCGTGCCATGGTTGGCTCAGGTCAGCTCAGCTCACACACCGACCGGGTCGTGTTTATACTCCCACACGAGTTTGGCCTTCATGCTCTTCTCGTCGAGGTGGAACTCCAGTGCCCGCGACTCCTCCGGCGGGTGCTCGTTGTGGTTATCGTACACCGTCAACACACCGGGCTCTGTCATACGGGCGGAGTGCTGCCTGTAATGAAGGCAACACACACACCCACACACAGACAGAGAGACACACACACACGCACAGGTGGGGTGGCTGAGCTGCGTGGGTGACGTGAGGTGACGTACCAGTAGAAGGGGTTGTCAAGGTCGAATGAGTTGGACGTCTCTTTGGTGCCGCCGAACCGCCAGATGACTTTGCCTGTCTTGCGGTCGACTTTGATCACCTGCGACAGGTGACGAAACGACACCAAAATGTGACCGTCGGGCGTCCAATCCTGAATGCACACACACACACACACACAAACACGCCCGCAGACATGAATCTCCCTCATCCGTCTCTCTCTCTCTCTCTGTGTGTGTGTGTGTGTGTGTGTGTGTTTGGCTGACCACAGAGTTGGCGTGGAGGTGGTCGACGGACTCCTGGCCCCTGTCGAATTTCTGCTCGGTGATCTTGAACTGGTCGTAGAGGTGGTCCCAAGAGGACCACTGAAACACCGTCCGTCCGTTGGGTTCTAGCTCCTGGATGATGACGCCCAGCGCCTGGCCAGCGGGGCTGCCCCCGAATGCCGCCATGTTCTTGTGCCGCTTGTCGTTGGCAAGGATCAGACGGTGACCCTTCTTGTCGATCTGGATGCCGTGACCATTCGACGCATAACCTGGGTGGGTCAACAAATGCATGCCACACGCACACACGGTGGGTGCGTGTGGAAGCGTCTCATTGCATTCATTGTGTCGGCCGTCCCGCTCCGCTCACCGACCGTACGTACCGTATTTGGGTGTGATGAAGTCGACCTCCTTGTACCTCGAGTTGAGCACCACCCACCCATTCCTCGCCCGGTCGTGGTACGTCACCTGTCCGTTGTCGTGCAGCTTGAGGTCCCTCACGCTCCAGCCGTGCCACCCCTGGTTGGAGTAGTCGAAACGGTGCCACCACACGGCGTCGCCGCTCTGTCCGTCGAGGATGAGGAGGAAGTCGTGGGAAACGTGCTCCGGGTGCCGTATGTGGGCCGTGAAAATGTGGCCGGCCGCCGTGCCGGGCTGACGGGGCTGCGTCACTATCACCTAGGGAGAGGGAAGACAGATAGCATGCAGGGGGAGGGCTGGTTGTTCTGGGGGTGTGGTGTGGTGTGGGTGTACCTGTGGGTGGTCTGGTGGCAGCGTGAGGTACTCTGATAGCGGCAGCCGAGCCTCGCCCTTCCCCGTCTTGTTGTCCCCCTTTCCATCGGTCTCGGCCTCGGCCCATGCGCCCATGGCCGCCTCCCACTCATCCCATGGATCGTACACAGGGTACGTTTCAGTGTCAGCAGCGTCGGCAGCCTTTGGAGTCTCCTCTGCTTCCGCGTCAAGATCGCTCTCCTGTTCCTCTTCCTCCAGTCCTTTCTCGTGGTCCCTTTCTTCTTTCTGTGCTGCCTCCTCCGTTGGCGTGCTCTCATCATGCCATGTGTCGTGGCCGTCGTCCTCCTGCGGCTGACCGGTCATTGTGGTGTCGTTGAATTCCCCTATTGTCGGCTCATAATCATAACCCACATCTGTGTCGGGCTGTGGCTCCTCTGCTGCTGTGTCGGTCTCTTCTATCGGGTAGTCATCATCCTCGCCGTCATCGCCCTCATCGCCCTCATCCTCATCCGTATAGTTGGCGACACTTCTCCACTCTCCTCCTCCTCCCTCCTCCCGCTGATTCTTTAGAAGGATGTCGAAGACGGTCTCCCACAGGCTGTTGAGGGGGGCGCTGTGCCGTGAGGAGGAGCTGTCATTCTGGGCGAGCCGCTGCGGCAGCGATACGTCGGCGCCGTCCTCGCTCAGCGCCTGACCAAATATCGTCTCGTTGATGCGGAACGTTTCCTTGCTCGCATCGAACATGTCCCCACTGGCCGTCTTGAAGCTCCACTGGAACGATTGCCCGTTGTCCGTTTGCCTGGCGGTCACGGTCACTATCTCGTTAGTGTCGAAGGGCTCGTCGGGGGTGAAGATGAGGGTCTCGCCGTCGTCGCTTTGGTCAAGCGTCCCTTCCTTGAAGCCGCTCCGGGCGCCCTCTGCCGTGATGTCCACATCCCTTTTGCCAAGCCCGCTGTCCTTTGCCCGCAGGAGGATGTTGGTCAGCGGCGACGCGCCCTTGCTGCCGGCGAGGGGGAACACATACGCCGCGAAGCCCTGTGAGGCGCTTGATGGCGGCTTCTTGTCGGGTCGCAGGTGAAGTTCTTTCTTCTTTCCTGCGAGAGCCGTCGCTAGAAGCCCCAGGATTAAGGTCAGGTGGCCCCATAGCCACATGTTTGGAACCCCCCTTTACTGCTGCCTCGTGCACGGGACCCTCTCCCACCTGTTCATCTCCCGTCCCATTATTTCAGCCGCCGTTGCGCTGGGGGCGTCTCCAGGCCCCCGTCCTTCCCCTTCAGGCTCACTTGTGATCTACCTTCCGCCGTGACGTCCTAGGAGACGTCTTTCGTCGGAGATACTTACTGGCAATGATCACGCGGAGGCCACCGCAGCAGGGTAGACCTGTCCTGGCGGTGGTTGTGAGGGCGGCGGAGCTCTTTACCAAAGCTGTCGCCTTCGCCGCGTGGCTGGGCTGGTACCAATACTTGAAGGCCAAGCTCCGGAGGGACTTTGACGAATGCGACAAGGGGTGCACGGCCACCTATGTCGCTGCTGCTGTGGCCACAGTGCTGAGTGTGCTCGTGGTCTATTCCCTTGTATACGCCCACAAGGCAATGCCATGGACATACCACAGACGCCTCCATTGATTGAGATTTCAGTGTGCTGCACTGATGTGTTCTGCTTCGATCGTCAGGTGCTTCTCGAGGCGCTCCAGCGGCGGACGAGAGACTCTGAGGTCCGGACGGTGAGTCCGTCCGACAAGTCGCCGCTGCTGACAGTGCGGGTGTTCTCAAAGACCGTTGACCTGATATCTGACACCCTGCCCTTCCTCTTTGTCGAATTCTGGTCGGGCACGAGAAGAAAGAAATGATGCGATGGATAAATTGCATGTATTGCATGTATTGCATGTCCCCTTGTTGGTTGGGTTGGTTCTAGGTACGACGTCATAAACGACAACAGACCCGACTACGATCACCAAACAGACGACAATCAACTCTACTGGGCATGGTAATTCGAGCTGCTTTCGGCATCCACGAGCGAAGATATGAAAACCTCAGCCTCTCTGTCTGCGTATCTGGGGGCTTTGCAGGCATTGGATTTTCTTCATCGTTTTCAGCGCTGTGGCGGCCTTCACTCTCGGCATCCTCGGCACACTCACGCCAAACGAGCCCACCATTAAACAGGCCGCCTTCAAGAAGGCGGGCAAGTCCGTCACGGCGGCGTTTGCGTGGTTCTGTGCTATGGCCCTTTACGCGGCCTTCTTGTCCCTGCTGGAGAAGGTGCATACGGAGGGCGATGGAGACTTGAAGCTATCAGAGTAGGTGATCAGCGTGTGTTGACGTACGTATCTGTCTTTGTTTCTTTGCATCCGTTGATCCTTGTTTTGCCGCGTCCCTCCCTCCCTCCCTTGCAGACTCAACTGGATTGTGTTTGCTGCTGGGACGGCTCTGGCTCTCTCCTTGTTGGCCCCCGCCCCATCTGAGAAGAGGATAGATATCCTGCAGCATCCAGAGAACGAGGGGGAAGCCGAGACGTCCGAGGCGGCAGAGCAGTCCGTCATAGAAGCTATCGGAGGTGAGACAGTGACCCCAGGGACCCCCCCCCCCCCCCCCCC